CCTTTTGAAATTTGTATGAGTTGTTTTAGCTTGTACCTGCATGGACGACTTAGCTGCCTGTGAGTGTAAGTTTCATTGCCTGACATCCTCCTATTTTTACCATTATCACAATTTATAAATTGATTTTTAAGTATATATCCACATTTAAAAAAAACAAATTTTCCCTGTATTTATTGTGTTTTTAAGTTATACTTTTTGAAATATCTAATTGATGTCATTTTAATAGACTGAGCAGTAAGGTCTGCAGCTGGTCTATATCAATGTCAGTTGCATAGAATGATAATGTAAGCTATTATATTATGAGACAGTAATTTATCAACCATCAAACTCTGTAAAATCTGGCAAGGCTCTGTGGCTCAGTGAGTATGGCGCTGGCTCACTAACCAGAAGATCCCAGATTCAATCCTGGTGTTGAACAAGAGATCTTAAGATTTTCCAGCCTAGTTTTCCCCTGTCAGTAGTCCAGAATAGAGGGACGGGAAAAGAAAGTCCCCAGTTCACCAGTGTACTTGTTGGCGATCACATAAAAGTAACCTTGGATGAAGAATAGGCGGAATTCCCACTGCCAGGCAAAATTTCCCATAAGCCCACTGAATGGCATATATCTGTCTTCATTAACCCAGTTGATGCCGAAAAGATGGACGTTAAATTTGATGTGATTTAATATCTGTAAAATCTGTTTTATTGAAGTTATTAGCCCTATATGACATTAGTGTTAATTTGGCAGCTGTAAACTAGACTAGTGCTTTATGTCTGTCGTAGTAGGATATAATTGACATAACCCATCCTCATCTGTTCAATTTAATTGGATCTAAACCCAGACTAGTACATAAAAAATAGTTGCATTCAAAAATAGTACATACATGTATTGATAGCAAACACGAGAGAATGCTTTGGAAATCATAGACCCCCTACCCTAGCATACTATACATTACCACCTTCAAATGGATACTGTTCTTAAATTCTGACATTATCACACCCCTTATGTCACCTAATTAGATAGTAATATTATTAAATTTTTATTTGCTTTAAATTGAATTTCGAAACAAAAACTGCAATTATTTAGGCAATCAGAAATATTTTATTGGATCAATATTTGATTATAATTGCTAATAATAGAATTGGTAATTTAATCGTGGTTAAACGGTCAAGATTATTATTAAATAATATATTGATGCTGTGCAACTTAAAATTCAAATTACTTTTTCACCCACATGCATATCTATAAACTTTGCACACTAGTCCACGATTTTCTGCCATCTTGTTTAAATAATGTTTGATTGGTATGGTTAGCGTGTGAGCGCTGTATCATAAGGTCTGTCATTGAGTCAACTGGCGTGGTTGCGATTCCCAGGTTGTATATGACAAGGACTAACCTCATGGGTTTGCTCCGGGTCCTCTGGTTTCCTCCCACTGCTGAAGACCCCTATGTGCAAGCGAATTATTGAAATGAAATTGAACCTTATGTTAGTCCCGAAATAACCTAGTTTGTGCTAAGTTGACATTAAACCCCATTTCTCTCGCTCTATGTAACATTATTTGAAATAATTGTATACCAACATAATGTCGCCTTATCTGTATTTTAAACTTCTTTATAAAGGCCATACTAATAGTATAATAAAGTTAATATTTATAGATCTTTATAAGGTCAGGCTAATAGTTTATTAGTAAAGTTATTAATTATTTGTAGTTCTTTTATAAGGCTATGCTAAGAGTATAGTAGTATGGTTAATAATTTATAATTAATAATAAATAAAAAATAATAATAAATAGTTCTTTATAAGGTAATTGTGCTTGATAACAATAAGGAGATACTTGTCGAAACATCATGCTTTTAGAATAAACCTAGTGATTGTTTCCCATAAAAACTGTGTTCTGTCAAGGGCATGCTAATAGTATATTAGTAAGTTTAATAGTTTATAGTTCTTTCTAAGGCCATACTAATACTATAGTATGTTAGTAAAGTAAATAATTTATACTTCTTTATTAGGCTATGCTGGATAGTATATTAGTGAAATTAATAATTTATAATTCTTTATAAGGCCATGCTAATAGCATATTAGTAAAGTTAATAATTTATAATTCTTTGTAAGGCTATGCTAATAGCATATTAGTAAAGTTAATAATTTATAATTCTTTATAAGGCCATGCTAAAAGCATATTAGTAAAGTTAATATATAGTTCTTTATAAGGCCATGCTAATAGTATATTGGTAAAGTAAATAATTTATAATTCTTTATAAGGCCATGCTAATATAGCATTAGTAAACTAAATTATTTATAGTTCTTTGTAAGGCCATGGTAATAGCACTAGTAAAGTAAATAATTTATAGTACTTTATAAGGCCATGCTAATACGTAATAGTTATTAAGTGAATATACTTTTTTAATACATTATCTAGGCAGATAAACATGGTTGCGGGCAGGGGATCCGGGAAGACAAAGTGAAAGAAATATATTTAGTTAATAATCAGATTGAATCTGTAGGAGAAGTAATATTAATAACTTGACTTTGTGTCCTTTACTGATTGTTGTTATATCAGTAAAACTATTATATAATCTGTCTCTGTAATTTGGATATAGTTGATTTGAAAAGGAAATACCAAAGCTGTTTACAGGGTGTGGTGGAGGTTTTTTTTATCGGTTACAAAATGTACATAAAGTATATCAACATAACATATTTTAAGGAAGAATTGTTTAACATACACTATAATATGGTGTGAACATATTTGTACTGGGATTATAATCTCATAAAAAAAACCTGTCCATTGATTATTTAGTAACTGAATTCTTATTAACTGAATGATCCCTTCATTTTGATGTACATATTACTTAGGTTTTCTTGTTAGGTTCCACGAACTCCTTGATAGTCCTATATACAGCCATTGTGTGTATGTTTAATAGGTTACTTTAATTGGTCAGTAATTGTGAAGCGTTGTCAGACTGTGCACTATTAAAGATGTCCATCAATGGAAATAGAATACTATTCAAAAAAAGTAGGGGATATTTGATTTTTAAGTGTTATTAAAGTCACCTAATGAAACTGACGAAGAAACAAATGACAAAATGAAATGAAGTTCACATTCATCGATTTATTCCAAATGATCGTTAGACTAAGTAAGGCACAGACTGACCATTATAAGGGTAAAATGATACCCGGGGTCAAACAGCAAAGTTACCACAGCATCACAACCAAGTCAGTAACGGGTAAATCCTCCTCTGTTTGCCAAACAAGCATTGATCCGACGTGGCATACTCCTAATGAGACGTCTAAGGTCATTTTGGTCCAGATTGTCCCATTCCTGTTGCAACGCAGCAGCAAGTTCTTGGACATTGGCAGGACGTTGTTGACGTTGACGTAACCTCTGTCCAAGCATGTCCCAGACATGCTCGATGGGAGAGAGGTCGGTACTCAGTGCTGGCCAAGGTAATGTAGTGATGTTCTGTTGTTGGAGGTAACCTGTAACGATCCTGGCCCTGTGACATCTTGCGTTGTCATCCTGGAAGATGAAACGGCGGCCATGACGTCGTGCGAACGGCACAACATGGACTGCCAAGATGTTGTCCCGGTAGTACTGGCCTGTAACACGCCCTGCAACAACATGTAAAGCCGTTCTTCCAGCAACAGTGATGCCTCCCCACACCATAACAGAACCACCCCCAAATCGATCATGTCTGATGACGTTAACGTCTTGGAAGCGCTCGTTTCGACGACGCCACACCCTCCTACGTCTGTCCAAAAAATCAACAGTGAACCTTGACTCATCTGAAAACATCACATTGCTCCAGCGTCGATTATCCCAGTGTTGACGATCCCTACACCAACGACGTCTTGCCTGAATGTGATGATCTCTCAAACAAGGGATCACGCGAGGACGTCGGGTGCGAAGGTGACCCCTATGCAGTCGATTCCGAATCGTCTGGCCACTCACTCTCACACCAGTGTCTGTTTGAAGACGAGCGCTGATCTGATTTGCTGTGATGACACGATTTCTCAAGGCCAAGGTACGGATAAATCGATCCTGGGCTTGAGTTGTCGCCCTTGGTCGACCTGAGCGTGGTCTGTCCTGTACAGATTGTGTATCACGGTATCTGGACCATAGCCTGCTTATGACAGACTGAGAAACATTCATCGTCCGCGCCACAACCGCCTGTGTTTTGCCGATCTGTAGCATGCCAAGGGCACGTAACCTTTCATTTTGGGTAAGCCGACGCATATCAAAATTTGTTTTCTGGTCACTAAAACAATTAAACTGATGTTTCCACCCTGGAATTCAATGCCACAATGACTATAACATTCAAAGTCAGAGTCGTGCAAATCTTGGGTTGGACCCCCATGATGATCCCAAGCATCACCTGCATTCCATGCGGTAGCTATTGGTGCGTTTGGGCGTCACATGTAACTGGAAATGTTTCTTCTGTTAGGTTCTATAGTGACTTTTTTCGTAGTCATTTGCATATTTTAGTATTATGCCCCCAAAATCAAATATCCCCTACTTTTTTTGAATAGTATAGATCCATTCTGAAATTGTCAGGCTGCTCTCTTATCTTGGATAATCCATCATGTTGGAATTATCGTTTTAAATAGATCATGTGATAGGCTAGTAGTAAAAATTTGTTGATCTATGCAATCTGACTAAACCTTGTGCTGTGTCATTGAGAATCAATAAAATCAAGGTCTGATATTCAAATTTCACTTTAAAGATTCAGTTGAATGAACAGTTCACATTCAAAGGTTGTCAAGGCAATATTATGTTGATGAAATATCAATCTGTGAGGATATTGGCATGTCACTTTTTTTTTGCAATTCATATATTTGATCATATGCCATATATTTGACAATATAGTTTATGAAATATTAAACTAAATTGTGGATGTTGGACCCCCCCCCTTATCAGATGTTGAATAAAAAATGCCACACATTTCTTTGTTTTTACTGACTAGAGGAATTTCAAGTATTTCTTCAGAAGGAAATATAAGTTTTAATTTTTGTTTATTGCAGGAAGTGGTTGCAGCTCTGGCAAGATTTTACAACGTTTCCCAGAGAGAGACTGGGATGGCTGTCCATTTACACAAGGCATAGAACTAGTGAGTAATGCACTTAAAATATTTTAACATATATTTGTTCTAGGTATCATATATTTAAGGAATTCCATGTCCTGCTTTACTCAGATGGTGTTAGTGCTTTTACTGTCTAATATAGACAAAACTACTTTTTAAATCCTGGTCATAAGTAAAATTGTGATAAGCTCCGTCAAGAGGTTTGAGGGATTAATTTATACCCCAGAAAGAAAAATTGGTTCTAAGAGATATTTTTAGTGAGCTTGATATCAGATTGGAGGCCAGTTACAAGAATTAGTCCATTGTATGATTCAGAAAATAAGTTAAGAATTGTCAGGATCAGAGTTAGAAGAACTCGGTGAACAGATTCAAAACTCATTCCACAACAGTAGGAAGAGAAACTGGGGGTCAGGTGGGGGGTGGGGGTGGTGGGACGCCACTGTCAGGGCTATACTGTCTTCATTAGCCCATTTGGTGCAGAAAAGTAAGACATTACACCTCAGTTCATTTCTTGTCTGATAGCATAATATATGTACTGCAAACATGTCACCCTTAGTTTAGTGAGATTAAGATTCTTAATGAAGTTCAGTAATTTCAAATAGTTTCAGAGATACCAGGTATTCTTGATCAGTGTACATAAAATTGTTGATGACCTAGAGGCAGAAGTTGTTATCCAATCAAGTTGAAATCTTTATATAGTACATTGTTGATTTATAAATTGAATTCCAGTGATTTCTGGTAATTACCTGCTGAGTTGGTGCCCTTGATCAACTTTTGAATCTTGTACTTTGCTTAAAATGTATTGTTTAAGCTTATAAAGTTATATTAATAAGACAAAGAAGCCATTTGGAACTTTTTCAGATAATTTATTTTTCTGTAATAGAATCGCTTTACTGACTGCTTAGGTGACCTAAGGACTTAACTGCTGGGATTATGTTTCATTGTATGGCAACCCTAACATTTGTGTTTGAGTTTCATATTTTTACAGATTTCGCTTTTAGCAAAAAATATTTGTGTAAGAGTACCTGATGACACAAACTCGATTTAACTGGAAATCATGTAGCCATTTTGTTTCAGTTAAGCTGTTTGATTAGTGCATGTATTACTACATACCCTGATGCGAATAAGAAATAAATTGTTTGCTGCAGTTCAAGAAATGATGACTTTTTGTCAGCGGCAAATAAGTGTTTGTTGATACAGTGGTATTTGTTTTTTATTTCCTGACAACTACGGGCAGACATGTCTTAAACCTAATGTTAATTGTTTACATAGAATCAAGCACTATTTGCATAATCTAACCTTCTGCACTACTCCACAAAAAAAATCTAAGCTTAAGACAACAAGTGGGTATATCTATGGGAAAAAAATTCTTTTGTTTTTGTTTGTTGACAGTATTGTAGATTCTGATGTTCGAAATGAAAGCGGAAAAAAAACTTATCACATACAAATAAATGAAATATTTCCAAAGTAAATATGTCTTCTATATAATCCCTAAGCTGCAGTTTAGCAAGTCGAGGGGTTATCCAAAATATTTTTTTTCACTCTCTAGCTGGCAGAGAAGTAAATATTGACTTAATGACATAGTAAATAATATTTGTCTGTAAAATATTGCAAGTAGAAGGCGCTTTGTTGATTTGGTCAACAAACAGTGACCATATCCTGTTGTAAATAAGATGACGAAAATATCTCAAAGCTTTGTGGTGGAATCATCATGATACAGTTGTGTAATACATACCTCAATGTGAATATTTTCACATGCGGGAGTATATATTATCTAAGCATAAACATACTTAAAATTATTGTCATTGAAGTTGGATTTGAAGCTTAGTTGATTTAGAAACATCTAATGTAACACATTCATCTTTTTTAAACCTAAGATTTAAATTTAGATGAATTTGGTGATTATATTCAGAAAAAGATACGATGGTCTTTTTTATCACTTTCATCTGGGTGGGAACACATTTATAAACTTATGACTGTTTATTAAAGAGAGGTTTTGATTCCACCAGATATTTCAGCATGGTACTGAGTTAAATGATTAAATTTTGTTCTTTTCCTTCATAGTTCAAGATATTTTACTTTTATACAGTACAATACTTGTGTAAGCTTATTACACAGTAATTTAGTTAATGCATAGCACTCCCAAAATTCTTTTCTAACCAAGTGCAATACATATAATATTGCATAAAGCTGTTTAAAGGATGGCTCTTTCTATGGCATCCAAAAATTTATGGTGGCAGAGATTTCTTTGAATGTTTATCTTTTAAAAGAATCAGTGGTACCAGTAGGGGAGGAGGGGGGTGGATGCTGAATGGTTAGCGTGTGTGCACTGTATCAGAAGGTCTGTCATTCAGTTAACTGGCGTGGTTTTAATTCCCTGGTTGTACGTGACAAGGAATAGGGTCGCCTGTCCAACCTCAGGGGTTTTCTCCGGGTCCTTCGGTTTCCTCCCACTGCTAAAGACCCCTATGCGCAAGCGCATTGTTCAAATAAAATTGAATCATATGTTAGTCCCAAAATGACCTAGTTTGTGTCTCTCTGTGTACCAGTTGACCGGAAAATTAAACCTCAAACAAAGTTATCAGCTCGCTCTATGGAGTCCATGTTAAGACCTGTTATAAAAGAAGTTTGTTACTTCTTACTATATCAGTCATGTGCTTCAAACCAAGGAAGCCATGGTGGCTCAGTGATTAAGACGCTGGCTTGCTAACTAGGAGGGCGAGGAGGTCTCAGGTCCGCTCCCTGTGTTTTCTGAGAAAGTTTCACAGGATTTTCCTGTCAGTGTTTCTTTTAAGCTCCCCTGTTTTTTATACGCCCACATTGAAATGTTGTATATTATCGTCGCCTACGTCCCTCTGTCCGTCGGTCCGTTGACTTTAAATTTCTACAAAGTGTATTCTGTCATGAGACGCAGAATCCTATTGATTTTCAACGATTTCCGATAATTACTGCCAGAGTTATGGCCTTTGTTTTTACTTGGAAATATCTTGTGGACACTCTAGAGTCTAAAGTTAATATTCGATTGACTTTAAATTATACTGTTTAAGGTCATGAGACGAATCAGTCTTTTGATTTTCAACTATTTTTGATAATTACTGCCTGAGTTATAGCCCTTGATCTCTTTGAAAAATCTTGAAGAAGCTCTTGAGGCTAAAGTTAATTTCTGATTGACTTTATACTTATACACAGTGTTTAAGGTCATGAGACAAAGAAGTCCATTGATTTTCAACTATTTTCGATAATTACTGCCCAAGTTATAGCCCTTGATCTCTTTGAAAAATCTTGTAGATGCTAAAGTTAACATCTGATTGACTTCAAACTTATACACTTTGTCATGAGACAAAGAATCCTATTCATTTTCAACGATTTCGGATAATTACTGTCAGAGTTAAGGCCCTTGATCACTTTGAAAAATCTTGTGGATGCTCTTGAGGCTAAAGTTAATATAAATTGTTTAAGGTCATGAGACAAACAATAGAAATAAATTCTAATGATTTTTGATAATTACTTTATGGGTTATTACTCGTAATCAGATTTTCATGTGTTGTGAATGTTCTCATTACTGACAAAAGAAAAAATATGTGACAATACTTGTTGACTTCCTGAACGACTTAGCTTCTGTGGGCATATGTTTCGTTGCCTGACAACCTAGCTTTATTTTTTTTGAACACTGTATTGTCAGTTTGTATTTGTATATGGACAAGAAAAAAAATGCATGTGTTTACAGTTGCTTGGCCCCCCAAAATAGGGTCAGTCGGTCTTTTTTTTTTTGTATTATCTATTTCCTAGCATTTCCATCTTAAATACTGAGTAAGGTCCCTGAAAATAATACCGAAATTGCAGTGTTGGAATTTTTCTACAGAAAACGATGCGAAGACTGAGTTACGGTATAGGTTCTAGGAAATAAGAAAAAAAATTCAGGGTCTGAGATTTGGGCTAAAAGGGTCAGTCGGGTAACTGTAAAACAGGTAATGTTTTGGAATGTTTTTTTAATATGCATAGTTACTGTAGATCTCACGGTGCCTTGTTGCTCTTCACTGACTTGTAATCTATTTGAATTAATCTTATTTATGTGAAAGATTGATTATCGGTTTTGTTCTTCCTAGAAGAATAAAATTCATTATTTAATGGTCAGAACCAAGATCATTATTTATTGAACAAAAAAAAATTGTTATAGTCAGATCAATAAATTGTCCTTATTAATTTTTCTTTTTCAGTTTTGCCAACCATCAGGATGGAAGTTATCAACACAAAGAAAACAGCCAGAATTTTATGTGGCAGTATTAACAGATATAGATGCGGATCGACATTATTGTGCCAGTTTTACCTTCCACGAAACCGTGGCCATGACACCAACAAAACCTGATGATGAAGATGGTGATGATCATGAATCAGCTCTAGTCCACCATTCCTTGATGTTTGCTCCTAAAAGTCTAGTACTAGTCTCCAGATTAGACTATTTTGAAGCATTCAGGGTAAGTTATATCGCTAAGAATTTTCAGAATACATATCAAGTCTTTTTTGCTTGATCAAGGTCTAATGCCTGTGCTTTAGATCATAAGGTCTGTCATTGAGTCAAGCTGGATGGTTTCGTTCCCACACTTGTATGTGACAATGAGAAGGGTTGCATGCCTAACCTCATGGGCTTCTCCAGTTTCTTTCCACTGCTAAAGACCCCTACATGCAAGCAAATTATTGAAATAAAATTGTACCATATTTTTTCCCCGAAATGACCTAGTTTGTATTGAGTGGGCGTTAAAACTCATTTCTCCTTTTTTTTTTTATCACAATCCTCTTGATAGAAATATAGGCTGACTTGCAAACGTAAGAACTTAATCTGAGTTCCTATTCACAAAAAACTGAGATGGTTTGTTAGAATGGGACTTTTGGTCAGATTACAAGAGATTTTTGACTGGACTGGCTGCCTCATTATTTCAGAATTGTTATTGAAAATTGTATCATTCATTCATTGTTGTTGTTTTTAAAAGACATTGATTTGAATATGGTTGCCATGGCAACATTAAGGTCTTTCTTTTTAATCCTATATTTTAATGAGATCTATTACAGAATTGTTTAGAAATGTTACATTTATCATTTGAAAGTTTTTATTCCTAGTAATTTGAACATGGTTTGACAGAATGTTTAGTTGGTTTTCTTTGAATAATATTAGTTTAATTTTTGTTTTATCACTGTTATTATCATAAAAACATATATCATTTCTTTTGTGGTTTCCATGGCTACAAGACTTTTTAAAGGTTTGAAATGAGATTTATAGTAGATTTCATTCTTCCTTATTTATTCATCTAAATGAATTTTTTTTTACCCTATTGATTTGAAAGACTTTCAATAAGACAAAAAGATGTCACATGACGATATACAGTTGTATCTATACTTAATGCGTTCTTCAATACCTGATAATAAAACCTGGTAGTGTTTTTCATGACTTTTCCCAGGTTAAAGAAATTATGAAATCTGCTTGCTATATACTTACTATAGATTAACAGTTTCTATGTAAACACTAATTAAGACCTGTAGGCGTTCACTCAGTTTGATGTCATATGTCACATTTAAGCTTTCAGTGATCAAGTGATTATTTTTTTAATCCAATGATTATGATACTACCTTCAAATAAATGTAATGTTCTCTAAATTTATTAAGCATTGTGTAATTTTTGCTGGTTTTCATCGGTTGTTCTTAAGAAGCAGATCATTCATGACATAGAATTCAATCATTTTTATACGCCCACATGGAAATGAGGTCGTATATTGCCATCACCCCCGTTTGTCTGTCTGTCGTCCACAATTTCTTGTGAACACTCCACAAACTACATTGATCATCTGATTGTTTTGAAATTCATATATGTTGTTTACATCAGTGAGATGAAGAATCCTATTTAATTTCAATAATTTCCGTTAATTTCTTCTGGAGTTATGGCCCTTGTTTCACTTTGTTGAGCCTCATGAATGCTCTAACGACAAAAGTTATCATCCGATCTGTATGAAATTTATATGCATCATTTATATTGGGGAGACGAAGAAGCTTATTGAATTTCAGCAATTTTCGTTAATTACGTCTAGAGTTATAGCCCTATGTGATAATATTATGGCATTGACTAATACTAATAGTTGTTTATAGATTCTTGGACAAGCAAAATAACACCTGAAATAATAGAAATCTACATGAATTGAACTATAGGTTAATGAACACATTTGTCATATGTCATCTTTATGGTCAGGAATGCAATGTTTCTGCTGACCAAATTTAGTAATAAGTCCCTCCCAGAGTGCAGTGTAGGGGATATGCCTATAAATGCCCCCCATTACCTATAAATGAATAAAAATGTGACAACCCTTATCAACCGCTCGGACGATTTAGCTGCCTGGCAACCTATCTTTTATTTTATTTCTTGTATTTTACCTCTTTTTTTTCCAATTGCCATGCCCCAGATCCATTTACGATTTGAGATATGTTTTTTTTTATCTCGTGCAATGTCTATTTAGTTTGTCTTGTCTGATTTGTTTTGCCTGTAGTATGGTCCTCCTCCACTATTAGAATAATAAATAATAAAAATGGGTATAATTTTATTTCAGAATTGTCTTGGTATTTTATATACAGTATATATAGAGAATTTAGACGTTCAACTTGAAACCTTGGTAGGAAATATACTTGGCTGTGTACAGGTACCCCCACCTGGTGAGTCAATAAATATAGTCTGTCTTATCTCTTCCATACACAGTATTCATAAATACAGGAAACCAGAACTCTCTTTATTTGTTTGTTTCGGTCTAAATGTAAGAATAAGATAAAACATTACTTGAGAAGTTTGTCACAGCTTTGGATGATCAAACGAGCTTGATCTAAAACATAATTTGTAGTTAAATGAATAACTTTTTTATTTCAACATATTCGTGCGTTCTGAATGTGTTTGCTTTAGACCATCAGGTCTATTATCATTTTAAGTGGTGTGGTGTCAATCCCACTCTGATACCTGACAAATCATAGGGTTGCCTACTTAATCTTGTGGGTTTTCTAATAGTTTTCCATTTAATGAAAATTGGTCCTGTGTTTTTCATGTAGAAGATAGCAAATTATTGTTTCTTGTAGTAATAATATGTTATGTCATTTTTATGTTACCTGGATCTTTCAAATTTTTGTACGCCCACAATAAAATTTTATTGTAACCCATGTCTGTCGAACACGTCAGCCATTTAGTGTAAAGTTATCATCCGATCAACTTAAAATTTATACACATTTTTGCGTTCATGAGATGAAGAAACTTGAAGATTGCTGATAATTACTTTCAGAATTACGACATTGCCTAACTTTTTAAAATCATGTGGACCCTTTAGTAGGTAAAGTTATTTTTCAAGTGATTTGAAATTTATACATAGTTTTTAAGTACAAGACAAGGGATGATGAATCCTATTGATTTCCGATAATTGGTAATAAATGTTAGCACTGTCAAGAACAAGGAACTAAGCAAATTTTAATTGTGTTGTTACTCTTGTTCAGTTTTTTGTTGTCTTATAAATGCTCCCTACAAAAGAATAGATACAATTACCTGAAAAAAAAAAATTTCTTACAAAATTTATGTGAAGTCATGTTGATATCATGCGGTGAAGCAAGCTAAAATTGTCACCTCCTAAATGCCAGGTCTCATGCTTGAGGGAACATACCTTAATATATAAATATATGGCATGATATATAGTAGTTGTCTGAATTTCATAACTATCAACTTTTTCCTTATTCTTTGTCATATTTAAAACTCACATAACCATTTCATCTTCAAAGAATTGAATGCAGACATGTAAATTTAAAATCAATATAAAAATTTTATTAAATAATTATTGAAGCTCTGAAAGTGTTCTTTTAATGGCATTCAAAATGTGACTTGTTAGTTAGAAACTTCAAACAACTCATTATCAATCACACAACATCTACTGATATGATCAAAGTATTATATTATAGATCTCTGTGCAAATTGTTATGGTAGATAAATGTTTTGATGATGATGCCTGTTTATTCTATTTTTTATAGGCGGACCACAAGTACGATTTTCTATCGGAGCAGGAGATAGACAGGCATTACAGCCACCATTATGTCCTACATTACCAGCAACTCAAATATCTGTAGCTCATTTATTCGAACAATTAGGTAAGTCACACAGTTTAAAAAAAATTTATATCAAATCCGTAGAGTAAACTCGTAAACATAAAATTTGAGTACTGTTTAGAATCTTAAATCAACGGTCCTGCAATAACCAGGATGTTCAGTTTGAATGGTCATTAAGAATTCTTTAAAATTATACAAACACTATAAGTTTTTTTTATATGATAGGATCACATATACTTATATCTAATCGTCTGGGTTTTTTTTTTCCTTCAGGTATCAATAATACTCTGAGTATATTTAGTGCTGTTTTAACAGATCATAAAATCCTGTTCTTTTCTGAAAGCTATTCTCATCTCACTGAAGCTTGCCAAGCACTTACATCATTATGTTATCCTCTCAAATACAGGTATATATCATTTCAGTAACATGTTTTATCCCCCGCCTTTCTAAGAATGCAGGCGGCTATTAAAATTGGTCTGTCAGTCTGCCCGTCACACTTTTTGGAACACGATAATTCTCCTTCTAATTAAGCTAGAATGTTCAAACTTGGTGTAGGTGTTTATTAGGTGAATACCTTTATGGAGTTCGAAGATAAACATTTTCTGCTTAGGCTAAGCAGAGATAAACAATTTGATTGGTTGATGCTCTGGAGCTCGATAACTTTGATTCTAATTGAGTGAGAGTGGTGAAACTTTGTGTATTTCATTACATCAACACCTTGAATTAATTTGATGATGAGCCTATTCTGCTTAGACTTTGGACAATAACAACTCTGCTTTTAATTGAGTAGAATGTTTAAACTTAGTGTAGATTTTCATTAGGTGAATGTCTTGACTGAGTTCAATGATTAACACTTTCCACTAAGCAATTTCATTGGTTGATGCTTTGGAACAAGATAACTTTGATTCTAACTTACAGAGAGTGATGAAACATACTGTACAATTTCACTACCAGGTACTTTAAAACCCTTACTGACTTTGATTGTGAACATTTTCCGCTTGGACTGATTATAGATAATCAATAATCATAGAGTCTCAAGTTAATATCCCATTGACTTTAAATTCATACACCATGTTTCAGGTCATGAGACGAAGAAGCCTATTGATTTCTGATAATTACTGCCAGAGTTATGGCCTTTGATCACTTTGAAAACACTTATGCAGGCTCTGGTTTGATATTTGCTTACAGTTACGGAAGAACATCGAAATATCTATTTATTTTTTAATTGTGATTTATAACATAAATGTAGAACTTGACATTAAATATAAAAACAGTCTGGAAAGGTTGATAAAAACATAGCAGTTTATTGAGATTTGGTTCATAAATACCAGTAATTGTGTTGTTGGTAATATTGAGGATTGAATAATTAACAGATTAACTTGCATTTACAGAATCTTAAGTAGGACATTTTGAAATAACAGAGGTTTTTTTTATACACCTACATTGATTTGTGTTTGTATGCTGTCATCAGTCAGTACATCTGGTCATCCACAATGTCTTGTGCAAGCTCGAGAGGCTCTAATTGTCATAGAATGCAACAACCCTTTATGTACTGCTGTATAGCCTGTCTCACATGGGCGTGTGTTACCCTTGCTTAGGTAGTGCGTAGGGTGACTCTGTGGTGATGCCACAGTGATGCAGCATAATACCTATGCAACATGTAAATCAGATGGTACAATCATATCGTGGTCACAAATGATTTCTTGCTGTCAGTTGCCACACAAGGCTACAAAAATGTTTAGCAAGTACTATAGTAACACGTGTGTCACATCTCGCATGTTTACTGTGTTACTCATTGAAATAGAAATATCTGTATATTTCTATGGTGTTATTATTTGCGTCAACTTTGCAGTAACATTGATTTCGGCAAAATTTTGAACATTTTCCAAAAGCAACACAGCTTTTGCAACACCCTGGAAGTACCTTGATTGAAGTCATCCAGCTACCGACACACGCCATGTGCTACCTTGGTCTCACACAGCGTACATTTATCTACACAAATACTTACGCTGGGTGGCGTTAAGGGTTACACAGAATAGTGACATACCAGTAAGTGTATGTTTCATTGCTTTGTAATCTCTTAAGAGTTTATTAGATATTACATTTGATTATTTAAGTTATATTTAGTACAATTTTATTTTCTAGTTATGTATAAATTTCTGTATTACATTTTATTTCCATTTAACACATTTGTAGTTTGTATATATTTCTATATTACATTTAATTTATATTTTATTACAATTGTAGTTTGCATATATTTATATATTACATTTTATATTTAATTTATATTTAATTGTATTTTTCAGTTATGTATATATTCCTATATTACCGGCTCATTTATTAGAAGTACTGACAGCTCCTACACCTTTTATAGCTGGTGTTCATTCTTCATTACGTAATGATATTTATGATCTGGTAAGTTACTAAAGCATTAACGCAAGTATTAATCACAAATTATGGGGGGGTCTAATTCTTTTTTAGTTTCTTGTTAGATTTTAAGCTCTGAATTATGAAATATGTAAAAGTTATAAGTACAATTGAATAAAAACTAAAAGACAGATAGGAAAGAAATGTAACAATTCAATACTCATTAATTTATGGACTTAGCTGCCTTGGCATATATTTCATTGCCTGGCAACCTATATTTTTAAATTATTTATTTTAGCTGGATGTGATAACAGTTGATCTGGATAGTGGAAGTATTAAAGTACCAGAATGTGTTAATTTACCCTCAATACCAGAAATAATACTTAACAGAACCAGAAAATTACTCTCGATGGTAATTACAATGTTATCATTTATGGGATGTCGAAGTTTTTTAAAAGTTGGACTGTTTTTTTTAACGAGACACTGAACGTAGAAGAAAAACATTTTCATGTGGACGTATATTGTCGTCGACCCTGTCCATCCGTCTGTCAGTCCACAATTGTTTGTGAACACTCTACAGGTCACAATTTTTATCCGATTTCAATGAAACTTGAAATATAGGTTTATCACCCTATGATCTTGGTTCCTTTCGATATTGGCATGTATCGGACTGTAACTTCATGGATTATGGCCCCTGATTGTACGAAAAATCATGTTTTTAGCTTGTGAACTCTGTAGAGATCGCAATTTTTATCCGATTTGGTTTTAACTTGAAATGTAAGTTTATAACCCAAAGATCTCAGTTCCTTTCGATATTCGCGCATATCGGACCGTACGATTGTACGAAAAATCGCGTTTTTAGCTTGTGGACCCTATAGAGGTCATAATTTTTATCCGATTTAAAAAAACGTATTATTATATCACCGTTACACCCTAAGGACGGCTGAGTTTGAATTTTAATCCTATTTTGATGAAACTTGAAATGTAAGTTTATAACCCAAAGATCTTGGTTCCTTTCGATATTCACGCATATCGAATTGTAATTTCCTGAATTATGGCCCTTGATTGTAGGAAAAATCACTTTCTTTTTAGCTTGTTCTCTATCCATCTCTCGAAAATGTGGGCGTATTCCTGCCTGGCAGCCGCTGGTTTTTTCCGATTTTAAAAACCGTTTAGATATATCACCATTCCACCATAATAAAGGTTGAAATCGAATTTCGGGAAAATCGAAATGAAAGTGCCCGAAAAAATGGCCGCTCTTTGTACTCAAATTTTGTATAAGTATGTAATACAAAGGTTATGGACCCTCTAGAGGTCACAATTTTTATCCAATTTTGATGAAACTTAAAAAAAATCTTTATATTCCAAAAATCTCAGTCACTTTTGATATTTGTGCATTTAAGACCATAACTTTCTGGATTATGGCCCCTAATTGTACAAAAAATCCTTTTTGTTTTTAGCTTGTTCTCTATTTATTTCTTGCAAAATGTTGGCGTATCCTGCCTGGCAGCCGCTGGTTTGAATTTAATTTAAAAACTGAAACAATAAACCAGCTTATTAATTGATATTATATTTGTATCATCATATTCTAGAAGCAGTTATATATTAACAGTTGCTTGTTACTGTATTTGGTTCTTCCCTTTATGATTGTATATAATTAATCTGTATAAATATTGTTTAAAACAACAACAAAAATGTGTAAGGTTACTGCCCTTGATGTTCTATTTATAGAACAGAGCTATCTTCCAAACAGACGGCTACAAGGAAATAAGTAGAAAGTAATTGGAACTTTTAAAGGACCTACATGTATAAGGGACTGTCGCAATATTTTAAGCAAATAACCCGCTGCGGATACAAAATGATCATTTAAATGTTGGTTATTATTGAATCCTGAATGGAAATATGTCAATATTTTCTTTCTCTGTCATCACATATGAGCATGTGGTGATTGGATTAAGATCTATCCGCGGGTTATTCATCTTGACACAAGTGTTGAAATTTTGCGAAGATCCATAACTTATGTTAAAAAGACCATCCCGATTTTAACAGTCTCAGAAAAAAAAGTGTATGTATGAAATTTAACCGCCAAAATATAGAGGAACGGTGTATTTACCTTGTCTGAAAATTTCATCTCAAACTATTGAGTCATTTGGATGTGAACGTCAAAACTGCTTATCCAGACACGTGACTCTTTTAAGATTATGGGTCAGTTTTTTCATTGGGTAACCTAATAATCTATTACCGCCCCTTTAGAGGTCAAAACAGTGCATGATGCATGTTCTGTACATGATAACGAACGGTGGATTTCACCTAGACGATATAAAATAAAAGTCTGGTTTTATCCAGATACCGTATAATACAGCTTGGGACACAGGTCTCCATTTCCAGATGAAGACTGACGGGTTTAAGTTATTTGAAATGATATCACGTATATTGAGTTAGTTGCTTGGCTCCAAGGAAGAGGTTTTTATAGGCTTTTATTACAAAATTACGCAGTTTTATTCTCCAAAATATATTCAAGATTGGCCCTTTAAGATAAGACAATGCGAGTAATTTTTTGACCAATGTGCTTTTATGACATTTTTTCTGTAATATTTCTCTCTTGATCTATTACGATTTTGAGCTGAATATTTAATGTATTTTATATTATGTTTTATCTATTTCAGATTTTAACACCACAGTTATTAAGTGCTGATTGTGCATTCTCTCCATCACCTAAAAAACCATCACTTGTACAACATAGGGTAAATACTTACATTTTATTTATAATCACCTGCAAGTACAAATTGTTGGAATAGAAGATCTGATTAACATTTGAAATTGCAAATAAAATACATCTCAAATCTATTAATCTTTTTCTTGAAGTAACTGAAATATTACCTTTCAAAGTTGAAAAAAACTGATGTATAGGCTTTATTAGGAAAATATGCCAATTAGTTGGATTCTAAAGTATATGTAGCTTCTGCTCTTTTCACTGGAAGCTAGCATTTAAAGTAGCAACATTGTTTTTTTTAATCTATAGTAATCAACTACATCTTGCATGGTACACTGTAACCCAGGTATCGTTTAATCTTGTGTATCTAGCACTAATTTCTTTCACATTCAATATCCAATCTTTGTTTAAAAATTCGTAAAAATCGTTTAAAATCACCATAAATCTTTTAATTTGTACTTCTGTCCAGTTTAAAGCTGACCATTCAATTTTGATAATGAGTGTCCAATTTACAAGGGTTTAATTTCTCAATCATTGTTAAAAAATAAACAACCCAATTGATTAATGATGTATAATGATTAATTTTTGAACAGTGATCACGAAATTAAATACTTGTAAATTGGACACTCATTATCAAAATTAATCAGTCAGCTTTAAACTGGGCACATGTACAAATTAGATGATTTATTGTGATTTTAAACGATTTTTACGAATTTTTAAACAAAGATTTGATATTAAACGAATGTGAAAGAAATTAGTGCTAGATACACAAGATTAAACGATACCTGGGTTACAGTGGTACAAACTGATTGAATCTAACAATTGCAACCCTCCACATTTCCCAAAAAATGATTAACAACTAAAATAATGTGATAACAATTGGTGTTATTCAAGAATATTACAAGTACCGGAGTTTAAACTGTATCTCGAAATTAAACTGAATATTCAACATTTAGTATTATTAGATGCTGATGAAAGAAAACAAATAATTCTGCCCGGGATGGACTCATTGCCATTTTTTGTATTGTAATTAATCAGCTCTTCACTATATAATTAATCTAGAAATATTAGACCACTCCAAAACTTGACATCCTTTGTTATCTACTAAAACATAATATGGTATAAATTATTTAATTGTAGGACAAGGAAATTCGAGCTGTGTTTTTACGTCTGTTTGCTGAATTATTTACGGGCTATAGATCTTGTCTTACTCTTATTCGTATTCATCCAGAACCATTCATTAGTTTTCATAAGGTATCTAAATAAATTTATTTTTATTGTCAATATTTTTATCAACATATTTTCGTATTTTTTAAGAAATGAAATGGGGTTTAATGTCCTACTTTTCTGCACCGACTAGACTAATGATGACAGGCATACGCCAAACAATGTGCCATGAGGGAAATTTTGTCAGGACAGTGGCGCTACGGCCTTCTCTTATTTCGAATTCCAACTGTTAAGGATTCTTTTACGTGCATTCCAATGTGTACACGGGACCTTGGATATTTGTCCTATTCGAACAACTATACTTTGTCCCTTGCCAGGCCCTGAGTCCTACGTCACTGACAAGGGGTACCATGCCAGAAATCCTGGTGAACTTTCTTTGTCAACGTGGCGAACTCCAGGTTAACAAGCCAACTTCTTTCTTACTGAGCCACCATGTCTTCCGTATTTATTAAGAGTGAATTGTGATGCAAATTGATTGTCACATTGTCAAACTTTTTGGTATCTCTCCCTTTTTTTTCATCTGTTTGTGAAACAAAAGACTTTTACCCAATCACTGTGATGTAGTAGCTGTGGTACCAGTGTTGATATAGGCCTACTGATAAAAGGGAAAATGAAGACAGACTAACACCATACAGTGTGCTATGAGGGAAATTTTTAGCCTGGTCAGTGGCGCTATGGCTACTCTCAAGGGTTCTTTTATGTGCACACCAATGTGTACACAGGACCTTGGTTTTTCGTCCGATCCGAACCACAAGACACTATCCTTGCCATACATATTAGCAAGGAATCATTATAGCCAAATGGTTTTAATTGAAATATGATTTTGTTAAGAAATAGAATGAGTTATAATGCATTCTAGTCCCCATAGCTCTGCATAATTACCCTTACCAGAATTTAAGGAAAACTGTTATACACAGTATTTAAAACCTTACAAAAACATATTTAAGTGACTTTTACTTGGCTGTGAAAGAAAAAAAAAAATTTTCATTGGATTTTATAGATTGATTTGTTTTATGTAATGACAATCTGTCTATGTTGAAAAATTTATGTCTCTTGATAAAGCTAGTGGTGACTGTTGAAATTTAAACTGAAATTAGGTAATCAAAATAACATATCAGATCAACCCAAAACAATTTATTTTGACCTAAATAAAAGAGGTCTAGCTCCTTTAAATGATTTCAAAACTATTTATCATTAACATGTAATTATAACTGGCAATTGAAAAATTAAAATAAATTTAAGGTTTCCGTCTGTATTTTAGGCTTTTTTTCTGGGCTATAGAGGAATGGTGGAAGATGACTTTACACATCGTGTTTTAGATGGAATGAGTTTTTCTAGCTTTGTAACAGAAAGAGGTCCTCCATATCGTGTCTGTGATATTTTTGATGAAGTAAGTTAACACAGATAAACAATGTTTTCTTAAAGTAATGATGATTGATTTTCATTATTCGTAAAATATCAAATTTCATAGAGTTTAATCCATGTAGATATGTACTCAGATTGATTATTTAACATGTATTTAAGAAAACAACCAAAGCTAGATAATTTCCCGACTTGGATTCAGTCAGATTAAGAACAGACACATTAATTAGATTTCACTAACCATAAAGATAGTGATTGTCTTGTTATATATATCACAGAACGTCATCCAACAATAACACGACTTGTAACTACTGCCGATTATGGTAGATTTACAAAATTTGGAAAGTTCAGCTTCATAAATATGTCGATCGTTGTTATGTTTTGTATATATATATAACTGTATAATGTCTTTATTTAGGTTTATGCAACAATCCAAGATGAATTAAAAGAAGAGAAAAACCATCCAGATAAAATGATGATGAACACTAAAAACATCTCTAATCAACTTTATCTTAATGTAAGTATATATGAAGTGCTCTTTTTCAAAATACTGTAAATACCATTCACATCATTTCTGTTTTTAAAAACACTGTAAACACCATTCACATCATTCCCTTTTCAAAACACTGATAAATTTCAAGATATGTAAGATGCCTTGTTTGGCAAAGTTGGTTTTACAATATTTATATTTTATTTTACTTAATATACAAAGTTGTTTAAAATTGTAAAATCTATTTCTTCAGGAATTCCCTAATCCACAGCCATATATACAAAAAGTCCCGAAACCCACAGATGGAGCCTATGCTAGAACGCATCAACCTGCATTTCCTACATTAAATAGTAAAACAGTTCATGAGATAATAGAGGAAGGCCTTTCAAAATCCAGTATTAAATCGAAGTAAGTTATTTGTTAATCATATCTAGCATCCAGAATACACAGTTATTGATACCGTACTGTTTTAGATATTAATTTGATAATGTAGACTTGCAAAAGGAATTGAAATAGTGATTGAATAGTTACACAAGTTAGATTTTTTTCTTTGATCAACATCAATTTTCAACGATCATATTAGTTTTTTTTTTAGGGATTTTGAATCCCTTTGCAAACTACAGACTTTTGATTTACTGATCACCATTGATGTTTTTACTGGGATACCCACAGTTCAGCACACGCACGCCCAAAAATCGCTGTAACAGACCGTTTCATTGTCTAATCCCTCAATATCAACCAGAATGCGGGTTATATAACAACTCTTCCAGATCCCAGTGTAGTAAACACAAGTAAAACTAAATTTTGAACTATAACTATAAGATGTTTTAACATAGCAGTATTATTTCTTTAATGATTTTAGGATTGCTAACGTAAGACCTCATCAACCTAGAATTGTACCCATGGGCCAACCTATTTCTGCCATTGACAAACAACAAATGGTGGAAAACCATGCCAGACGTCTTGAAGTTTTAAGGAATTGTATCAACTATATTTTTGAAAATAGGATTTCAGATGCCAGAATAGTAGGTTACTTTTGGATGAATTGAATTTGTGAGCTATGGGCATAAAATCCTCATTTAAAAATATACTTCATTTTCCAGAATGATTTTTTGATAAAAATTTGTGGTCTAAGGGGAGATAACACTGCCAAGTTGTCTCCCTTGACACATTTTTTTTTTTTTCATATCTTGAAAGACCATGAAAAAAACCCAAGTAAGAATATTTTTATTTAGTTTATATTCAATGCATTTCCTAATGTTTTTGTGTGTTTATTTTAGATATTTCCAGCAGTATTAAGAGCTTTAAAGAGTAAAGTAGCTAGACTAGCCATGACACAAGAATTAAGTTATCATGTATTATCTAACCGTGCCATGTTAGAACATCAACAGTTTGATTTAGTTGTAAAATTACTCAACTGTGCTTTACAGGTAAATTGTATTATGAATAAGTATACTTAATAATAATAAATTCTCAAGACCTTGGTCCCATTTCACAAAGCACACTTAAGATAAGAAACTGTGAAAATATATTGGTATGCAGCACGCTATTTCCAAAATACTTAAAGCAATTCGAAATTTAGCATACCAATATTTAGCTTTGTTTTCAGATAAACTCTTTGATGTTTTTCAATTAAGCATACATTATGCAAGAGCTAAATCTGCCTATTGCAGGTCTTTCTTTGGGCCTGAAATGTTTTCTAAATTATTAATTAGACATTAATTAACTGATCCAGGCCATAATCAACTCTTGATGGCATCGGATTTCTCCGATATTAAATAGATTAGAACAGTTCCGCCATATTTTGATTTAAACTAAAAATGGAGGAGCGAGACTTAGCTTCATACAACCAGTACAGTGGTTGAAATTATTGCACACGTCTTGTCAAACCTTCAAAGGCTAATATCTTCGCTCACAATAGAGTAATTTGAATGAAAGTTTCAAATTATTAATTTTACATTAACTATTTTCGAACTATTATAGCAAGCATGGCTAGCTCTTTATCTAAATCTTACATAATGTACCCTTAATTTAACTGTATCAATATATACATTCTATTAAATTTTTGTAAACAGTGGCATTATTATTTAAATATTTGATAATGAGTGTAATTTATTTACTTGTAGAATGATAGTAGTATGGATGAACATGGTGTAGCAGCATCTATATTACCATTAGCTACAGCCTTCTGTAGGGTGAGTTATCTATCTTGATATGTTCTTTGGGGGATACTCGATTGTCTGTCCAGAACATCCTATATTGACCGAAATGCAATTGAGTGACGCGTTGTCAATCCCGACAACGGAGGTGGCGTGAGTCGAATCATGACATAATTAAACACACTGAATATGTTACAGCTGTCATGGTTGGTTGAGAGGTTATTAGGCAGTTGGCACATGTGTTGTAGCCCGAAATCAACCTTTTCACTCAATTGTCAGTAATTTTGAGATAATTTAATTCCAGAACATTCTATCGAGTACCCCTATAGCTAAAAATCGGAAGATTCTAATATTTGAAATGTCACTTTGTCTTTTAGACAGTATAAGACTACTGTGCAACAGTTAAAACAGTAATACATTAATAAAGTGAATCTTGCACTGGTAGATGCAGTGGTCAGACTATATTTATGACTATCTTTTTTTCATATTTGAAAGTTTTTAATTTAAACAGTTTTTATATTATGTTATAGGTGTGTTTGTTTTGTAAACCAACATCAGAACACTTTTGTGAATGATGTGCTATATAAATGTTTAATAAGTAATAATAATGTCAGCAAGATTTGAAATCCTACTGAGGTTTGCAAGAGCTATTCAAATCTCTTTATTCCTGTTCCCGTCCTTTTCTTCACATTTTATCTCATCACGATTTTCTGGCATGGCTTTCCCTTGTCAGTGGTGCAACTGTCTAGTCATTCAGATGGGACGAAAACATAGGTCCTGTATACACATTGGCATGCATGTAAAAGATCCCTTGAAAGTTGGAATTCGATATAAGAGTAGACCTTGGCACCACTGTTCGGACAAAATTTCCCTCATAGCACTGTATGGCGTATGTCTGTCTTCATTATCCCAGTTGGAACAGAACAGTAGGATGTTAAACCCCATTTCATTTCATTTTATTTTATCTCTGTTTATTTCTTTTCTTTGTAATTATTTGGTTGGGATTTTTTGTTTCTACAGAAACTATGTACGGGAGTGATACAGTTTGCATACACATGTGTTCAAGACCATGCTGTTTGGGCGAATCTAGCGTTCTGGGAACAGTCATTTTACCAAGATGTTCAAAAACAAATTAGACAGTTATATTTACCATATTATGAAGAACATTTAGTATCAGAAAGACAAAGAGAGGGTTCAAAATCTCCACAATCTCCTGCAGATGTAAGTTGAAACAACCAAAATAATGATTCATTTTGTTTAAAATCAGAAATTAATTTAATTTTGTTTTTGTATGAACTTTATGACTAATCATATTGTCTGTATTGGTATATAGCGCTACATATTGTGAATTATGGCAACGTGATATGAGAATGAGTAGGAATACAATTGTTTGATATAAATATTTCCCTGTCATACTAAATATTGCAGTGATATATAGTGGTAAAATTAGAAAAAAATAAAGAAACAAAGTTGTAATCTGATGTTAATCTCAAGAACCAAGGTCAAGCACGTTTGAAATTCATGAAGTACTTTGGATTGAAAACTATTTTAAAACTGCTTGCTATAATAGTTCAAAAATAAATAATAAAAAATTAATATTTTGACCGGAATTATGAGTGTTGGAAGATGTAGCGTAAATTTATATTACCATAGCAACGGTACTGGACAAATGAGACTTAGTTTCGATTATTCATTTTATCATTAAATTTGTAAATTCTAATCCATTTAAATCTCTGCCATCCGATTGTTTAGAGAAATGATTATAGGCTGGTCGTGTTAATAAACATGTAAAAACTAGTTTATATAACAAACTAAAGACCTGTAATGGGCAGATTTAGCTCTTACATAATACATCTTTAATATAAATAAAGAAATGCTGAATATTGTTTTTAGAGTCATGATACAAGTTGGAGTCGATCTATAGGTGATGGTTATAGAAGAACAGCTGGTGGTAAATATAGACATAGAGAAATAGGTGCTCTAGAAATAGCTGCTGAACAGGTATATTATCACATTGAATTCATAACACATCTTCCCAATGGCAAGAGTAGATGAAACAACTCCTTTGAACACTTGCATTAGAATGTATATAGCACAATATCAATTACATTAATATACATTCATAATAACACAACATATTAATACTATTACAGGTATCTTTATCAAGCAATATATGTTATATTTATAGCACGGCTTTCATGAGTTAACAGGTTTAACCACAGAGGCCATAGGCCAAGGTGTTAAACCTGTTAACGAATGAAGCGTGTTATAAATGACTTGTAACATTGACACCTGCTCAACATGCTCGTTATTGCACAGAAAACCCTCCCCACTTTTGTATATGATTTCTACTAAAACTAGCGTAAACCAGCAAAAGTGTGCAATAACATTGAAAATGTGTAGTTATTGCATGGTTAAGCTTCAGCCAATCTACTAGAAGAAAACAATCAGCTTATTCAACAAAAAGAACAAAGGAAGATTTCCCGTCCATGTTAAAAGTTATAGATAATCATTTATTTTCCTCAGGAAGGTTACATATAATTTATACTGTATTATTTGCTATAGTTGCGAGTGTGGCCAACATTAGGTAAAGAACAGAGAGATGAACTGATGAGTAATGAAGAATCTACAGTCTACAGTCAAGCTATACATTATGCTAATAGAATGGTTTATTTGAGAGTACCACTAGATGTTCATAAAACGTTAAAAAATACAACAGGTTTCGATGGAGAGAGTAATAGTAACAGTAATATAACGGCCAGGTTAATATCACTTTTAATCACTTCTTTATTCTTCTTATTTAGTCCATTCGTCCCTAGGGAGCCACAGTGGCTCAGTGAGTAAGATGTTGGCTTGCTAACCTGGAGGTTCCATGTTTGATCAAGATCCAGATGTTGACCGATATTTATGTTAATATTTTGTCTTTACCATTTATAGATATTTATGTTTATATTTTGTAGTATTGCTGAAAGTGATAGTTTTGATGCTGAGAGTGGTTTCGATGAATCAGAAGCATCTGATGTTGGAGCTAATGTTATACGATTTGTATCACGATTTGTAGATAAAGTATGTAATGATGGTGGTGTTACATCTGATCATGTTAAATCATTACATCAAATGATACCAGGTATAATATTTATATTTAAAATACTGACAATATCCTTTGATGTTGGCATACCATTATTTCAAATAATGTAAGCGCAACATTTCCATCATATATTATTTATACCAGATGAGAGAGAGAGAAATGGGGTTTAACATCCACTCAACACGAACTAGGTCATTTCAGGACTAACATACGGTTTAAATTTTATTTCAATAATTTGCTTTTGCGTAGGGGTTTTTAGCAGTGGGAGGAAACCGGAGGACCCAGCAAAACCCACGAGGTTGGACAAGTGACCCTACTCCTTGTCACGTACAACCGGGGAATCGAAAGCGCGCCAGTTGACTGAATGACAGACCTTATGATACAGCGCCATATACTAACCACTCGGCCACAGGGCTTGCCACGAGACGCGAGTAATTACTCAAGCGCACGCTACGCTCGCGTAAAACCAAATTTACGTGAGTGATTAAGTACTCGAGCAAATATAAAAAATAATTAATCAGAAATAATTGAATATCGTAATATAAAAAGCCGTAAACAATTTGTATGCCTTCATATCGATGCACTATTGCGCACGCGGCGTGTCTTTCCAGTGCCAACTGTTGTTACTAAAAATACTTTGAGACACGTACTGCCAGGCGGTTTTTAAGCGGATGTCCTTTGCCGTGTCTGGATAATCAAACATTGAGCGGATGTTGTCGTTTCTATTAATAGCAATTCTTTCGATCCCGCATCTTTTCTGCAAATTGATTGGATTGAAATTGTTTTGCCTGTTCTTTTACCTTTCTAAGCTTTACCCGAATCCCCTCAGCACGCCAACGATGGCAAAGGGAAGCCCAGTTTCTCTTGCAACGTTCTTGTCATGGGAAGACGATTTACAGATAATATTACTGCCAAGGAAATAAAAGAGTATGCATTGTCATTGTGTGTGAAATAGCTTTATTCAACGTCCGCTTCCACCGAAGTGACAAGAGCATTGCCATTAGGCACATGAAATTTAAATGGCTACTCACGCACATCATTCTGTGTGAGTAAATACATGTACTCGCCTCACTCGTGCAAGTCTATATTTGCGTGAGTAGTCATCTACTCGCCTCCAATTTGCTCGTGGCAAGCCCTGGGCCATCCAACCCCCCTATACCAGATGAAATATTGGACTCACGTGAGGGATAGTGACTATAGTGTGTATCTGTATTTTAGGTTGTTTACTAATACATTAAAGCTAATTGTTTAATAAAATACAAGAGTGAATATTGTTTATTTTATCAGGTGTTGTTGCTATGCATATAGAAACATTAGAAGCTGTTCATAAAGAAAGTAAAAGATTACCTCCTATACAGAAGGTAAGTGATATAACTATTTATATTTCACTATAGAGTCAGGATATGCCAATGGACATGGATAACGATTCATAAAGTCAAATTTATGTGAATACTTAGTATTCTTGCAAATTTTTAAAACAAATATAAGGAAAAAATGAAATATATCATTTCGAAAGAGCCATCAGCATTGGGTCAGTCTAACCATTGAGCTCACTAAAGTATGTGTGATGTGATCTATGATTTTATTTGTTTATTTATTAATTCTCCATGCCCCTGACTGTTAATAAAAGTAAACTTTTAGATGTGTACTTCCAGACCATTTGTTGAATCTGGGTAATCAAGACTGAAGATAATTTTATTGTCTTTTCTGCATCTAGTTTACATTTTGGTTCAAATTTGTAGGTTTCTTGTAAAGTAGTATAATGCTGAAGTTAGAATTTAATCGTAAACCTGCTGTATGAAAGATATCAAATATATGAAATATATGAAATTAACCACAAATTTATCTTTAGCTCCGAATTTTAATAATTGTTTGATATTATGATTACAGCCCAAGCTTCTCACTCCTACATTACTGCCATCAGAAGAAGTTGTCATGGACGGGTTACGAGTTTATCTCTTGCCAGATGGTCGAGAAGAAGGAACAGGTGGCAACATGGGAGGACCATCTCTACTACCAGCAGAGGGCGCTGTCTTCCTTACTACCTATAGAATCATATTTAAAGGCACACCTTGTGATCCATTAGGTTTGTACATTAAAATTATGTTCGCACTATAACCTATCCAAATGAATCAGAAGTGGTAAGCAGACTCTACCTCATATTTTAGTCGTGTTAATTACTGAACATATGGTTGGTTTTTTTTTCTTATGAGACAGAACTTCTATAGTAAATGTCATTTACCGTAGAAGATTTTCCCACAGGGGAAGACCTATTTAAATATTTATTACTACTAGTCTTCATTTATGTGACGAATAATTGAGTATATTTTATGATTTTGTAAAACTTTTCTATTTATTTAGCCTGTGAACAAATTGTTATTCGCTGCTTTCCTATATCCACCATTACGAAAGAGAAGAAGTTAAGTGTTCAGTATTTACCTCATTTAGATCAATGGTTACAGGAAGGATTACAGATACGATCAAATGCCTTTCAGGTTAGTGAAATGAAATGAAATGGGGTTTAGCATCCTAGAGCTCAGGGTAAGCAGAGCCAGAAGCAATTTATCTCTCCTTCTAATTGAGGCCAAATGTTCAAACTTGGTGAGAGCAATTGAACTCTGAGTATAGATTCCTTACATCAATACCTTGACTAAATTCGATGGTGAGAATTTGATAGGTCAAGACTTTGGAAAATAACAACTCGGCTTTTAATTGAGGTAGAATGTTTAAACTTGATGTAGATGTTCATTAGGTGAATGTCTTGACTGAGTTCAATGCTTAACATTTCCTGATAAAGCTAAGCAGAGTTAAGCAATTTCTTTGGTCGATGCTTTGGGACAAGATAACTTTGATTCTAACTAATGGAGAGTGATGAAACTTAGTGTATAGTTTCACTACCAGGTACTTAAAAACCTTGACAGAGTTTGATCGTTAACATCTTATGTTTAGACTAAGTATAGAAAATCAGTTTGATTGCTCGATACTTTTGAAAAATGTGCAATTAATTGATATGTGCCTTTTATTTATTTGGGGATTTCGGTGGGGGACATCAGCCTCACTGTTGGCTTGTTTGATTTGATATGCCCATACGGAAATGTGTTCACATATTGTCAGCGCTCACATTTGTCCGCCATCCACATGTTATCTGATTGTTTTAGAATTTGTACATAAGAATGTCTGGGCTGTGTAATGGTGTAATGGTACCAATAATTAATTTGTCAATATGCTTTTTAAAGAAATGATTTGTTAACTTTTTTTTAAAACTAATATAAAACCTCATTTTTTCAGTTAATGAAGATCGCCTTTGATGAAGAAGTAGGTTCGGATGATGCAGAAACGTTTAGAAAGCTTACAAATAAACTACGCAACCCACCAAACATCTTCCACACTTTCGCATTTAGCGGTCAAACGATTCATGAGGCCACACCTCTGCACAAACATAAAGAGAAAAATGCTTCCTTACGGTAAGTAATTAGTAGGCATGTATTTATAGAGGATAACTAACTGATTTACAATTGGAAATGTGGTTGTATATTGCCGTCGCCCACGTCCGTCCGTCCGTCCTTCGCCCACAATTTCTTGTGAACACTCTAGACTACATTTATTATCTGATTGTTTTGAAATTGATATATGTTGTTGATATTAGTGAGATGAAGAAGCCTATTGATTTTCAGCGGTTTCCGATAATTACTGCCAGAGTTATGGCCCTTGATCACTTTGAAAAATCTTGTGGACGCTCTAGAGGCTAAAGTTAATATCCGATTGACTTTGAATTTATACACAGTGTTTAAGGTCATGAGATGAAGCCTATTAACTTTCAACGATATCCGATAATTACTGCCAGAGTTATGGCCCTTGATCACTTTGAAATATCTTGTGGACTCTCTACAGGCTAAAGTTAATATCCCATTGACTTTAGATTTATACACAGTATTTAAGGTCATGAGATGAAGAAGCCTATTGATTTTCAAGTTTTCCAATTACTGAGTTATGGCCCTTGATCACTTCAAAAAATCTTGTGGATGCTCTAGAGGCTAAAGTTATCATTCGATTGACTTTAGATTGATACACAGAGTTTAAGGTCTTGAGACGAATAAGTTTATTGATTTTCAATGCATTTTGATAATTTGAACAGCTAAATCCATGATATTAAATGTATCGTATACTAAACATTAGCATGGAGGAGAACTTTATAAAAGCCAAACAAATTCTTATGATTTTCTGATAATTACTTAATGAGTTGTTACTCTTAATCAGATTTTAAGTATTATAAATGTTTCATTTCCAAAAAATGTAAAAATATACGACAACTCTTGTTAATTGCCTGGGCGATTTAGCTGCTGTGGGCGTATATTTCGTTGCCTGGCAACCTATCTTAATTTTAGGCAAAACATGTAATTGCATCGTTTTAATTTCAGGCAATTTGCGAAGCGTACCTTGTTGAAGACGGCTCGTAAAGCTGGGTTAAAATCTAAACAAACAACTCATAATAAAAAGAAGTATGTATTACCGACACCTCCATCCACTAGACGTAATATATCTCCTCGATCATCTGATAGTGAATCTGAACGTCCTAATAGTGATGTTTATGATGATCTCTCTAGTAAGTATATTAAAATAGTTATCATTAATTGCATGTTGTGAAGATAAGAATTACTTATCTCCCCTAGAAACTCTACTTTCTGTGACAGTATAATTATGGGGTAATGGTGATGAATTTTAATGAAAAAATCACCTAATTTTACTTTAACCCTTTCTACATTCTTAACCTTCTTGAATCAGATGATTTTTCAGCAGATCTGTCTAAATCACTACGTCGAAGGATAAAATTTATAACAATAGTTTTTGGTGAAATGATGGCAGCAGTCCCTAGATCGAAGGGCAATACAGCTATAGATATTTACTAATGAGGGTTCAAAGAGTTAAATAGAACTAATTATCCTTTTTCTCCGTTTTCCCTCCAACTAGAATCCAAGTTTAACCCCAATCTGTTTTCTTTACTGTCTATCTATCTAATATATATATATATGTTTTTATGATTATTATCTTCTGCTACTAGGAATTGAAGGTTTGATATTGTTTATTGTAGTAGATGTAAATGTGTTGTTATTTGTTACCTGTGTCAAAAAAGGAGGGAGATAATAGTCAGGAACAATAGCTGCTCTAACTCTAATAGTAAAACTGCTTCTTGGGACAATTGTTTGTTTTTTTTGTTAGTAGCTCTGTTATAATTCGCTCTGCTTGAGAACAAATACTAAGCTAGCTATAGTTGACCAATATTACAAGTCCTAAATCAACGATTTTATTTGAAAACAATAAGTATATTTTGAGAAGTATTAATTCTGCTTCCATTTAATAAAATTAAAAAGGTTTGATAAGACTTTGTGTATGATAGATGTGAAACAGAATAGAACCACATTAGACTATATACAGTATACTAATATTTGGACATGGCAGGCATTTAGAACAGAGGTCTATCCTCAAAATAGAGTAGATAGTTCTCTGTGTACACGCTCTTTCAAATATACAAATAGTTTTTCAAGGTCATTTGAACAAATATTTTATTATTCTTCAACTTAAATAAAAGAAGAATTATCTTTCATTTTTTTGTCTAAAGTAGATATTTAATATATTAATTCATTTAAACTAATCTATTTTCAAAAACAAACAAAAGATGAAGGCCAATATTTTTATTTGAAAGTTACACAATTTCAAGAAATCTAACAATGCACAAATCATTTTAATTAAGTCGAATATGGAAATAATAAAATCAAAATTCAATGTGAACGTTATATTTTAGTTGAATGATTTTTTGTAATTTTTTAATACAACATATTAGCATGAAAATCTTGGATTATTCCAAAGCGATTTACTTGTTTATGACTATGCTATAAAAGTGTGTTGTGTATTGTACTAGAGTTTAATGTTTTTTTTAGTTCAGTAATTAATATAAGCTTCCATATGGCTTCCATATATACCAAAATTGCCATACTTTTATTGGAAATAACCACCCGATAAATACTTTTCTGGGAACCCATCTTTAAACTAATGAGAAAAATATATTCGTTGCTAAAATAGTAAATCTTGAGAACTTTTCAATAAACGTAGCAGCCATTATGAATGACATGTCACTTTAATTTAAAGACAAGGAGTGGATGAGCTCTTTAACATGAACACAGTTAATATGCATGTCGATAGCACTCACTTGTTGTTCCAATTTGTAATATTTGACTTGTTTAAATTATTGGGGCATATTATGCAATTTGGGTCTGTAATTTTAAGGAGCTGTGGTGGCTCAATGAGGAAGTCAGAACTAGAGGGCTGGCAAGGGACAGCATCTAATCTCATTTGGATGGGTACAAATAACAAGGTCCTCTGTACACATTGGCATGCACGTAAAAAACCTGTGACAGCTGGATAAATGTGTCAGTCATTAATGAGTATCACCTATTTATTTTGGGGAGATTGAGATGGGGAATCTTTCACTTGTTAATAATGAATACATTATAAGTATGAAAAGGAATTTGACCTGCTGGTATACTTCATTTGTTAACATGATAATTAAGATCTTTAATAGTTTTTTGTATAATATGAAATAGAATTTTGATTATTGATAAGATTTTTCAGATACGATTTATTATTATTATTACTTGAAATTTGACTAGCTGCTGTCTACTATTGATATTAATTACAAGTTAATATATTTTGTGTGTTGAATTTCAGTAATTGATGAGAGTGAATTTGCAACATCTCTTTCAAATGATCCGAAGAATTTAGAACGTTTAATGGAACGACCAAGTTACCTGGACTACCAGAGATTAGGTTTTGCTAATCTGACAATGGCAGGTCAGAAGTCAAATCGAGATCTCTTTAGAATTTCTACTGTAAATGCCAATTACTCTGTCTGTAGAAGGTAAGAAAAGAAAAGAAATAGAAAATATTTTAAATTCACTTCTGTTTCCTTGCATGGTGTAGTAATAGATATGGCTGTGTGATTTCGTGGTTTGATTTTCGGAAATAAGTTTGTACCGGTAATAATTATAAAAATTTCAAGATAACAATTTTCTAAAAAAAAAAAAAAATGTATCTTGGTTCGTATTATTATACAGTAAACATATAAATTTTATGTTATAGTTATCCTGCCCTGCTTGTAGTACCTGCTGCAGTCACTGATGAAAGTATTAGAAAATTTGCTAGATGTCATCGTCAATACAGGTAGGTTAGAATGTATATATACAAATATATAAAACCTGTTGCACCTATCTCTCCTACAACTAGAATAAAGAGGTAGTTTGAATTAATTAAGATTTTTGAGCTGGGCGGGGGGTCGGCCGAATGGTTAGCACATGCATACTGTATCATAAGGTCTGTCATTGAGTCAACTGGCGGGGTTTCAATTTCCCGGTTGTACGTGGCATGGAGTAGGGTCACCTGTCCAACCTCAGGGGTTTTCTCCTGGTCCTCCGGATTCCTCCCACTGCTAAAGACCCCTATGCGCAAGCGAATTATTGAAATAAAATTGAACCATGTGTTAGTCCCGAAATGACCTAGTTTGTGTCAAGTGGACCTTAAACCCTCTCTCTCTCTCTTTGAGCTATGAACACCTTTTGGAAAAAATAATATTCTTGAGATGTGGTGTTATTATTTTAAGAATGTACTGTGATGTATTATGTGATTGTATTACAAATACAGTGATGTATGACGTGTTTTTTCAGATTACCTGTGATAACATGGAGACATCCGAGAACTAAAGCTCTATTGTTACGAGCTAGTGGTTTACATAGTCGTGGTCTTATGGGTATGTTACGACACAATCCATCTGCTGGTAATTATCTAGTATTTTTTGTTAAATCCATGCAGTTCTGTTAATCAGTAAATGACTTTTGAGATGTTTTTCTTTGTCAGATAATCCTATCTGTATCAGCCGATGTTTTGATATTGGTAGTTAATTACATTGATTCTCATGTTAAGGTAATATTGCCTCTTTTACTAGAGAAGATGAAATATTCAACTATCTTACAACTATATTTAACTGGTTTATACTAATTGTAGGAACTTCAAGTGGAGAAACATCATCTAGTATCGAACAAGAGAAATATTTTATGGCGGTTGTAGCTGCTACACCAAACAATGCTCGTTCTTATCATCCATCCTATAGTGATTCTCTTACTAGTCTAGATTCCCTCATGATGGTTGGATTAATGGATCCTCTCAATATACCAGAAACACCCGATGTTTTACGTCGTGGTGGTGTTTATAAAGGAACGCCGGCTGCTAGATCTAGTGTAGCCCATAAACCTAAACCTGGATGTAAGTTTTGATATATTTTCTAACTGTACTTATATCTGCAACAATTCACATCATGAAGTTGTGGTCTTTCGGGTTCTTTATGGCCAATGTTTCATTATGTGTTCCGTTCCTGTGTCTGCACAATTAAGCCAAAGTTGAAACTAGACAAACTGACTTCTGCTTAATTTTTTTGAAAGGGTTAAATCAACAGATTTGAATACTTTATTTTGATCTTAAATAGGTTTAGGTCCTTTAAGAAGAACAAAAGATAATACTGAATGACTGTTAAACTATTTAGATTCCTACCTATTTTGCAAATATTTTTCCGATAGGCTCATTTCATAACTTTAGGTTATGTCTGTTTGTGAATTGTTGCAGAGCTCATTTTCATAATCCGTTTATTATTCATGTGATCATTTGAGTTTTATAAAGAGTTAAAAACTGTTATGCAAGTATCTATAAAATGTGAACAATTCAGTTTCTGTCATTTCTTTTTTTCTTTTCATTTGGTTAATCTTTTTTAGACATTTTTCTTATGTGCCTCAGTGCTGAGATGATTTTTAAATTGCTATACTTATTATGATATTTCTCTGTCATTCTTAACGAAATTTAGCATAAGCCTTTTATTATTTTCCTCATTGCTGAATTAAAGATCTACTTTATTATTGTACTGACTGTCGTATTGTGACCATGTTCTTATTCTGATTTGTGTGATCTTAATGGTGCGCTCATTGATGATCAAAATTACTGTATACGTCACTAGGGTACTTGTAAATCATATTTGATACACTATACAGAAATAGTGACTCTAGAAAAATAGAAAAAGACAAACACCCAAAATCTGCAGCATTACTCAGTGACACTTACTTGTAAATACAAAACATATCAGACACTGATTAGTTTATTTTCCATAGTCAGTAAAGAATTCATGCTTTTTGTTGCATTAGTTGTATAATCTTGGTTCAATCTTCAACAAGACTATGTTCTTGTAAATTAGTAGTCAAGCAGCAAACACAAACACCCTGTAGGCATTCACGATCAGTAATGAAGGCACCATTACTTCATATTGTATTACTATTCTTATCTATAATGCATCATTTAATCTGATTTTAAAGATGTTGATTTGTTTCTTTACAATTATTTGTGTATAAAGTCTGATTTATAAAACTGTTTCATTCATTAACTATAAAGAAATGCTACCGTAGTCTGAAAATAGATCTATTAACATTTTTTTTCCTTCTAATTTTTGCAGTGCTAATCATAATTATTTTGTTTAGTTTTTTTTTATTTTGCATTTTGCTTTAATTTTTGCTATTTTGCATTAGCTACTACCACTACTACTACTGCTGCTGCCACTACTGTGGGTGATACCAAGAGGAGCGGAGCCATTAGTCATACTGTACACCGACTGCGTACTAGCTTTGGCAAAGGCAGTAGAGCCACTCGTAGGTTTAAACCACTTGTTAGAGCTTAACATAAAACCTATAAAAGGCCAGTCTTAATTAATGAAAGTCTTTTGCATTTATTGCCCAAAATTCATATATGATCTAAAGACATTGTCTAAATATTGCATAAATTGTATTATGTACCGGTAGGTGAAATATCATTGAGAAAAAAATCTTACCGTACTCAACAGAATAAGTGTGCACACCCATTCTCTTAATCTCCAAGAATTTTATCACGAGTACTTGCTCTGTTCTAATACACTTAGACACTTTAATATTGTAATAGTTTAGTGTGTAGAGGAAGTTTTGCAAAGAGACATTTCTGATCAACCTTCCCAATTTTTATGAGGTTTTGTGTAATGTAGTTTTGTTAAATAAATTAAGATAGTGTTCTTTTCTATATAAAATTTACAAGTGTTATGCTTCACAGATTTTAGAGACTGTTAACAGTTACATTAATTGGGGACTTGTACAAGACATGTATGAAAACACAGGGGTGTCAAATAATCAAAATTGAAAATGTATTAGTAATATAGTTAAATTACTATTAGTCTAAATCTGTTTTAAATGAAAATAACCCAAAAAACTGTTAGATGTCTCTATATTTTACAGTCGTACTGCGCATTTGTTCATCAGCACTTATTTGGTTGATGACGGTAGTCTTAAAAAGTTATAATTAATTTCGCTGTCAAATATACAAAGATTTGAAACTAAAAACTATGATTTTCCAATTGCTGCAAAAGAATTACGTAGTTTAGTGTTATGTACATCTGTTATTTAATCATGTTGTTTATATGTTAGTTTATTGCCCAGTCATTTACAAATGTGACTGGTGCCAGCAAAATCAGTCACTTAGGTCACTTCATCAAAATTGAGTTCTATACATTTCCTGAAAGCCACAACTGTAGGCTTTAAAATGCAAAAATATTGCCTTTTGGACTATTAATTGTAAAATTATTTGATGTGAAATAGACAACCAATTTCTATTGTTTTAGGGAGAATCTTGATCATGTATGGTTCAACATCCCTTTTTAAAAATCAATTTTTGAGTTCAAATAATTTAAAATACATTTCCTGAAAGCCACAACTGTAGGCTTTAAAATGCAAAAATATTGCCTTTTGGACTATTAATTGTAAAATTATTTGATGTGAAATAGACAACCAATTGCGATTGTTTTAGGGAGAATCTTGATCATGTATGTTTCAACATCCCTTTTTAAAAATCAATTTTTGAGTTCAAATAATTTAAAATGATTTAGAATTCTGAAAGAAAACATTTCAAAATATTGTTTGGTGATGATAACTAAAAATCAATAATCTCACCACTGATCACTGCTGTATATAGCCTATAGCTGACTGATTTTGTTGGCACTAGTCACAAATAGTAAATACTGTATATTAAAATCAACTCACTAATAAAAACAATAACAGATATATTTTAGATATAACAGTTACAGCTTGCACTTCATTTATTCAGATTAAGCATAATCTATTTGATACCACCATTTTTCTTTATTGACTTGAATTAACGAAGAACAATGTTATTGTTTTCATTTTGAGACACATTACTTTTAATTTGTAGCCTGTATACTATAGCCTTAGTTGCTTTTAACCCAAATAATGATATTAATATATAGATAATTAGGGAAAGATATATTTATGTTGATGCTTTAATGATCTTCATTGCGTTTTATGCTGCTCTTAGCTAAAGACCTTTTTTGCATTTTTTTAAGTCTTTTCCTTTATTGTGATGTTTGCTGGTACATATTTTAGCACAGTTGATATAATTTTAAGCATGTTAGAAATTATTATGATAAATATCAAATAATTGAGTTACCAAAAGAAGAATTTTGTATTGTCTTAAAATGATCTGAATTAATAAGCCAAGTCTACAATTAACAGTTCAAGTAACAAAATATATTTTTTTCCAGTATATTAATAAGATTTTATTTTTTTAAATGAACAATGATTACATTTCCAGTTCTGACTATGCCAAGGAGAGCTCGAAGAGGCGTACAAAGTAATACTTGTTTGTCAGCGAATGTGTCCACTGCATGTTAACTAAAATTCTGTTGATAACATGTCCGCGTCATGTAATAAGATAGACGTTATTACCTAGAAAGCATTTTCCTGTTATCATTCCCCGATAGAATAGTTTCACCAGGAATTAGGATTATTTCATTTTAGTTGTGTGTGATTTGTTAACAAAGCCACATGACTTTTATTTGTGATTGTAATTGCACTGTTGTTTATTAATTGACTGACTTGTGACATTTATCAGTAAAGATCTGGATGAGATGCTCAATCAAAGTAATCAAAGGAAAATTAATTTCATTTCTTAGCAATTGTTCTATGGCATATATTAGATTACTCAATCCTACGAAATCCATCAAACATGTAATGTTGCTCTATGCTTTTTGTGCTAGATATATTGATTTGAGCTTGTTTTATCCCCCATCTTCATTAGCTCGGTTTGTGCAGAAAACTTGGATGTTAAACCCCATTTTAGTTTACTTCTGTTCAATTATACTGAAATCCAGTTAAAGCTAGCTAAACTGGAATGCAGGGATGTAATGTCTTATTTCTCTTTACAAGGATTCAAAACTTATTGAAACATTGTACTTATGTATAATAAATCAGTGATTGTTATCCCATATAACTGTGTCAATCACTAAATCAGTAAATGCCACTAATCATGACTAAAGGATTAGATTCGAAACCCGGAGTGAGGGGCAGTTATGTAATTTTATGGCTCGCAGGAATTCTCTTTCCTTCCTAATATATAGATTGTAAAGTAAATAAATCTTTTGAAGTTTCCTTCAACAATTTCTGTTAACTCTGACAGCTTTTTGGGTTTTTTGTTTTTTTATGGTCACGTCTACAATGCTAGCTAGAAGATTTTGCCAGATAGCAATGTTTCTGCAGATGTGCTTGTTAAAGGGACAATAACACTCTTGCTGGCTTGACAGCTCCAGAAAATAAAAAATAGCCTTATTCTAAGTACTAGATGTGTTAGTGTCCTACCTGTTGTGTAAATTATCCATTAAATCCTATTTTACTTGTCCAAAGGGTTCAAAAATATTTTTAAATCCAAGTCACATTTGAAAAGCTTTACGTCAGGCTTTTCAAATCATTTAGTTGAATTTTTCCAATTTTTTAAATTAGGTGTGTTAAGATGAAATTTGTATCATCAATTAATTGGAATATTGTGAAATAGTGCAATTTGTTGACCAGAATAAAGATTGGGACATATTATTCAGTTACAACAAGAGTGGTATTGAGCCTTTAAGTTCCGTGTTTTGGATTGTGGAGTTTAGAAAAAAAAGGCTGAGTTTTTACCTCAATTAGGTGTTATGTGTGGATGATAGTTGGAAACAACTAAAACATGTCCGAAATAAGAATGATAACAGGAAGGGATTTAGGCTATAGTATATGTACGTGCGATAGATGTTTGCTTACAATTGCTAGTAAGGAAGAAATGTTAATAACTTTATGTAGCCTCAGCCAATTTAAAAGATATTAATTGTAGAGATTTTATTTTTTTTTGACAGGATTGTTTTTTTGTCTTACTAATAAAAGATCTTTGTTATGTAAAACCTAATACTAACTAAAGATGACAAATATCAATAAAGGGAACTATTATCATATTTTACCCTTTTGCTTTGTAATTTGTATGTATATTCCATAATAAGAGTTAATAAAATATAAAACTTTTATAAACCTTTTAGATAAGTATATAGATAACCCAAATGGCATGCTCTTTTCTCAAGATATCTTCTATATTCATAATTAAATATAGGAACAACTAAGACTTCTACCCCAAGTAATGGCTTTAAATGGATTTATTTAAATCTAGAATTGTTTTAGCAGTGCTTTTAAAAGATTGATTTATTAAGCTACAGATGTTGTTTTTTTTTCATATATTCTTTTTTTTTATTAATTGTTTTCTTCTTAGTTTACTAATGTATGTTTTTATTTCAACTGTTTATGTTTAAACAAGCCAATAGTAATATATTGTGCATGTTGAAACTAATACAATTCAACATCTAATAAAACCAAGTTCATATTTTATATCAATTAAAATTTATTTATTAATGATTTTTATTGATGCTATTAATTAAAGGGTGCACATATTAGTTTTATTATAGATACATATACATTTGAAATTAGATATGAGGGGATAAGATTGTAGTTAGAAATATTTCTAGAAGGGAGAAAATGATGCTATTTTTTCTTACATTAATTAATTGCTTAATCCTATTATTTGGGATTTACTTTAGTTCGTAAGATGTATTGGATAGTTAATGAATTTTATTTTTTTAAAATTTAAATACTTTTATATTTTATTTTAGCTTTTACACACTTTTATAAACTTAAGCTTATCTAGATTTAATACTTTGTAGCATACTAATCTCCTTACTTACAGCTTTACAACGTATTGGTAGTTTACGTGAAAAATCCCGCCTTTCATCATCAGGGCCTGAAGCTAGATCTCATAATGGTAATTTAGACAGTCGAGGTGATCTGATCAATAACTCTGTTCAACATCTACATAGAGTTCGTCTATATGTACTGGGTGAAAAAACTCAAATGAAGGTTAGTTGAATAAGTCTTGAGAATTATTAAAATATGCCTATATTCTATGCGCTCCATGTTCTGGACATTATTGCCTGATCACTAGTATCTTTTGATTGGTGGGGGGTTGGATGGCTGAATGGTTAGCATGCGCGCGCTGTATCATAAAGTCTGTCATTGAGTCGACTGGCATGGTTTCGAATCCCCGGTTGTACGTGACAAGGTGTAGGGTCGCCTGTCCAACTTCGTGGGTTTTCTCCGGGTCCTCCGGTTTCCTCCCCCACTGCTAAAGACCCCTACGTGCAAGCGAATTATTGAAATAAAATTAAACCATATGTTAGTCCCAAAATGACCTAGTTTGTGTCGAGTGGACGTTAAACCCCATTTCTCTCTCTCTCTCTTTTGATTGGTATTGGATCCATGGCCCAAAGTGTAGCATATCCAAGTATTTTTTCTAGCTCTAGAGGGAAAAGTTATTTGTGTATTTTTTTTTTTTTTGATTTAAAAATAGTATGCCTGTGTGATTATTTACAGATTCATGAAATCCTTCTTGATGGATTTTTATTCAGATGTATAGGACTAACCCATTCAAAACCCGACTCAAATCTCTATTCTGTGCAAAGTTATTACCCTTGCTTAGAAAGTACCAGTTCAAATCATTATGGTTAGAAAAGTGAGAGGGCCAGAAATGCTGAGTCTACCTCTTGTAAAGATTGATGGTATCAAGTCATTCATTTGCTGTTTCAGGGAATTAAAATGGAGTCCTTTCCTAAGTGTGATTTTATACCAGTAGATTTTTATGAAGTACGACATGTTAAAGCTAGTTTTAAGAAGTTAATGAGAGCTTGTATACCAAGTACAGCGTTTCCTGTTGGTGAAGGTTTTTATAAAGCTGTAGAAGAATCAGAATGGCTTTTACAGGTAAATTATACCTTTATGATTTTCATCCAAGATTCTTTATCGTGTCAGATTTGAATTATCAATTGTTAACTTGAATATAAAGAGTGAAAAAAAAGGGGGGGAGTGGGGGCGGATTTGTTATTTATGTTTACTAGTTGGATAAGAAAATCTGAGTAATTTTAAAGATTTGGCTCATTAATTTCAGATTATATAGTAATTGAATGATAATTTCATTAAACAATATGGATGTAGTGTAAAACTGGCTGCCACTGTATTACCATGGTAAACTATCTGTAGTTAAGGAATTTTGCCTAGTCAGACACCACTGACCAGAGTTAACCAGTACTGGGTTTAAATCTCGTGGTTAGTGAGCTATAATTACCGAGCCACAGTTGTGTATACATTTCTATACATTAATTAAAATACTACACAGATGTCTATTACTATTGCATGTTCATCAAAACACTGTGGTTTCCCCTTGTCAGTGGTGCAGAACGGAGGGCCTGACAAGGACAGCTGTCTAGTCCTTTGGATGATACGAAAAACCGAGTTCCCGTGAATACATTGGAATGCACGTAAAAGATCCCTTGGCAGTTGGAATTCGATATAAGAGTAGGCGATAGTGCCGCTGCCCGGGCAAAATTTCCCTCATAGCACACTGTATGGTGTATGCCCTTCAGTAGGATGTTAAACCCCATTTTATTTCATTTCAAAACACTGTGGTAAAACATCATTTCTTTCAATAGAATTACTCCAGACATTGCCAAGACTACTACTGTAGTCGTCACCGACTATATAACGGGAACAGCCACAAAATCTCTCCACCGACTATATAACAGGAACAGCCACACAATGTCTCTTTAAGCCTGAAGAGGTCATATGAGAACGAAACTATTAGCTTCATGAGAGAAATCTGTGACAGGTACCCAGTACTAATATAGATTTTCAAACTGATTGCTATAAATTATATATATTATTTGTATTGTTTTAATATAGATACAGAGTATACTACAGTTAGCTGGTGCTACAGTAGATCTATTAGATGTACAGGGATCATCTGTTATTGTCTGTTTAGAAGATGGTTGGGATGTTACAACACAGGTCAGTTCTAATCTTTATAGAAGATGATATAACACTCGTTGAAACTTCTAAGTAACTTTTATTCCATTTAATTGTGTCATATGTTGCTTAAGCTATGTGTTCAGTTTTAGTTGTATTAAAAAATTCTTTTATACTGACATATCACAAGTTTTTGTCAAGATTTGTACAGACGATTTCCAATACGATTTCTGGTGTATCTGTTGAAGTGAATTTCAAATTGATGTTAACTTAAGAGGTAAACTCTAAAACAGGAAGAAGATTATCCTAGAAACTTGTCCTTAATTCAAATGGTAACAGATAACAAGGGGTATTAAAACTCAATACCCAAGAACAGTGTGTGGAATATCGACATAGCATCCAGTAAATGTCCTATGTATTGTAACTTAAACATAAGACTCAAATAAAGTCTTCCATTAAAATGGGATTAGACTATTAGTTACAATTCTTTCAATATCTGTATTATAAGTATTGTTCTAATTCTCCTGTGTCGCATGAAACAAAGGTTGGGATATTAAAATGGACTGTTGTTGTCCATCCTTCCATCCAGGTTTTGTTTCCAGAGTTTATCTGTACCAATTTGAATCTGTATAATGTTATCAATTTGGTTGTTTTATCTATTGTAGGTGATATCTATAGCAGAGATATTATTAGATCCATACTATAGAACTATTGAAGGTTTTAAAGCTTTGATAGAAAAAGAATGGATATCATTTGGTCATCGTTTTACACATCGTAGTAATCAAACAGCTGCCAATCAAGCCAGTGGTTTTGCTCCATTATTTCTACAGTTTCTAGATGTCGTACATCAGGTAAGATTATCAACAAAACATACATAGTGTTCATGAACTGCTCTGTCTCGTTTGATAGACACGGCTTGGAGGTTTAGTGTTTGAATTCACGAAAAGATACAGTGCCTGTTAAAGAAACATTGTTACTGCATTCAAAGTTTGACTGCTATTGTAAGTGACTCACACATTGGTTAATTTAACAACACTTCCATAGTTGGCATACAACTCAACAGAATATAGCAAATGTTTATGTTTTTTGTTATAATTATTTGGTAATTGGAAAGAACTTTACTATAATAAGGTGGAAAGAACTTCACTATAAGGTGGAAAGAACTTCATTATAATAGTAAGTGCAGGGGGACTGCACCACACACAATTGCACAAAATAAATCTGCAGACAAGACACTATACACAGAAATCACAAACAAACATACATTTCAGATTAAGTGAATGGATCTGTACGAGTCATTATCTGCTATATGCCACATGAAATATGAATGTAAGCATATTGAAGGAAAAATAATTACCTATACAAGTAAACATGTCGATGAAATGTATAAAAAAAGCCAGCTGGAAAGAACTTCATTATAAGGTGGAAAGAACTTCACTATATGGACTTTAGTTAGGTCTAAATAGATAGAGTGAAATATACTGTCTTGAAGTTATTAGCCTGCTGACTTTTATTTTATATTATTAATAATATAAGTTTGTTTTGTTTCTAGATACACAACCAGTTTCCATTATCCTTCGAATTTAATCAGTATTTCATCAAGTTCTTGGCCTTTCATTATGTATCAAATCGCTTCCGAACATTTATGTTAGACAATGAATTTGAACGAGTGGAAGCAGGTTGGTTATTAGAGGAGAAGAAACCATCTAAAGTTGATGATGTTGATGAAGAGATTGGTTTCTCACCAAAACATCAACATCAATCAGTTGGAGTATCTATATGGGATTATATAGACAAACAACATAGACGATCACCTATATTTACTAATTTTATGTACAGTCCTGAAGATCAAGAACAGGTATGTACAGTCTATTCTGAAGTTCAGCCCTTGTCATATATTTTTTTAACAACAGCTGTTCCTGTTGTACCCTTGACTGTACTCGGGACATCAGGACTGTTTTAAAGGATTGATGTGTCATTTGCATTTTCTCACAGCCTCTGGGCCAACCCACAACAGACTAATGAACAGATCAACCACGATAAAAAATATAGATAGATAGATTCATGAAAATGAATGATGTCATTTTGATCTGCCAAGGTTGGGGTGAAGGAAAGTTCACCTGTTACCCGTAGCAAAAGTTCAGTTGAAAAAATTCATTAATACCATTAAAATTAGATCCTTTTTAATCATTATTTAATTAGATTCATTTACTCTTTCAGGTGATGAGACCATATTCTAATATTTCTAATTTGAAGATTTGGAATTATTTCTTGAATGAAGATTTATGTCATGGTCCATCATATGATATAGAACTTGTAATTCAAGAATTACGTCAGAATGAAGATCAAGAAGCAGAAGCCATGGGAATAGTTAAACGTAAAATATTAAATGGTTGTTATGATAATATTATGCTTCAACAACCAAACTATTTCAGATTACAGTTTCAGGTAAGGCAAATAAATTCAGTTATGGAATTCTGTTAACTTATATTTACTGAATATAGATTACTTATATTTACTAGAATATGGATTACTTGTATATTTACTGAAAATGGATTACTCAAATATTTACTGAATATGGATTACTTATATATATATTACTAAATTAGCTGAGTATGGTTTACTTGGATATTTACTGAATATGGATTACTTATATTTACTGAATATGGATTACTTATATTTACTGAATATGGATTACTTGTATTTACTGAATATGGATTACATAATTATATAGTTATTGAATATGGTCTACTCTTTTTGTCGGTATACAATACTGCTAGTTTTATGAACTTATAAAATAACTGAACAGTGGTATCTGGTGTTTTAGAAAGAGTAAGCATAACCCACCCCTGGTATGACACCCCATACTACTTTGTATCACAGTAATAAATCAAAATATTTTCTAAAATTTGACAATTCAATAAATAAGATGGATCACTTCATATAAATAGTTAATTTTTTACCTAAGATCTCAATCTTAAAAAAAATCAGAATTACATAGTTGCATGGTCAGTATTATTAATAATATGAGTCGAGAAATACATTTACAATTTCAACAGTTAAAATTTGTTTATTTCTCTCATTTCAGGAAATTCACAAACTTGAAACTGATCTTGGTCATTTACCCCAGAAGTGGAAAGTATTATGGGACAAATTGGAATCACCTCAACGTGATAGTATTCATAGACAGATCTCATTTAATACACAGCTTGTTAAATCACATGGACGTTCTATACATAAACGTTCTACACTAGAGATTTTAGTCAAGGGTAAAATGTTAGGTGAAGCAGCTCGTATGTTTAGTCAACCACACAGATTTGAAAGACATACGTATACCACCCCAGCTTATTGTGATTATTGTTCTCATGTACTGTGGGGACTAGCTAAAACAGGTACGTATACCACCCCAGCTTATTGTTCTCATGTACTGTGGTGACTTAGCTAAAACAGGTACGTTCAACCAGTCAGTGGTATAGATAATAGTACAGTATGCCATTCTCTACACGCCACATATATTTTGTAGAAATGAAATGAAATGAAATAGGGATAGCATCCGACTTTTCTGCACCATCAAGGCTAATGGAAGTGCAATCATTTCCAAAATTCCAACTGTCAAGGGTTCTTTTAGGTGCTTGTACACAAAAGCCTAGCTCGGTTTTCCACCCTTCTTAAAAACGAGACACAGTTCCTTATCGTGCCCTCGATCCTGCACCATTAACAAGGGGGAACTAAAACGGAAAATCCGGTGGAACATTCTCTGCCAATATTGGAATCGAATTTGGAACGTGCTGGTTAGCATGTCAGAGCCTTATTTACTGAAGCACTGCAGCACCATCCTCTGTGAATTGTCAAACAAACATCAGCAGATAGATGGTCAACATTTATGAACAAATTTAAATATTTAGGTTAAAAGTCTGAAAAGAGTTCACCAAGTTGAGCTGCATGCCTCTTATGGATTACCGGTAACTATATGCCATCTTTCTATTATTTGAAACAAATCCATTTGATGGCATACAATTGATAATTTTTGATGTGATCGATTGTATTTGTAGGAATGCATTGTATAGACTGTGGTTATAACTGTCATGAGAAATGTCAACCATCTGTACCTAAAAGTTGTACAAAGTTAAAGACAGTAACAGATACTAGTGCTAGTAGTAGTAATTTATCTCGTACTGCTGGATCAGATGCTAGTTCTACATCAGTTGGTAACTATACATTTGTTTATCAATGACATCAAATATTTTTGATATCAATGAAAATATTTCTCACATTTTTTTATTCTTTTTTTTAAACAAAATTAATCATACAATTTAGATGATGATATAAATAAAATTCAATTCGGAAAAAAATCATTTAACATTATCTATATCACTTGAGAAACTTAACTATCAAGGTTTTATATTTAACAACAATCACATCAGCTTCACTCTACTCAGGCAATGCCTGTTACATACTATTATATCTAGTAGATCTACCGTAGCATAATATTCTGTAGTTACTTGAGTAACCGATTCCTATCAGACTCTGTTATAGAGGCCAGAGCCGATAAGAATCGGTTACAAAAAAAAATAACTAAATATTCGGTGTGAAAATCTTCAATTTTATGTTAGGTCGAGGCGCCATCGTGGAACATTAAGCACGAATAGATGGAGTTCTTTGATAATTGTTTAAAATGTATCAGAGGCTAGATAGATCCTATCTATCTGTTTGAAATAATATGTCCAATTGCATGCAGTTAATTATTTGAAGGAAAGTTGTGAGGATTATAGCTTTTCGGAATGTTCAGTGGTAAATCTATACAAAACCTGCAGTCTCGATTTTCATGTCAGTTAGCAATCTTGCATCAACAGTATGGCAGTTTTTAATAATCGTTCGGTAAATACATATTCAAAGAACGATGACATTTATATTCATTTATTGCAACAAATAATATAGGCATTTTGACGCATCCAGTAGGCTTAGAGTATTCTGAACGGGCGCTTGGTGAACAAATATTTTTATTTCTCTCGACATTAGGAGAAGTTATTATTACAAATGTTGAATATAAGAAATGGACTGTAAATTCTTGAAATTGTTTACAAACTGTATATAACATCAAAAAATTGACAACTGGACAAATTCTGTGTTTAGCTGTAAATAGACTATCACTATTTATTATTTATATTGTAGGAACAACAACCATGTATGATAATTTTTCGACCAATATAGGAGAGAATCGAACACATGAGGGTTATCTATATAAACAGGGAGCTTTATTAAAAGGTTGGAAACAACGCTGGTTTGTTCTAGACTCCATGAAACATCAGGTTAGTATTTTAATAAAATATAAAATAATGCTGGATAGACATTTTAGGTCAGTCCTATTTGTGTATATTCCACAGTTGTTTATTTGACAATATGGTGTCAGATTCTTAGACCAAATTAAAGTGGCCTTGCAGTCCAATACATTTCACCAGTTGTAAAGATGTGAGTGATGACCAACAGCAGACGAAGCCTACCACCATCTTTACTCTTAAATTGTTTCAATGGCATACAGTAGTTGAACTGGAATATAGAGGTCACAATTGTATGGAATACATTTCCTGCTTATTACTGAGCAACTAGGCTTCTCTAGTCATTATCAAGCTCAGTAATAAACAGTAATTGTATTCCATAGAATTGTGACCTCTATATCTTTTCTTATACTATAAAAAGATGTCAGTTTAAAGTATTATAATGTATATGTATATACAATGGATATAATTCTATGGAATACAATTATGTTCTGTGTATTTCCAGTTACAACAATTTATTAAAAACCAATGCAATCATCAATATTGCTCCAGTATCACTGTATAAATTTCTATTATCTTACTTGGTTTTTCTCTTATTTCATGTATAAACATTAAGAAAGATCAATGTAATTAGATATTTTTGATTTGCACAGTTTTCAAACTATTATAATATAATTGTTTTGTATAATTATAGTTACGTTATTATGATGCCATGGAAGATTCTAGTTGTAAAGGTTTTATAGATCTAGCAGAAGTCGAATCAGTCATACCACAGAAAAATCTACCAGGAGCTCCTAAAAAGGCAGAAGAAAATTCATTTTTCGAAGTAAGCTCACAACATAATGTTATTATAATTTTCTGTGATGCAATTAGATCATGATTGACGACTATAAATAATTACATAGAAGTATATGTGACAATAATATGTCACTGTGGGCAATATTTTTTAACCAGGAACCGGTTCCATATACTCGGCAATGTTCTTCTTCTCTTTGGGACGATGCTCTTTAAAAAACCAAAGACTGACTTTGATATTTTTTAGTTGTTGTCAAAATTCCAAGATGGCTGCAATGACGTCATGGTCAGTTCTTAGTTCATATAGTACACTCATTCTTTTTTATTTACCTAAATGTTAGTTTTAGTTACACAAATATTGTTAAGATTTGAAAAGAATTAAATTGTTGGGTTTCATATTTTTTTTGCAGATTCGTACAGTAAGACGATTTTATAACTTTATGTCAACAGACGCTAAAGCTGCTCAGGAATGGATCGATAAGTTACAGAGTTGTATACAATAATATGTAATATATAGTAGCATGTATATATATATACGCCCACACTAGATTTACATGTAATCATTATTAGTCACTTTGTTAAACTGCACTTCAACAAAATGAAGGGGTTATATTATGTCATTGTGTATTATATGTTTTGTATATTTTAGCTGCTAAGAAACTATGAACCTGTAAACATTTGTATTTTGTACAAATTTATATCTTGCATTTCTTAATAAAATTAAAGTAATTTTTATCTTTGGTGGTGTTACATAAGATACAGAATGCTTACTATAATATATATCCATTGTTTATTGTTACAATTTTTTTTCTGGTTTTATAAAGGTAATGTATTAATGGATACAGCCATTATTTCATTAAGATATGATATTATAATAAAACCACAACAATTAATTAATGCAAGCCTAGCCTATGTGTATCAAATTTAGTGCCAATTTCTGCTGTGTATAAAGTCTGCTATATATAAATACACACGCACATTGTTTGATTTGAATTGTTACAAATAAAACAAGTGTGAATCTTACTGCAATTAAACATGAACTTGTATATTGGAACTACTTATGCTGTTATGTAGACATGAATTTGACTTGATATATTAATCAATAGTCAAGTGACAATACTTTAAGCCCATGAGATTCGAATCAGTCGAAAATATAATTATGACTTGAATTGGTCAAAAATATTATTATGACTTGAATCCGTCAAAAATATTATTATGACTTGAATCAGCCAAAAATATAATTAAGACTTGCATCAAGTCAATAATATAACTGAACTGAAGATGTATGAGTTAAGAAAATCATTCTGACTTAAACTACGTCTTCATCTGAATCTTACAGTAGCTACCACTGAATGCATGTTTGTGTAGTCATACATTTTAGAATCTCGATCATTTATACTGTTATGTAGAAACATATTTTAAAGGGTTAAATCCTGTAAAGGGCTGATATAGAAAAAAAGACAGGGCATCAGTAATCTGTATTTAAATATGTAATCATAACCATCTCATTCATTAATATTTTTACTTTCTAATTAATGACTTAAATTAGTATTAGGATATTATTTTATTTTAGTTTGTTGATTTAGAGCAATAGAAACCTTGTATCTTTACCCAGAAACAAAATACCCATATCCCCAAATGTTATCTACATTCAATCAAGGATGGAATAGTGAACAAATAAATACTTGTTTATAATTGATTAGATCTAGTTAACATTAGGTATTTGACCCTCAAAGCCTAGAAAATGGTTGTGTATATAAACTTGTTCTGACGACAAATATATTTTTTGGGGATATACATATATGACCATTGTTATTATGTGCTTGCAGTATGTTTTCTTAAAATTTGGCTTCCATGCTTTCTTAATTTCTCAGTTAGGCACACAAGGTATCTAATTATTTTTTGGGGATCTTTAGGTATAATAAATAGAAAATGTGAAAGTAGATTTAATATGGATAAATAAAAAGGTAATTCCAAGTAGCATCTGCATAAATAAAATACTTAGTGTAAATCTGATGTTAATTTTTTTAGCATGGTGATAGTAAGCTTTCTATTTTTATACTATGTAATGTATGAAAGGGATACAAACATCGACAATGTTTCTAGGTAGTTCTATGTTAATTTGATTTAATTATAGACTATAAATTTTGTTTGTAGTTATTTTAAATGAAATTTATAAACCTTTTTTTTCTCATATAAATGAATCCATGTACATTTTTTTTTTTTTTTTTTTGTACGTAAATTTTAACCATATCCTAATATAATTGTACGTTGATTATTATTACAGTTATAGATATTATCATCTTCATATTTTATTCAATGCATATTGTGCAATATAGTTTTTTTTTTTTTTTTGGTAGGTTATCTGTAGTAAATATTTGTAGCATAATGTAGAATATTGTGCTATTTAATTTATTTGTTGCTCATGAAGTTATGTATAATCTACATGTTTGTATGGTACCTTTTTTTCATTCACAGTATTAGTGTTTAGTAAGATTTCATGAAGGTCTTTATTTAATCTAGCCCTATCACCTTGATGTTTTTTTTTCCTTTGTATTTCTTCATTTTTAAAGAAAAGAATAAGACTTTGTCATTGTAAGTACCAAAGTATGTGTTTTTGTATTGTTTCTAATTGTACTGTCAGGTTTACATTTGACATAAAATCTATGTTTTTGTTCTTTATAATTAATGTAAATATATTTGGTTTTTTTTGTTCCTTTTTTTCTTCTTAATTTCTCACTTCAAGTTTATCTCTCTTATTGATTTCTTGGTCAAATAAGAGTAAAAAGATAATAGTGTAGTTCTGAATCCAAGAAAAAAATAAATTTGAAATCAAAGTCCTGAGTTTGAAATTATTTTCATCCAAATCATGTATGAGATAATTATATTAGGCTGTCACTTACACATAGTGTGGAATTTCCAAAAATCAATCCAGAAAGTCTGTGCATAAATTACCCGTAGTCAAATTTGGTGTTTTTCTTCAGATGAAGTATATAACATAGCCTTATATGCGGTCCAACTAGAGTGCAAAATCTTATATTTGAATTTTAGAAGAAAAAAATCTATGGATAACATCCCAAATTTTCTTATTTTCTGGAATATATGAACTAGACTATAATATATGAATTAAAGCTAAACATTTCTAATGTAAAATTATATCAGGCTTATCCTGAAAAATTGAGAATTTATAAATCATTACATATAAAGTAGTATATCATTATAAGGGTCCAATACTCATCTTATAATATTTATTATAAAACATTTAGAATAATTCCAATATAATATGTTGACTTTTGGATACTGCATGCATTTCAATCAGATTAATTTGGAATGAAATTTGTGTGATGCATAATTTGATTTAAGCTTAAATTAAGAAATAATTTTTAACTTGAATTGAGTGGGTAAAAACTTTAAGCTTTAATTTATAAGGGGGAAAAATATTATATTTTATTTTACTTAACAGAAAAAAAACCTTTAAGCTTAAATTAGTAAATAAAATTTTGAATATTATTTTCCCTAAATAAATGAGAATGACGAGACCTTTCACATGTCGAGTATTATCCCAAATTATGTCAAGAGATAAATATAAATTAAAGAAGTGCATTCAGAAAATAGATATTTATGTATTTGCATGCATTAATACCAATATGGATTACTGTCCCCCGCCTTTCGAAGAAAGCAGGGAACTATTAAAATTGGTCTTGTCTGTTTGTCCATCCCTCTGGTGTAGGCATTCATTAGGTGAATGCCTTGATGGAGTTCGAAGATGAGCATTTTCTGCTTAGGGTAAGCAGAGATAAGCAATTTGATTGGTTGATGCTTTGGGACACGATAACTTGGTTCTAATTAAGTAAGACTGATGAAACTTGGTGTATAGTTTCATCACATCAATACCTTGACTTTGTTCGATAATGAGCATTTTCGGCTTAGGGTAAGCAGAGCGATAAGCAATTAGATTGGTCTAGACTTAGGAGCATGACAACTTTGATTCTAATTGAGTGAAAGTGGTGAAACTTCTTGTATAGTTTCATTACATCAATATCGTAACAACGTTGGATGCTGAGTATTTTCTGCTTAGGCAAAGTAGAGACTTCAATCTCATTGGCCGAGACTTTGGAACACAATAACTCTCCTAATTGAGGTAGAATGTTCAACATTGGTGTAGGTGTCTCTTAGGTGCATGAATGCCTTGACAGAGTTTAATCATGTGCATTTTCCACTAAGGCTAACCAGAGAAAAGCAAATTGATTGTTTGAGACTTTGGAACATGATAACTTTGGTTCATTAGGTGAATGTCTTGACTGGAGTTCAATGATAAACATTTCCCTCTAAAGCTTAGCAGAGCTAAGCAGGATAACTTTGATTCTAACTATGAGGTAAACATTTTATTGTTAGTATACATAATCAGTTTGATTGCTCGATACTTTTGAAAAAGATACATGTGCAATTAATGTAGGTGTCATCTATTTATTTTAGGATTTCGGTGGGGGACATCAGCCTCACTGTTGGCTTGTTTATTAACTATTATATATTTAATACTAGTGGTTAGCTAGATATAATTTGTCAAACATTTGATATTATTAGCAGTCAAAATTATTCATATTGTTAGAGGAAATAATAAAGGACCATTTATACAGTTTGAATTTATGATTACCTGAGGAAAAGATCTTCAAGAACGTTAAAAGCTTAATACATCTGTTAGTGTTATGGCTTGACAGATAGCCTACCATATTAACCTAAAGAATGGCTGTTTAAGAATCAACCTATTGTTTAACCATCTTCAGTTTTAATTAAATTAGTAGTATTTTAGATTGTAACTAACAACTCTTTGTTTTCTTGATGTGTTCACCTCTTCATTTAGTTACTATATGTATTGATCTATAAGGCAGATGTTTGGCTCAATTTCTGTTGTTGTTTTCATTTATTTTGTTTGTTTCTCCTTCATTTTATTGGGTGTTTGTCGCTTTTTCTACCTTTAGGCTTCAGACAGACATTGAAATAAAGAAAATGTAAAATTCTTTTAAGTCAGTGTTATAGTTTTATTTTTTGATCAGTGATGTCGAATGAGATAATTGTAATTTCTTTACAAATGACAATATACAGTGATACAAGTAAAGTTAGTATAATTTCATGACATACAGGTGAACGACCACTATGAATTATAATATGTGCAGTCCTATATATGGTCTGAAACAGTTTAATTCTGAATGCCTTTTCCCAAATACACACAAACTTGCATGATCTGTTTAGATGCACCAAATATGGTACAATAATAATATGTCCATTTATATAGCGCCAAATCCACAAATCGTGCTCATAGCGCATGGTCCACAAATTGAAGGAACCTAAAGTCATTTTTTTTTTCTCCACCTACTAAGTAAAAACATGAGTTCATCATATCAATGGAGAAAGTTATATACTATTAAATTATAGACTTCTCTCCTCAGTATTATTACACTTAATCACTTTACATTTCCAACAACTTGATGCAATAATTTCAGATCTAAACTGATTCTTTATCACTATCACAGTAAGAATGATTATTAACAACTATTTATGTTTCACATACCAGTTTTTTACCGTTCATTAAGTGAATAGTGCTCATTAAAAATGGACGGAATAGATCACATGCTATCTATGGAATGGATTGAGCACTATCTTATCAGCATTAGCTCTATTTCCATGTAGATGTTGTACGTTTAGAATCTCTAGCCCCACGTGTTCCTGTTGCTTGTCCAACTCGTGATTTTATTTCTTGTGTTAAAATATCAGCTTGAGCAAGTTCTTCATCATACCTAAACAAAGGAAGAAATAAATACATGTCAAATATGTCGGTGTCAAAATTACAATTCTATATGACTTGTAAGTCAATACAGACTAGACTGTTAAGTTGGATTATTGCACAGACTTTAGTGTAATATTGGGTTATTACACAGACCAAAGGTTCAAGTTGGGTTATTACACAGATAAAGACCAAAATGTAAATTTGGGTAAATACATAGACCAAAGTGTAATGTTCCATTATAACACAAACTGAAGTTAAGTTATTACAGAGATCAAAGGGTAAAGTTTGGTTATTACACAGGTCACAGATCAAAGTGTAATGTTCAGTTATAACACAGACTAAAGTTTGGTTATTACACAGATCAAAGTGTAAAGTTGAGTTATTACACATATCAAAGTGTAAAGTTTAGTTATTACACAGATCAAAGTGTAATGTTTGATTATGTTATAACACAGACTTAAGTTGGGTTATTACACAGATCAAAATGTAAAGTTGGGTTATCGTTATTACACAGATCAAAGTTTAAAGTTGGGTATTACACAGATCAAAGTGTAAAGTTGGGTTATTTCACAGATCAAAGTGTATTGGTTCGGTAACAGTTATAATACAGACTAAAGTTCGGTTATTACGCAGATCAAAGTGTAAAGTTCCATTATTATACAGACTAAAGTGTAAAGTTGGGTTATTCCCTTAGTTATAGGTGTATAAAAAAGACCAAATTGTAGTATTACACCACTGATATAAAAAAAGACCTAAGTTGTAGTAACATAACTCCATTCTTACAATGACTGATGTATTGTGCTCACAAGATGTTCAATTCAATTCTCAAAATGACTGATGTATTGAGTTCACAATATGTTCAACTCATTTCTTAGAATGACTGATATATTGTGTTCATAAGATGTTAAACTTCATTCTCACAATGACTTGTTTTGTGTTCACAAGATCTTCACCCAATTCTCACAATAGCTGCTGTATTGTGTTCACAAGATGTTTAACTCAATTCTCACAATAACTATTGTATTGTGTTCACAAGTTCTTCAACTCAATTCACACAACAACTATTGTATTGTGTTTACAAGATCTTTAACTCAATTCACACAATGACTATTGTATTGTGTTTACAAGATGTTCAATTAATTGCTTTTCTTCTATAATCGTATAATTTAGGAAATTTCCTGACCAAAAGTATTGCCATATAAAAAAAATAACCTCAAAAGAGGGATGCATATTGTGATATCAAAACCTATTAACATCAAGATTATTTAATGGTTTTCAATGAATCAATGAATATTTAATAGCATACTTACAATATATCAAAACTTCCCAAATTTTCTTTAGCTGGAATTCTACTCCACCTGACACTGGAAAAAGAGTTATAATAGATACATGTTTGTTTAGGCAAATGCCTACAAGGGTTTATAATAACAACATGTTTGTCTATTCTTTTTTAAAATCAAAAGTCTGATGCTTGGATGCATTTTTTCAGATTCAGTAGCTGTCCTACAGCGGTGAAGGGGCACATCGAAAAGGGAAAATTTATGAGATGGATTTTCAGATTACAGGTGGCTAATACTGAGTTGAAAGCTTTGGTGGTGCTCAGAAGTAAATTTTAAAAAATTGCTCCACATGATCAGGTAAATTAATAACACTTAGAATAAAATTTACAAACCAAAATATAGCCTCCAGCAAAATATTAAAAGGTGGCTTTCAAGATTTAAGTATTATGGGCATTTACTTTCAATAAAATTGATGGACTCTTGGTGACAAAGGCAATAACTTTGAAAAATCAATACACAACCCTGAACTTTGACTGGTTTCTTCCATACAAGTTTGAACAAGAAAATTATTTCACCTGCAGAGCATTAATAAGAATAAAGAACAGAGTGACAGACACAGATGAAACTAATATACTCTAATAAGTGTAATTATGTGGGTTATATAAGACTATATACTACTTACTCGGGTAGTTCACCAGGTGGTATAACTATATTTATACAATCTGATATTAGTTTATATTTCATTATTCTATCACTAGATGTTGTAGCTGTTAAAGATGGGGAGGCATTTACCTAGAACATAATACATACATACAAATAATATACTAATGCCTTTAAATTCTTACAATGAAATGAAATGAAGATGGGCATACACCATACAGGGTGCTTTGAGGGAAATTTTTCCTGGACAACGGCACTACAGCACTGTGAAGGGTTCTTTCAAGTGCATGTGTACAAAGGACCTTGTTTTTTGTCCCATCCGAACAACTATAAGTTGTCTCTTGCCAGGCTCTTCATGCTGCACCACTGAAAATCCCTATGAACTTCCACAGAATTTTAGTATTTACTACAGAACGTCATATAACAAACAGTTCTTCCTGTTTAGTGACTTAAATTACATTAAATCATTTAGTAAAATGTTACCTCTATAAGCCATGGTTTCAAATTATCATCAATAATAATATCATAACTGGAATACACAAATAATAGAAATTATGATTTAAAAATATCTGCATACATAATTATTACAACATATACTCCAGTACAATATTTGGTTCCTAAAATCGTTGTTGACTAGATGTTTGTGTTCTTTTGAATTCAGATTTTTTACCTAGCAGTCTGTAATTTAAATCAGCCAGACTATTCAATTCCAGAATTTACAATGGAATTTCCCTTAGTTAATCGAATTTTAAACAAAATAAAACAGGCAAATATCAATGTGTAATAAAATCATGACTTACCCATAACATTCAAAACAATGTCTGTCATTAGAGATACAACCCTGAAAATAGAAAATTGTAACACAAATATCTATTAAGACAAGGGATGGTGACAAATTTCCATCTTTATATAGATTTTGATTATAATGTATGTAACTGTAACTGGGATTTTACAAGTCTGGTTCCCATTACTCAAGGGTAAATGCTGTAGTACTGATTTTGAAATTGTTCCCTAGTCTTTCGGGTGGTTCGAAAAATGGATTGAGGTCCACTATTGTACACATTGGAGTGCATGCAAAAGAACCCTTTGGAATTCGTAAGGATTAGGCATTATGTGTTGACAAGAAGTATAAACACCATTCCTATCATGAAAATATTAAAAATTAAATTTTTGTATTGTCCTACCATGACAATCAAAACACAACCTGTCTCCTTATTAACTAAATATATATATATATATATTAAAAACTTACCGATACTGCTTTCAAAGAGTGAACAGTCAACCAATTTATCTCATCAAATAATTTATCTGCAATCTGAACAAAGTTTAACCATAATATAAAAATATACCTTTTAACTACAAATATAATTTCACATCAAGGGCTATAAATATTTCAAAAACTCCTACAGTGGTACCATAAAATCTTACCAAGTTGGCAAGAACAGTTTTGATAAGTTGTATTGAAGTTATATAAAATTAGTTTAACACAAAATTTCAACAAAATATACACAGGTCACAATTCTACCGAATACATGTAAGATAACCTACCTCTTTACCTCTTGTACCTTCTAAAAACAATCGTAAATTTTGAACAGTCCATTTTCCACCATGTATAGAATTATAATCCTCCTACAAAAGACAAAAGGAAGAGAGATTGATATAATTATTGAAACTCAACCATACCATATTTTCAAATATAATTTGAAAAAAAAAAATGAAAATTTAAAATGATTCTAAATGAATTTGAAAATGTATTTACAGTATTAAAATCAAAATTTCAAATGTATCATAGGGTAAATTGTTTAATGTAACTGATTTTGGATTACATAACAGTAAAGCACAATAGAAATGTATTATCAATACATTATGTATTTAACTTACCCCTTGTTTTTGAATTGATACATTTGTTAAATGTACAAACATATTATCTAGTTCATTCACATTAGCATTATATTTTACTGTACAAAATCTGCAAAATCCCAGCTTATACCTGAAAAAAGCAGACAAATAGTTATTCAATGATCAGACTGTATGATATCAATTTCTAGTTAGTAGGTGGTTCAGAACTTGGCCAAGGATCTGGAAATCACACAATATACAAATCATAGTCTGGTTTTTATCTGTGATTTCTATCGATTACTGGTATACTTATGCAAATTTACATCAATTCACAAAATGCAAAATTATTAAAAGTCTCTCTCTTTATGTAAATACTTGTAGTTAACTTTACACAGGACTAGGTTGATCTTGAATCAAATGTTATTAGTTATATATACTTACATATAACATTTGAGAGGTTTAAACGATGTGACGAGAACATAGAGCCGTAAATCAAACTTCTTGCCACCAATCAACAAGGGATTATCTATATATTTAGATATAACATACGTTTCTTTAGCTGTTGGTGGCGTAAACCTTTAAAAAAAAACAATGAAAGAAAAGAAATTACAATCCAATATGATCAATAGCCACAAAAATCACACACAGAAACAACTGTATTAATACAGAATCTGTATTAAATAATATTTACCAGATTTCTATACATTTTAGCTACAGTAAGGCCAGGACATCAGTTCTAAGTAAGTTTATGTACATTATAAAATAAATTTATTATTTTACAATATCTACCTGGATTGACTGAGCAGCAGGCAAAAGACAAAAAAAAACAACAGATAATATTAGATCTTGTATCTGTTCTAGTTACAGACAAGCACTATAGATATAATATTATCACACAACTAAACTAACATTTAGTTATACAGTTTACCATACAATAACAGATATAACACAAGAATTAATAATTGTCAATTCCTATAAATAGTATACACAAACAGATGATGCAATGAATGTGATATTTGTGAGAACAAGAATATTTTATTTTGTATGGCCTTATATACAATGTGACATAAACATATAACAATAGGCTAAACTGCTGACCAAAATGTGCTATATTGTGTGAATCTTGTGCTCTAGGTGCATTTTTGCTGTAGTCTAATCTCGTAATTTAGTGTGTCTAGATAATTAAGTTTACTGAGAATTAGATTAATACTGTCTAGTCTATTTACCTGTTTATCTTCTTTAATATACTTATTATTACATATCAACAAACATTTATAAACAGTCTACATATTTTAATTTAATTACAAACAGTTTTATTTTAAACTTTTGTTAGTAAATCTTGAAGAGAATATGGTAATTGTTTTGTTTTTATTTCTAAGAAGAATGTATATCTTAATCTGTACTGTTAATTAAGACGTAAAAATCTCACTAAGTTTGCGTCATATTAGTTTTATAAATATTTTAACATGGTTTTAAAGTGACACACAGAGTTTTACATTAGATAAAAAGTTCAAATATTCCCACCAGTGATGGGATTTCAAAATTTTACTTGTCGGACATTTTACCGAAAATAAAGGGGCATAACTCTTATCGTTATTTAAGCAGACGAATTCGTACCACAATTAAAAGTCACATGTCAAAATATTCAAACCCCGTACGTAATAAAAATAGGTGAACCTCGCTATTTTTCATATTTAATTCCCGTACAGTATTCAATTCATACCACAATTAAAAACCACATGTCAACAAAATATTCAAATCCCGTACGTAATAAAAATTGGTGACCTCGCTATTTTTCACACTTGATTCCCGTACGGCATTCAAATTTATGTCAGTAAATGTCCTACAAAATTAAGCATTTTCGTGATATGTTGAATGAAAGCTTGCCGATCCTGCTTCGGCATCAAATTCACAACCATAGTATTCCTTTAGAATTACGTGTCTTCGTTTATACGGCAGCAAATGAATGCAGAACTTCCGAAATAGTTAAATCACTTGAAAACAGGCATAGCTAACTTCAGCGAATAACACTCTTTCGTAGTCACGACAGAGTGACAGGCATCATAGGCAACACAGCAGAATGATTGACGCCTACAAATACGTTAGAATTTCTGCTCATATAGCTATTGGTAGCCCCTCCCCTTTTTGTTATTTTGCTGGGTGCGTACTAGTCACGGTCACCCAGAAACTCCTAGTCTTCAACATATTCGTAGAATATTTTTCTGGATAATAGAGACTAATAGCCTACGTGACTCGTCACACGGCTTCACAATCTGTTTCACAGAGAATTACGAGTCTAGTATATATCTCTGTCAAAGATGACTGCCTTAACACGTGCCGTCACAGCACGCGGCGTCAATCATTGGCTGAATGGCGCGTGCATTGTTCACATAAGACGTTACTGCTTCGGAGAGAATGCTGCATTTTAGTCATTTTAATACCCATTTACACTAAATAGGAAATAATTTTTACCTACAAAATACGTCAAACGCCTTTATTTATTTTCCCAATACATAAAAGGGAAAGTGCCACCGTGGATGAGAATTTCTATATGGATTCTTAAAAGACGTAAAAGATATCGTAGACAAAATGACTGTCCATTGATTTAGGGTGTGATTTACTCTTACGATATGTGACATCTATGATTAGTTTATTATAGATGATGTCGGCTCACATCAATGCGATTAAGATACCCGACAAATGAGGTGGATTAAAATTATAATCATTCTTATTGAATTGATGAATAGTCCGACAAAAGGAAAGCAATGACTTCTGTTTAAGATTAGATTGATGAATTGTCCGACAAAGGATTAAGTAGTTAAATCAAGGTAAGTTTATACTATAGACGGTATAACACGATAAATACGTTGATCACTTAATTACCTAATAAACCCAGCGTATTATCGACGATAATCGGGTTGAGTGGTAGTTATACACTCAGTAAACTATATTAATTTCGGAATTTTGAATATTATTCACCATGTCTTGATGTCCGATTGGGCATATTCCCGGTCGGACAATTTTGGGCGTTTGGAAAAAAAATTCGGACAAGTCCGGAATATACGGGCAAAATCCCATCACTGATTCCCACTATGAATAATTTTAACTTTATCCCATACTTACACATTAGTTTTACCATCTCTAGACCATTTCTTTAATTGTGATAATTTATTTACCAAGAAAATACCAATGCCTCTAGCTTGATTATATTTAAAAGAAAAATTCATTTCATTAAAAGAGAGAGAGAGATATGGGGTTTAACGTCAACTCAACAAAAACTAGGTCATTACGGGACTAATACATGGTTCAATTTTATTTCAATAATTCGCTTCCACATCTTTAGCAGTGGGAGGAAACCGGAGGACCCGGAGAAAACCCAGGAGGTTGGACAGGCGACCTACTCCTTGTCACATACAACGAGGGAATCGAAACCCCGCCACTTGACTCAATGACAGACCTTATGATACAGCGTGCACGTGCTAACCATTCGGCCATTCCCCCCCCACCCCATTTCATTAAAAGAGAAAATGGGAGTCTACAAAAGGCTGTTTGTTATTTATTTTTATTGAATTATAAAAGACGACTGATTTATATATTGCTTAGGATTTGCCAACAAAATTGTTGTTTTGAAAAGTGGACACACCATTCATAGTCATCAAGTTACCACTTTTTCAAAAATCAACATAAAAATTGGGTGAGAAACAATTTTAGGCTTACACTGTCAGTGAAGGCATACCAGCAATCATCTACAAATAGTTCATAAACTAAAAGTGTGATCCCTCCATTATCATAATAGCAACTGAGTTATTAAGTTATGATATAAAAATATGTTTCTCTGCAAATATCAGAGGTATGCTATGATGTATAGGTAATATATATTTACAGTATATATTTATTAATCTATGTTTTTAAATAACAAGAGAAATGAAATGGAGTTTAACCACCTACTTTTCTGTATTGACTGGGCTAATAAAGACAGGTATATGCCATGTAGTGTGCTATGATGATGGAAATTTTACATAAACAGCAGCACTACAGCGTACTCTTACTGCGAATTCCAACTGTCAAGGATTCTTTTACATACATGCCAATGTGTACATAGGACTTTGTTTTTGGGGGGTTTTTTTGTCCCCTCCAAACAACAAGACAGTTGTCCTTATCAGACCCCCTGTCCTACACCATTGATATGGGTAAACAAAGCTGGAAAATCCCAAGGAAGTTCTCGGCCATCACTGGGAGCGTACCCAAGATCTCCAGGCTAGTGAGCTACCACCCTACCCACTGAGCCAACACAGATACGAAATAACAAGACAAACACAACCCGTCAGGACATACCTTTTCCACACGGTTTCATGATCCATGTAGTGTTTGGATTTTTTCTGAATTCTTCAACAAATAAATTATAATCTGAAGGTAACATAAATGTCTGTGGTATAAAATCTGAAAATAACGTAAAGAAAAATCAATTCCTAAAACTTCTGTTCTTTTGAATGATACATCAGTATCTATACTAATCTCTCAGATATACCAGTAATTCTAATCCAAGGTGATTCACCCACTCTATTAAGCTCACTGATGGAAGTAAGGAATAATTAAATGGTTATTCCAATTAACTAAAAGTATTGACAGTTGTGCATGGGGCAGGGCATGCTTATTTATTCTAGAAAACCTTAAACCACTTCTCACTTGATAAGTTTACAAAAACTAATAAATTTTGCACTACTTTTGAATAAGTTCATCTGTTTATGTCCACTTTTCATATCTCTGCAAAAAAAATTCCCTTTCAAAGTGCACTAAATCAAGACAGAGGATACTGCTTTTTTATGACTTCACTGGGATCAATGGTCGTCATTGAATGAATACATGCACCAAGTAATATATCATTGTGAATACATCAGCAAAAAGTGCTCCCAGAAAAGGGTGGTAAAACTTTAATGAATATTTCTGATCAAATACCATCCCTGATACTTCGCATTATGAAAATAAAATACAAGGTTAAAGTTCAAGACTAACTATTTTGGGACTACCTATTGGTTCAATTTTATTTCAATAATTCGCGCATGCATAGGGTATTTTACCAGTGGGAGGAATCCAAAGGACTAGGGTAAGGGTTAGGGGCCTAACCCCAACCCTACAAAACTCATGAGGTTGGACAGGCAACCCTATTCCTTGCCACTTTTTTAGCGAGGAATTCAAATCATGCCACAGACCTTATGATTTAAAGAGCATGTGTTAAATTATTTGACCATCCAAACTCCTCACTGTAAATAACTTTGGATTCAGATACTGAGTAATCCAACACACCCTTGAAATATAATGGCAATACAACAATACATGTAACCTATTTTGTTTTACCCAAGTGAACAAATCTTCCATTTTCATCTTTCTCGGCCAAGGGACTTCCTTCCTTTTCTAACTCTTTGCGATATCTTTTAATATTTTTTACCATCAGATCTTTTCTTGTTAGTTCCATATGATTAGGAAAATGATTTATAAATCTGAAAATGTTATCAAAGAGTTCACATTTCCATTGTCATGTATCCAATGACATTAAATGCTAAATTATACATGTATATGTAGACCTATGCATCATACAGGACTGACACATAAACAACATGGCTAGTTTTCATCTGTGAACCACATAAATCACAGCAAGAGTCTGAAAAATATATTCTTTATTCCTATTTAAAAAGGCATTATGCAAGAGCTAAATCTGCCTATATTGTAGGTCTTTCTTTAGGCCTTAAATGTTATATAAACTATTAATTAAACATTTATTAACATGACAAGACCATAATCAACTCTTGATGCCATCTGATGGGTCCAATTTTCAACAGATTTGAATCCGATATGCAGTCCAAAGGCGGTTGATGATTAATCGTAAAAATAGATGATCGAGACTTTGTTTATTATCGTAACAACGGTAACAATGACAATCGAGGCTACAGTGAAATTCAAATTATTTCTCAGTTCAGAGTGAAGTAATTTGTCTGAAACTTTCAGCATATTCCCTTTACATTATCCACTTTTTAACTATTATAGTAAGAACTGTCAGCTCTTTATCTAATCTCCCATAATGCTGCTTTAATTGCTAGCCTTGTGAAAACAGTGAGAGACTTTAAAATGTACAACAGACTAGGTGATTAAATGGTAGAAAAAGTTGTTGACAGAGCTTAATCCAAGAATTTACTTAGGCTTCCAATATTTAAATGGGCAAGTAATGACAAATACAAGCTGCAATAGACCTGCCTGCAATCAAATCATGTTACAAACAAGGCTGATTAAAATAGATTTTTACAGCTGGGTGTTGTGATTAAAAAGTTTTGAGAGGGATTTGAAGCAAACGTTTGATTGATAAATGAGTCTGAATGTGGTTTTTGTCCAAACACATCTACAAATCACACAGTTTGTATGTGGGAAGACATCTTTAAAACTGATTGCATGCATACTTACTGATCATCACTAAGCCTGTAACCAGATTCAATACTGAATATATTTCTAATATTCTGCACATTAGCCCTGCAAAAAAAAGAGTGGAAAATGCTCTTATAATGTATTCCAATTTAATGTGATATAAATTTATAAATCTTTAGTTTAAATAATTTCACTAAAATGTAGTTTAAATATTTTTATTGAAATTTAGTTTAAATATTTTTATTGAAATTTAGTTTAAATATTTTTATTGAAATTTAGTTTAAATATTTTTATTGAAATTTAGTTTAAATAATTTCACTAAAATGTAGTTTAAAACAAGTTTGACACATCACTAATTGAAATAACACATCAGATCAACCCAATTCAATACATTTTGACCTAATTAATCAAAGAGGTTAAAGGAAACCATTTCGTATAAGCAATTTTGCTTGTTAACGCATCCTATTTACTTAAATTTTCAAATGATACTAATCTTCTCTTGAATAAAATACTGTTAAAACCGAAGAGGTCTAGCGCCTTTAAACTAAACTGAAACACATTCCATAAAAGGCAATACCTGTATATATCCTAACTTTTAATCCAATAAGTGCATATACTGCACAGATACAACATGCACAGTTTCAAAATCTACACAGTTGTCTTTTTATTCAACTTTATATTTATACCAATTTTATTATATTCAACAGTTAAATTCCTTAATTGTATTTAACCACTCATCTCGCAGCTGCTGTCTGTTTCAAGCAACTCTAAAAATAAATACAGATATTTCCACTTCAGGGAATGTTGTGATCGCATATAATGGGTGCTCATTCAGTCAATTACAGTAAGTTCTGTATGTCCATTATGTAGTATTCAAGAAAATATTGCTTGGTCGCATCCATATTATTATCTGAACAATATTTACCAGTAAAAATTGAAGTCATCTTCTGGGTTGACCTGAATCCAACCTCGTGCCTCAAAATTATTCATTAAAACAGATTTATCCTGGTCACAAGCATATCTTAATTTAGCCATCTTCTTTAAATTCAGTCTTTAAACCTGAAAAAGGCAAACATTTGATATCAAGAATTACAGGACATTATACCCCATTACACGCTAGGGTTTAACAGCCCCTTGACTACCCAGAGAAAACCCAAAGACAATGATACCTAAGTGACTGAAAAGATGATATTATTTGCAACACAACTTCTAACATACAAGTCGCTGATCAATGTATATAAAGATGTATCAGGCAAATGATCTATAGACTATGTAAAAATTCTAATACATTCAGAGTCATCTACAGTTCAGAAATCAGAGCTTGCCATCAGCCGTAAAAAAAAAAGGCAGATATGAAGTCAGACATTTCAGACTACGAGACAGTACATTTAATTTGCCTGTTATTATTAGAAGGCTAACTAATTATTTTTCAGGGATCGGTGCATGCAAATTTTCTTTAATAATCTGTACTAATTGTCATGTCTTTCGTAATCCGTTGTCGATCTGCAATATATAAAAGTGATAATACCCTACATGAAATGCAATGTTTACGATGCTTTTAATTTTTTCAAGGGAGACAACTATCATAACTGTAAGTAGTGACTCAGTGGGAGAGTCAAATTGATCCAAACGAGTTGTCGTGTACATGTATGGCTAATATATATGTGCAGTGGTTGCTACAATTTTGAATTTCAGTGGTACATTTTAGAAAGTACATGCGACACAAAAATAGTCTATTTTGTCACGCATAGATTTATTTCCTTCACGTTTTTAGGTTGCATGCTTTAAGTTTTAGGTTGCATGCCAGAATTTAGTAAGTATTTTCATCATTGAAATTGGACATAATCTGCGGGCTGGCTTTAGATTTAGTGTCACTAATAGTGAACCTATGTTTTAGGTTGCATGCCAGAATTTAGTAAGTATTTTCATCATTGAAATTGGACATAATCTGCGGGCTGGCTTTAGATTTAGTGTCACTAATAGTGAACAACTTTGCAGGTTGGTGATGCGTCTATAGGGTGTGCCAGGCTAGGAATCTGTCACCTGTGTGGAAGTTTGCAGAATCCTGGCTTTCTTACTACTATTGTAATTGTATAGAGGTTGCACTGCAGGCCATTGGCTTTAGCCTTTAGGAAAAAACTGTGAAAAAAAACGGCTTAGATCTAGATCAAATGGTTAATGTTTCTGGCCCTGATTTTGTATAGGTGGGAGCCCAGTCTCTTATCTGCTTTCACCGCAGAGATTATATTGTCAATAAAACATGACTAAATGAAGCTTTGCTTTATTTCTACTACCTAAATTTTACTTCAAAATGTTTTTGTTTGGTGTTACCATCCAAAAGACGCCATGACACATCACATCTCGCACGAGAGGTCGCTGCAAATAAAAAGATGTTTACGAAAAACGAAATACTTTACTGCAAATATTTTCTTTATTTTTGCTTCTTGTAAATGAACAGTTGTAACTATGGTGTGAAATATATAATTTAGTGTCCATCATTTTTGTAACATTTAATTTTATAACTGCCTTATAATTTCCATTTAGTCGTTTTATCCATGAGTTTAATTTTATACACCCGCATTTATTTGCAGGTTAACCAGTCTCATAATTTAGACTGAGCAAGATTACCAACAATGGACATTTTATGAATTTGATTGTCAGTAAATAATTTCATTTTACCCAATAAACGTATTATTGAGAGATATTTTTCGTTATTTTAAAAATTAGTGATATATATTATTTACCTCTATGCCTCATAGTATTGACATCCATGGTGCGATGTTGTTCTATGTGACAGTAGGATATTTGTATATAGACGCTCGGTGATAGATTCCAGTGCACATTACTGTACGTCTGGTAAATCAAGACAATTATACCGTTTCACACTGTCATTTCATTAATATTTTACACAGGATTATTTATAGCCGATAGAGGATGGAAGATGAAAATAACCATTATTCTCCGAAGTATCGAAGAACACACCAAGGTACAATGCCCCTTAGTCCTCTTGGTGCAACTTCAAGACCCCCTTTACCACAGAATTATCTAAACCACACAGAAAGTATGTATATAGTATAAATCGGAACAAAAAATCAAGACATACGGTACGTTGTGGCCCGTGGGTGTCACACATGCCATGGGGTAATAATGTGATACAGAGTCTGAACTCCGGCGAATATAGCTACGAGAACATAGCTAAAAACGTTGAGATATACTGATGTGTTTGTTTTTAGCTTCGATTGGATGCCTTTAGTTCCAAGTGGCAAACTCAATTTCTTTATTAATTAATGCATGTAACATCTTTAAAATAAGATAAGTTTTTGCTATGATTAATTAAACTTACAGAGGCCAATGTAGTGGCACAACTGTCGCCTAACTCCAAATATTTGTGTTTAAATTAATGAAGCGTTGTTTTTGTCTGACATTTACCGCCATCAAAATCCATTCATAGTTACAGAGCTTTAGATTGCCCTATTGATTGGCAGTTATAAAAGCCTTATATTTAGCCCCGCCTTATTTCATGATGACAGCGTTTCGTTTAAAAAGATGGCGGTCTTAGTAATGGCTTAACGCCTCGATTTTAAAAACGACGATTTGTACCCGTTTCAGGTAGGATTTTATGCTTAGTTGTAGTTGGATCTGGCAGAAATATTATAAATAACAATAATCAATCGTTGTTTTTATTAAAAATATTGTCAATTTTGATTACAAATGCCGGGTGCGAATTGCTCCCGCATGTGCTACGTTGAAGGTAATGGCCTCATGTCTTATCTCGAAACATGGAGGGTTGAGAGATTAAGGTTTGCTATCTACGGCAAACACAGTTCACAATAAATTTCACAAGATCAATACTTGGGAAAATCAAATTTATGGTCCATTGAATTTGAGTTATCGCAACCCGATATTTTTTTTATTATTATTATTTTTTTTATTAATAATACTATTAGACCTCTGGGCCAGAAGTCTAGTATTAGAGAAGAGACAGGTCCTAAAGGAACAGGAGCCCCTTTCGGAACTCTTCTCTTTCACAGATTAAAGTTGATCCTTGACTGAGCATTTCTGTCCATTACTATTAAGCTGTAATATAAAAATACCACTAGATCCACTCCACCCCACCACTGTTCTAAGGCTATTTTGGTGTCCTTAATTTCTATTTTTAACTGTAATTGAATTCGCTTTCGTTTGTCAAATAAAGGAATCATTTCTCACCACATCTGACACAAATATATAATAATACAACACTTTTTACAAGTTAATTTTGCATTTAAAAAACATACACAAAATACGTTTTAATCAGCTCGCCTGTTGCAAGACTTGCAGTTTTAAGCTTTTTTCGCCCTGGTACTAAATTATCATTTGATAGACTTATTTACTACAATAGAGTAGAGATATATTGTGTACCAGTATGCAGATGAATTAATTTCATCTTATTCTATTTTTTTTATTTCAGATAATTCTGACCAGACAGACTCTGAATCATACACACAGATTCAACAACGTAAACGGAATATGAGTGGACCAGGAAGCGGAAGCAGTACTCGGTCATTTATTATACTTGGGCTTATTTTTTTAACTTCTGTTATGGCTCTAGGGCTTGTTTATTTAAACTTTCCGAGATTAGATGAGTGAGTAGAATTAATCTTATATCCAGAAGTCTTCATAGTCTCTTAGTTAATAAACAATGCATAAACTAAACAAGCAACAAACAGTACACTGATATACCAAAATATTGAAGTGAATTGATTTTTGTTTTAATCATGTTCACTCATCACAAGACAACAACTGTCTTATTAATATTGGTGAGCATTTTGGCAAGTGACTTCATATTAAAATATTATTGAATAATTTATTTCATTAATTTCATATCGACAGTTATATTTTATCATAAGCCAATGCTTTAAAATAACTCATGTTTTTAGTTATTTACTTTTATGGTTTCTTGACATATTCGTGATTATACATTTGTACTTTCTAATAATTCAGCGAGGAACATTTTATGTAATTGAGTATCAATAGAGATCATAGATTAGATATGATACACACAATTTGGTTTGTATTAAAGAGGCGTAGCTATTTGAAGATTTTTGCTGTTCAGTAAAAAGATGATTTTGGATTTTCAATGATTTGTATATACAAATTCGTTTAGGTTGTTCAAATTAGATTAGCCTACTTTGATATTTTAACATCGATCTACCCTTCCTTATAGCTGAGATACATGTAGCCATAGATGTTTTCAGATTTATTATTAGTCATAGTATACTATGTATGGCCTGTAGACATTTGTCTGGCTGATCATGCAAAATGTATTACTCTAGTTAGGTCGGTGCTTGGATTTTTGAAAATTATGGTTCTATGCTTATTTTGAATATGACATAGTTTAAAATTGATAACTTTATATAGTAATAATAATAATCATCTGCCACATCCTGTTAATTGTATGATATCTGATTAATACTATACTTATAGTTGGACTTAGGCCTATAAAATTACAACAAGTACTGTCCTACTGATACACATATAGCTTTGTGTTAAAATCATTTTCAAATATTACCACTGTTTGGATTAAAATTTATTTAAGAAGTGATAAAATTTTAACATGATTTTAATACATTGAAATGTGATTTTATATTGTTGCTACCGCTGTTTGTCTGTATGCCCCTCCATCCACAATTGCTTGTGGACACTCTAGAGGCTAAAGTTATTATACTATGGTCTTGCAATTTACTCAAACAGTTCACGGTGACAGTTGATGATCATGACATAAAGAGCTCCATGGATTTTCAACAATTTCTGATAATTACTTTCAGAGTTGTATAGAGAAAAATTTTGCAAGCACACTAGATGAAAAGTTATCATCTGATTGAATTGAAATACCGTAGATGCACAGTGTTTATGTGCATGCAACTTTCAAATCAAAGAGTTTATAATCTAAATAAAGATACATACTTTGTTTATGTTAATTATTCCTGATAATTACGTTTTATGGATGTTGTCCTTGATCAGTATTTAGTGCCTTATTTGTAAAGAATACAAATATGACTGCTTGGGTGACTTTTTGTTATTGATTGATAGTTAATCCCTGGTTTTCTGAAGTGTGTGTTAAAAACAGACCTGGAAATAACAATTTTAGTTGTACTCTACAAAATGTCAAGCACCACTGAACTAGTACCTGAAACATTTAAATTTGTGTCAGACATGTATCTTTTAAAAAATCAGACAAAATTACATGCACCAGAGGGGTTGTACCTGACAATGTCTGACATGTGCCTTATTTCCCGATGTGGCTGAAAACCAATTTCTTACCTCCACATTTTGTAGTACATGTACTGTCATACTAATACTTGTGTATTTTCTTTTACAGGTCAGAAAAAGAAAAAATTAAACTTCCCCGAGACATAGAAGATGCAAAGAATCTAGGACAAGTTTTATCCCGTTATAAAGACCAGTATTTTTATCAAGTGCTGTTTGGATATTTTTTGATATATATTTTGTATCCTTTTAATTACAAAAATAAAATTAAAATATATTTGACTTTGACTTCTGCCATTTCCCATTAATATTATATATGTTCATATGGCATCTGTAATGTAAGTACATGTAATTAATCACTTTGTAAAATCTTGTGAATGTTTTTAACATTGAAAATCAACATTTGATCTTCTTATATTTATGTTCATTCTTTTGTAATGCATCAACATATATGGACTGCTTGAACAACTTGCTGTGGACATATGTTTCATTGTCTGGCAACATAATGAAATAATGTTAAAGGGCTAATCCCGATATTTTTTGGAGAATAAAATTGCTTAATTTTGTATTAAAATCCCTTAAAATCCTATAGCTAAGGGCCGAGCAACTAACTCAATATTTGTGATAAGATTTCAAATAACTTAAACCTACCAGTCTTCATCTGGAAATGGAGACTGGTGTCCCAAGCTGCATTATGCCGTGTCTGGATAAAACCAGATTTTGTTTTATAAAAGTAATGTGTAGGTGAAGTTTACCTTTCGTTATCAAGTACAGCACATGGGTCATTCACTATATAGACCTCTCAAGGAACGGGAATCGATTATGAGGTCTCCCAACGAAAAAACTGACTCAAAATATTAAAAGGGTTATGTGTCCGGATAAGCAGTTTTGACGTTCACGTCCAAACGACTCAATATTCTGAGCTGGTATTTTGAGAGAAGGTAAATACACCATTCCTCTATATTTTGGCACTTAAATTTCATACGTACTCCGACTTTTATTTTTGAGACTCTCTTGAAATTGGGATAGTCCCTTTAAGTTATGAGCAGCTAATATTAATGATTTCCATTTTTCCATGAATGCTTAAATTTAAAAGTTTTGATTTTAATTAACTGTTTGAGTCTATGATTAATTGTATTCCTTAACACTAACTTAGTTTACAATCATTTGCTATACCTGGTTCGATATTTTTAAGTATTATTTGTGGTTTTTTATATCCATTTCCTCTAGCTTTATTCCTTGTTTGTCTGGTAAGTATAATATTTATACAATGTGTTTCTTAAAGATGCAATATGTAAAATTAGATAAAGAATGGGCCGTTCTTGCTATAATAGTTCAAAAATAGATAATACAAAATGAATATATTGAAAGTTTCATTCAAATTTTCGGATACTTGATTCTGAGCGAAGTTGTTACCGTTTGAAGTTTTGACACAATGTGGCATAGATTGTTTATTATCGTAACAACAGTACTTGTTATTCAAGTCTTGGCTTTGCTTCACCATTTTGAAATTAAATCATTAAATGGTGACAGTGTTTTAATCCGTTTAAATCTCTGCCATCTAGAGTAGTTGATATAGGCTTGTCATGTGAAATAATAGTTTATATAACTTTTGAAGCCAAAATAAAGACTTGCAATGAATAGGCATTGCTTTCTTAACCATTGAAATGGAAATTACCATATGTTAGTGTAAAAAAATGATGAGACATTTCTGCAGTGTCAACTGATTATAGAAGTTTGTCTAATAATTTTATTCTTTGAATTATATTTTTCAGTGTTCAGCAATGGGGGCCTCGTTTTGTTATTTATTGTCATATTTAGTTGGTAGAAGACTTGTAAATAAATATATACCAGAAAGAGTAACACAGTGGCAATCACATGTAAGTTTCAATTTAGATTTGAAATGATTCCGTTATAGGTCAGTATTGCAATGCACATGTAATTTAAAGTTCTACTGAGGTTCCCATTTCATTGTACTGGTCTAAGGTAACAGATGATTCTGTGATGTTTTACATGTGTTGCATTTTGAAGTGATTTTCGATTATCCAGAGTTAAGTTGAAGTGGGGGGGGGGGGGGATGGCCGGATGGTTAGCATGTGCGTGCTGTATCATAAGGTCTACCATTGTACGTGGCAAGGAGTAGGGTCGCCTGTCCAACTTCGTGGGTTTACTCCGGGTCCTCCGGTTTCCTCCCACTGCTAAAGATCCCTATGTGCAAGCGAATTGTGGAAATAAAATTGAACCATGAGTTAGTCCCGAAATTACCTAGTTTGTGCCGAGTGGACGTTAAACCCCATCTCTCTCTCTCTCTCTGTTGAAGTGAACATAACTAATTTAGTATAGAGTATAAGCCACACTATTAATATAAGTATAAGCCACACTATTCCCAATCCTATAATCCATGAGTGGAATTTTAACGATTGTGTTGTGTTTTTATTCCTAATCCTGCCTGAGAAGACAAATGTTGCAAAGTAAACACTCTGCTGAATACACGACAGATCTACATGTTATCGTGTTATATTTACCAATATGTACACAATACAATGGCATATGATAAGAAATTAAAGATATATTCCCTTGACAGTTGTGTTTTTGAATACTTAACCATTGACAGGATATAATATTTCTAAACTATCATAAAAAAACATTTTTTGTTCAATACAGTCATTATAGCTTACTAGAAGAGACACTGGGTTTGTAAAGTAAAATCTAGAATTAACCCACTCAAATATCTTTCGAGATACTTGAAGAGGAACTTAGTTCATAGTTATTGTGTCCCATAACATCAATCAATCAAATTGCTTATCTTTGCTTAGCCTAAGCAGAGATGCTCGTCTTCGAACTCCATCAAGGCATTCAGCTACCAACTAAAATATCTTACAAGATACTTGAAGACACTGGGTCTGACTGGGTCTATAATCTACAATCTAGAATTAACCGACTCAAATTTTTCTGGGACGGTTCTTTTCAGAGAATTATGAAACTGCATATATATATGGTGTTATTTCTATTTTTTCAGGTTGAACGTCATAAAGATCATTTATTAAATTATATTATATTTTTACGTATTACCCCATTCTTACCTAACTGGTTTATAAATATAACATCACCTGTATTAAATGTTCCTTTAACACCATTTTTTCTTGGAACATTTTTAGGTAAGTATTTGTTGGTTTAGAAATAATTTAGAAATAGATAAACCTATATCCTCCACATTAGTGTGGTATGACGTGTCATCACATAGGATTTGTATGTTAAAATTGATTTTTTTGTTGTTTTGGGTTTATGTGAGACCAAGCTATCCAAAAATGTCTGGGTTCAAATTTTCCGACCCCTTGACCCATCTGGAAGAGGCCTTTTTCGAATCGGGACCCCTCTGATCGAGGCCATGGCTATCTCTGCCAATAATAGTTGGATTTTCATGATCTATAGTTCATTCTGGGGTTTTGTCATCATGCTGACCCCATCTATGATACACTGAAAGCGAATGGAAGTAGTTTTCATTGACTTCCAATTTGACATGCCCATTTCCGATGTCAAACTCTGATTGATTTCAGCTTTGAGAAATCTTATCACGCAGTACCACTTTTTGTGGCTTCTGAAGCATGGTAAAATGTTTCATGCCGTCAGTTTTGGGTGATTGAAATGTTCTGTTATGAGATTCATGAGAAATTTGACATTTGTAACAAGTAAACAAGTTTAATATCAAAAACAAAAAGAAATCTTAACTAGCCAGAAGTCGCCAGAAACAAAATAAAACAACGCTGTCCACTATATCAGTTATTCATCAAACTCGTTCTCCTGCACATCCCTGATCACATTGGTACGGTCCCTATCAAAACACGTGCAAAGAAATGTACAAGGCAGACCATTTTTGTGGCAAACTGCACCGCCCCGTGCAGCCTGTTTAACAACCACATTTTGCGAGTTCAATGTCACAAGTAAAAAGCTAAGAAAACCTGACATTTACAGAAAGTAAATTAGTTCATTGTCTGCCCTTGAAAAAGACATATAAATACATTCTTTAATTTGTCATTTGTATTTTTAATTGAAGTTTCCAGGGTTAGTAATTTCTGATTTGTATTTTTTAATTCGAATGTGTTGATTTTATTTTTCAGGTGTAGCCCCACCATCATTTGTAGCAATACAAGCTGGAACCACATTACATACATTAACCTCATCAGGTGATGCTTTAACATGGTCATCTATTATAATACTAGGTTTACTGGCGGTATTAGCACTTCTACCAGTATTACTTAAAAATACATTAAAACGACGGTTTGATTGACAAACAAATCTAATTAAATTTACTAGGTCTAGTTCTTCTGTAGTGAAAATCTAATTTTACTGTTAGAAACCTGATAACTGAATTAAAAGCCAAACTATATTGGATCTGAGTATTTTTAAGCATATTTATTTTCAAATTCTATTATTAAGAGGTGCAGTGATTCTCAGTTTTGCAATTTTTGGCTATAATTCTCTTCGTACGTAAAATGTAATGGTGTTAGAGCTTTTTTAAAAAGTAGAGAAGAAGTAATAATTTCAAAATAATAGCATTTTGATGGAATTTACTGGTAATTAAATTATATGTAGATATAAAATCGTTATATATTTTTATTGTTGTCGCCCCTGTCAGTCCGTCGGTTTATCTACCCATTCACATTTCTGAGAAACACTCTACATGTTTTGAGCCGATCAACTAACTCAATATAGGTGATAGGTTTTCAAACAACTTAAACCCATCAGTCTTCATCTGGAAATGGAGACCAGTGTCCCAAGCTGTATTATACGGTATCTGGATAAAACCAGACTTTTATAAAAATATCATGTAGGTGAAATTTACCTTTTGTTACCAAGTACAGCACATCGATCAAGGCAATAAATTACCAGATCACCCAACGAAAAAATTGACCCAAAATCTTAAAAAGGTTATGTGTCCGGATAAGCGGTTTTGACATTCATATCCAAACAACTCAATATTTTGAGCCCAAATTTTGAGACAAAGTAAATACACCACTCCTCTATATTTTGGCGCTTAAATTTCATACATACACAGACTTTTATTTCTGAGACTCTATCCAAATCGGGATGGTCCCTTTAAGGAAAGTTCTAAATGCCAAAAGTTTTTGAGCTTATTTTTAATCCCTCTTTCACAAGCTACTGGTGGGTGTATATTGTTTGTGGGAAGCATTGCACCTCTCTTTGTCATTGTTTACATGTCCGTATGAGAGTGAGTTTAATTTTGGTGGTCAGGCTTATATTATGTCATGTGATTGGTCTTCTCTTCCATCTATACTCAAACTCTAAATGAAGAGGCTGATGCAGGATATTTGGTAGGTCGGGGTTGTGTGGAGAGGTATCTCTCCTTTGACAAGTTGTGATTTGAGTATAACATCAGCTACATCACCCCAACCATCAAAAAGTTCAATTTTACATGTTCCATAGAAATAGAATAATAAATGAATTTTTGATACTCTTATTTAGGGGAGCCCAAGGCCCTCTAGGCTCCACATCTGGATCCACCTGCCACTGTCTAAATGTTTTTAGGATCAATAAGAAAACCATTAAATATGATTTTTAGTCATTAGTTGACTTGGGATTTTGTTTCTTCATTTGCGATGAATGATTGTTTTCGTTTGTTTAACAAGATCTTTCTTCATTCCATTGTCATAAAGATACTAATCATTTAGAACAAATTAAGGAACAACTGTACATAATTATTCTCCACATTTAGACATTCCCCTGTTATCTGTGGAATTGTATATGCAAGGTAATTGTTTTTTTACTTATTTAAGGATCAATGAATTATTATTTATTTTGTGATTTATGTAAATTTAATGTTTGTTTTTATATAACTGTCTTTTGAAATTTAATATTCTTGTAAATGTCTTCATTTTCTGCAATTAGATCATCTTCTTTAAATGAGAATTTGTAATGTATAAATTAAGGTCTATGATATGGTCTTTCTTATATTAAGGGAGGGAACTCTTTTCAAAACTGGTATAATATGCATTTATTTCCGTTTTATACACCTACAATGAAATGTGGTTGTATATTGTTCTTATATTAAGGGAGAGAACTCTTTTCAAAACTGGTATAATATGCATTTATTTCCGTTTTATACACCTACAATGAAATGTGGTTGTATATTGTTGTGCCCCCCACCCCTGCCCACTAGGTGTCTGTCGGGCGCCTGGTGTTAACAATTGCTTGTGGATTTATACACAGTGTCTGAGGTCATAGGACGAAGGATCCTAGTCATTTTCAATGATTTCCGATAATTACTGTAGAAGTTCTAGAAGCTAAAATTTATATCTGATTGACTTTTAATTTATACAATTTATTTCATGAGACATAGGATCTTAGTAATTTTCAAAAATTTTCGATAATTACTGCCAGAGTTATAGTCCTTGATCACTTTGAAATATTTTGTGGACGCTCTAGAGGCTAAAGTTGATATCCGATTGACTTTAAATTTATATGCAGTGTTGAAGGTCATAAGATGAAGAATCCTATTTATTTTAAACAATTTCTGATAATTACAGCCAGAGTTATTGCCCTTCATCACTTTGAAAAATCATGTTGATGCACTAGAGACTAAAGTTAATATAAATTGTTTAAGGTCATGAAACAAAGAATCCAAACTAAATCTAATGATTCTGATAATTACTTATTGGGTTATTACTCGTAGTAAGATTTTCATATGTTGTAAACATTCTCCTTATTCACAAAAGAAAAAACTATGAGACAACCCTTGTTGACTGCCTGGACGACTTAGCTGCTGTGGGAATATGATGTTTAGTTGCCTGGCAACCTATCTTCAATAAAACTGTAAATATATATTTATGTCTCCTTAATCTTATTTATGTATTGATAAATGAATGATGTCCATTTGAATACTGAAATGAAGTGAAATGAGGTTTAACATCCTACTGTTATTTGACTTCTGACAAAATCAAAGGTAGTGTAAATATTAAATGAATAAGTTAATTATTAATATATTAAAGATACATTATGGGAGATTTTTATAGAGAGTTGGCCATTCTTGCTATAACAGTTCAAAAGTAGATGATGAAAGAAGAATATATTGAAAATTTCAGTCAAATTACTTTATTCTGAACATAGTTATCATCGTTGTAATATTTGACTAGAAATGGTAGCGAAATGCGTCTTCACCTTGACCGATCGTTTGATTGACAGGCGTTAACTCCACCTACATATCTCGATCATCAAGTAAAGCTTTCAATGGCATACGGAACAATTTACAGCGGCCTCGCTAAGTACACTCTATGATTTAGCCTCGATCTAACTGACGTATTTTCATCAGGTTACGCCTTATTTGATTTAATCAATTAGTGAAATCCTATTTAAATCTGAGCTGTAGCCGAGCCATCCGTGGGTCTACAGAGTTGATTTTGGGCTTGTTGTTTAAATAAAGATCTAATTTATAATTTCTATAATATCTGAAGCCTAAATTAAGACTTGCGATAATCAGATTTAGCTGTTGCATAATGTATGTTTAAAATGAGTTTCGTCGAGCCCTACATCTTTAGTATGCTTTGTAAAATCCTGTAGAATTGGGATAAATGCCCCTGCTTTGGATTTTTATACGCCCACATTTTCATGTGGACGTATTATGCCGTCGCCCCTGTCCGTCCGGACGTCCGGAGGTCCGTCCGTCCGTCCACAATTTGTTTGTGGACACTCTACAGGTCACAATTCTTATCCGATTTTGACGAAACTTGAAATATAGGTTTATCTCCAAAAGATCTCGGTTCCTTTCGATATTGGCATGTATCTAATCGAAACTTCATGGCCCCTGTTTGTACGAAAAATCACGTTTTTAGCTTGTGGACACTATAGAGGTCACAATTTTTATCCGATTTTGTTGAAACTTGAAATCTAAGTTGATAATCTAAAGATCTCGGTTCCTTTCGATATTCGCGCATATCGGACCGTAACTTCCTGAATTATGGCCCCTGATTGTACCAAAAATCGTGTTTTTAGCTTGTGGACCCTATAGAGGTCATAATTTTTATCCGATTTAAAAAAAACGTTCAAGTATATCACCGTTACACCCTAAGGATGACTGAATCCGAATTTCGTGAAAATCGGCCCGAAATTGACAGACAAAATGGCCGCCGTTCGTTCTCAAATAGCGTAAAAATATGGTATATCAATGTTGTGGACACTATAGAGGTCGCAATTTTTATCCAATTTTGTTAAAACTTGAAATCTAAGTTGATAATCCAAAGATCTCGGTTCCTTTCGATATTCGTGCACATCGGACCTTAACTTCTTGAATTATGGCCCCTGATTGTACCAAAAATCGTGTTTTTAGCTTGTGGACCCTATAGAGGTCATAATTTTTATCCGATTTTAAAAAAAACGTTCAATTATATCACCGTTACACCCTAAGGATGGCTGAGTTTGAATTTCGTGAAAATCGGCCCGAAATTGACAGACAAAATGGCCGCCGTTCGTTCTCAAATAGCGTAAAAATATGGTATATCAAGGTTGTGGACACTATAGAGGTCACAATTTTTATCCGATTTTGTTGAAACTTGAAACGTAAGTTTATAACCCAAAGATCTCGGTTCCTTTCGATATTCACGCATATCGAATTGTAATTTCCTGAATTATGGCCCTTGATTGTAGGAAAAATCACTTTCTTGTTAGCTTGTTCTCTATCCATCTCTCGAAAATGTGGGCGTATCGTGCCTGGCAGCCGCTGGTTGATCATTTTTAGAGATTTAAAAATCCAAGATACATATGTTTAAAATAAGTATTACTAAAGCATCGGCCGAATCAATTGGCGCCGTTATCACTCGTCGCTTCAGTCATTTATATAGAGCGGTGACTCGTGTTTTCCTTTGGCGTTCGTCACTTCCGATACGGGAAACCTGTATTACTCAGCTATCGTAGCAATGATCTCTGTGTTAAACGTATATTTGGAATGTGTTTAACCAGCTCTAACACATATGTGATAATGACTGGCACCAATATTGTCCTTTAAGCATTGTAACTCACTGAAATCATAAGAGGTAAATTTATTGAACCATGCGATTTGTAATGGAATGAGTGTTAAAGATGATTAAATGGATATTAAATGATTATTTTTTTTAATTTTAAAAAAATGTATATTGTTCCATTGATGATGTCATTGTTTAATTTATGTATGTTTGTATCTAAGGTTATAGGGAAAATAAATTGTAATAAATTGAGTTGTGAGTATCATGTTTTTTGATGATATATTTTATAGGGTAGGCTACATGTGAAAATCTGCAAGCTTGCCATCCCATAAAGGATTGCTCGCTAACCTGGAGGTCTCAGTGGGTAAGATGTTGGCTCGCTAACCTGGAGGTCCTGTTTTTGATCCGTTGTTGGCCGAGAAAGTTCATCTAGGTTTTCTGGCTCGGTTCCCCCCTTGTCAGTGGCATTGTTGTTTGTACGAAAATTAGGAAGTTAAACCCCATTTCAAATCATTTCATGTACAAGACATGCGAGTAACCTTTTAAGACAATAGGGGATTTGGATGGCTGAATGGTTAGCGTGCGCACGCTGTATCATAGTCTGTCACTGAGTTGACTGGTGTGGTTTCAAATCCCCGGTTGTACGTGACAAGGAGTAGGGTCGCCTGTCCAGCCTCGTGGGTTTTCTCCGGGTCCTCCGGTTTCCTCCCACTGCTAAAGACCCCTATGCGCAAGCGAATTATTTAAGACTATACTAGGTCATCTAATGACAAGCACCCGCAGACAGAATGTTTATATGATCTAGCATAAATACAATATATTACATAAATTCATCATAATGATATGTTCCTTTACATCTCACAAAATCCATTAGTAGCTTAGACTCTAAATCAATATCATCAAAAGTCTTCGAACAATCTCTTTCTAAGCCCAATAATAATCAAAGTGTTGCCGACCATGGTTGTCTTTCCTTAGCAACAGTTAAGAGGATTTCAAATAGATTTAACATAAAATTGATGTTGCTATATGAAAAGAAATAAATAAGGGTGTTGTCATTACCTATATATGATATATTGCTAGGGCAGTAGTTACCAACAACATTATGTTGATCTTGATGGTTGCATTCCAAGATAACAAATTGGTTTTATATATTGAGTTTTAAAGGGGGTGAAACTTGAAACCTCATATTCATGCTAATATTTTGTCGTTTCTTTTAAAAGTAAAAGAAAAAAAAAATGTGTTTCAATCTGAAACTGAGGAGAATATTATTTCTCAAAGATTTGGGGTCCGACAAAGAAGGGATTGAAGATTTGGTTAGCCTGTGGGTTTAAAAGTCTGAAAGTATTAATATTCAATATTTCCTTTGCAAAACCATGTAAATACGGGTAGGGTTGGGGTGGACTTTATGGCGGTCCTACTAATCATTGCCAGACACCTACAAGAGCGTCTTTTTGTCAGTAGCGCCCAACGTATTGCAAAAAGAGACCGACAAGGAAATAATGTTAATATACTGTATAGATATGCTCATACTACATATACTAAACATCATATCCAAATTTTAATGATTTCATACAAAATTGAAAAATAATATACCGCTCCTTGTCGGTAACTTTTTGCAATACTTGGACAATATTGACAAAAAAACGTACTTTTCGGTCCTTGTCAGTGATTATTAGGCTCTTATCGTAGGATAATAATGGGCTCGAATAGAATGGACGCAAACAAATTATTTTCAATGTACATCATAGAAGTCCATAGTTTCTCTAAAATTAGAAATATTCATCAACTTTCAATAAGTGTAGGACACTGAATACCGGATCAGTACGCATCGAATCGATCAGTGAGCATCGGTCGACCATGTTCATCAAAGAATTTTAGACAACAGTAAATCTATACTAAAGACTCTATATATAGATATTATATCTCACCCTGTTATGGGTTGATGTTTATCAAAGAGTATTCATAATCTATACAGTTTCTAGGCGAGCATTACAATTCACAAATTATTAACTAGGGTATTTAATCTAAATCATTCTGTTGTTTGGTGACATAACCCTTGATCGCAAAGCCCTGAATTAAGAAAAAAATGTGTATTAAAAAAAAAGATTTAACTGAATTCTGTGTAATTTATCATTTGATGATGTAGCTATGGGAGATATAGAAACATTGAAAATAAATATTGACTATACATGACAAGTTGTTATCTATATGAGCAATAATTATTTTAATAAACCTATAATAAATTACATCTGTACATGTTGCTACCGTATTAAATGTGATATTAAAATAACCCCCTATAAAAAGCATCCACTCCACGGTAACATGATTCCATAGTGACTTGACCAACCTCAAAGTAAAATGCGAAAAAAAATAAATAAATAAATAAATTGGAGGTGGATGTGGCTCCTGGTTACCCTATATGGGACCTTTGGGGGTAAACCAAGATTGGGTCCACGGAGTCTACCGGAAAAGACGTCTGTGGGTCCTTGACTCTAATTTCTCCAAAAGGAAAGCTATTCTAATACCCAATTGCCGGGAAAGCAAGAGATACGACATTTATATTCTTATATGATTTTGTTAGTTTATTTAAAGTCGCTACAGATCTGACAGATTTCACAAGGCTACAGTTTGTAAAATAAATTGACTGGGAATATTCATTGGGTTAAAAAAAATAAAGATTATTCAAATTCAGAATTTAAACATAGACACCACCTTAATACTCCAACCAGTAGCAAAGTCGTCCGTGTTATTGTCAATAAATCTCGTAATGCAGCTATTCTAATACCCAATATTGTCTGGAAAGCAAGAGATACGACATTTATATTCGTATGTAATGGTTTGTTTTTGTTTTTTTTTTGTTTTTTGGGGGTTTTTTTTGTTTTGGTGGGTTTTTTTCTGCTTTTTCTTTACCTTAAGTCGCTACAGATTTGATAGATTTCAAAAGGCTACCGAGTTTCTGAAATAAATCACCCGATCGAATAAATTGACTGGGAATATTGGGTTAAAAAAAAAATGAATGTTCAAATTCAGAATTTAAACATAGACATCCCCTTGATATTCCAACCAGCAGCAAAGTCGTGCGTGGTATTGTCAAGAACTCCCGTAATGCAGGTTTATAAAAATAATCCGTCATGAACTCATGAACGGAAAGAAAATATAATGTGTAGACCTACATTAAAGGAACTAAGTCTCTAACTAAATATTTTCCATAATATTCGAAATTAAAAACATGAATTAGGATTCAATATTGATCAATTTCCATCAATATTGGTGTTGTTATCTTGCCGTGATACTATAGGATAGGATCCTAATATCCAATATTTAAGACACAATTAACATTTTATAGTAAGTACACGAGCCGTGTACCCTATGGTTTCGGGTGCCATTTGGCAATAACAATAAAAATGTATCCTACAACACAATGTGGAAGTAATTAGTAAAGTCTGGTTCATAAACAACACAATATTCATTTATAAAACGTGTAGAATGCACTAACAAAACGTAAACCACTGCCGTTCACGTATTACATGAATGTGTGCTTTTAGAACCATTTTTTGCCTATTTCAGGCTTCCAAGAGTCATGCGCCCTTTATATAAACAAAAAATTGTTTTTTCCGGCACCCGATAGCTTTATTGAACTAGAAATATGTAATAAACATGTTATGATCTAAATGCAACGCATGTCATTGCCCTGGCTTTTGTTTTCTTATATTACATATATTCACGCTTTACTAACTAAACGTAACGGTTATCTCGGTACTTCTTCAGTCTCTATTGTTGTCTTAAATTATGTTATTTATTACAGCAAAATCTAATACTCAACTATCGTTAGCTTCAGTAACACTCAACAAAGGATTGGTTCGATGGAATTAATCAATGAATTAAATTTACGGTTTCGGTATTTTCAAAAGAAAGAATAACATCGAGTTGATATTTTCTACAGCACAATGTATTATGTTTCATTTTACTTCAAGATTTTGCATACTGAATATTTCATAATATAACATAATCTGATTAAAACACAGATCCTATTTTGTTTCGGTTTTTATAGTTCAAAATTTCGTTTTACTTGTCTTTACTACACTAGGATCAGGTAGAGTTGTTATATTACCGGCGTTTTGGTTGAAGTGGGGGTTTAGCCAATGGAACGGTCTGTTAAGGCGAGTTCTTGGCGTTTGATGCACGGAACTGTGGGTAAACCACTAGAAACGTCAACGCTGATTGATTGATCAATGTCTGACGTCATACTCATAGGGTCAAAAGCTTCTCGCACGACCCCTGACGCGACCTTCTAGTACAACCGGTCAGCTCTTCATGTAGTGTAGGCCGTCGAAAGTATAAAAAAAAGAAACGAAATATAGATATGTATTGGGTCTGACAAGGAAAGATGTCTAGTCGTTCGGATGGGACGAAAAAAACGTGGTCCCGTGTACACATTGGCATGCACGTAAAAGATTCCTTGGCAGTTTGAATTAGATATAAGAGTATAGGCCGTAGAGGCCGTAGCGCCGCTGTCCGGGCAAAATTTCCCTCATAGCACACTGTATTGCGTATGTCCGTCTTTATTAACCCAGTCGGAGCAGAGCAATAGGACGTTAAACTCCATTCAATTTCATTTTCATTATGTCCTAAAAAGAGGAAGACCTCAAACACGGTAATGCCCCTTTAATGTCAAAAAAGTTAGAGCGTAAAAGCCGTTACCCTGTTACGCTACATTTAAATTGAAACCTATTCATTTCCGATATAGACACCACAATATAGTTTTTATTATAAGTCCACTGACAGTTGAATTACATTAAGCATAAATATATGCTTTATTATTGCTTTGTAATCCTTGATAAGCTTCGAAATATCATTCGACACCCTTTCAACTTTAATTTTATATGTTGCATTACACGGGTCATAAAGGGTGGGTGGATCAGTAACGTATTTAGACGGCCGTTCAACTTATAATAATATTTTTCAAAATAATTACTGCTTTCGATAATGACTGCTTGCTTGTTATTTGCAATAGTCTACCAAATTGCTTTTGAGGAAGATACAATAACATGAAAATATTGCTCGCCTAGCTCCGCTTGTCCAAAGGTCTTTAATATATCTGTCCTTGATTACATCTATTTTTCTTGTTTATTACGTTTCAGTTTCTATTGATCAAAATAGAACATGGTGGAAATGAAATGAGCTTAACGGCTTACCTCTCTGCATCGACCGGGAATACGAAATGAAATGAAATGAAATGGGGTTTAACGTCCTACTGTTCTGCTCCGACTGGGTTAATGAAGACGGGCAATGGGGGAAATTTTGCCCGGGCAACGGCACCATGGCCTACTCTTATATCGAATTTCAACTGCCAAGGATCTTTTACGTACACGCCAATGTTCACACGGGACCTCGGTTTTTCGTACCATCCCAACGACTAGACACTGACAAGGGGAAAGCAAGTCGAAAATCCCGATGAACTTTCTCGGCCAATGCAGGGATCGAAAACGCGACCTCCAGGATAGCGACCTCCAAGATTGTTTTGCATCTATACGTCGTGTTTATGATGCTTCAAACGCATTGATTAAATTGTTAATTTATAATTGATCAATAAAACTGCACCTACCACTACATATTACGTACGCAAGAGTTGATTGTTTTGATCCTTTAAAAGATGTATTTACATAATTACCATAGCGACGCAAAACATAAAATTTGTCTAATTATACATAGCTAATCTCATATTTATTCTGCAGAAAAATTATCAGCCCATGCACAAAACAAAATAAAAGAATTTACGTATACCGAACAGACTGAATTTTTTCTTTGTTGACCAAGCACGTCATGTGATAAAAGCCCGAAACGCCAGCTACATTTCTTATTAGAAGTTTGATACTGTGACGTTCACGTTAGAGCATCTTTATATAGATGGTATATGATAACATAATGACGAGTGTTTATAGTATACTGGGTATATACTATTTCGTACTTATATCACAAGGTAAGTACATGTATATTATCTATATGCTCATTGTATAATCAATACCCCAAACTTGTATATATTTATATATAGATAAAATAAATAACATAATATTATGGTATTTGTCAATTTATTGAAGAGAAGTGTCACCGCAGAAAATATGTCTAGAAAATTTGGTTTACTAATTATCATTTTAGTTGATCTTTAAGTGAAACAGTTGTGCATGAACATACCCACAACATTTTTAAATGAAAAATTAATATTATGCATTTTCACCCCGAACTGGATTTACTTTCATAAATTTATTCAGTATAATTCCTCTTTAAAATTAATGACATATATCCGTAAACACTGAAGCACATCTATTATCTACTTACTAAACTTATCCGTTTTAAAATTCACGGAAATGTCTGATCGCAATTATACATGTTTCAAATTTATCAACCATACGCCCAAAGTGTTATATTTAAAGTAGACTGTGCATTGGGTTTTCAGATAAATTAACTGTGTTTACTTTCAAAAATCTAACTAGCGTAAAGGTCGCCCCTTGAAATATTTCATGAAGAAAGGAAAACTGTTTAGATATTTAAAACATTTCTATCTGATAAATTGTTAAATGATAGGATTGGAGGCACAGGTTTATGTATTTGTGCCCGAATATCACCAGAAATCGATCTAGCCGAATATACCAATATGCTAGAATATGATATATTAAATGTACAGTGAAAGAATCTGTCGAATGCACCATTACGTCAACCTAATTTTATAAATTGATTAGTCTGACATCTTGCAAATGATCTTTTCACCCCATGTCATCTCATGATTGACGTTCAAGTTTTGCAATTGGAGAAATCGACACGTTTTCACGTCATATACGCCATTTGTAACACAATTTAGTGTTAGGAAGCTTATAAAGGACATCCACAATAAAGCGTAAATTTTATCTTGAGCGTCTTATTTTATATTAATGGTTCGGAGAATACGAGTGGGACGTATTATGATCGTTTGTGTCATTACAAACTTAACATTTTTACTCTCTTATACTAGGTTTCTTTTCATTGTTATATTTGACAAGCTAATATATGTTCATGCATTCGAGTGAGCAGGGCACTAAATTAATTCAAGAGTCCTAAAAGATCCTTTCTTAGCTTAATATAAGAAGTCGCCTATTAAAGAACAAATCGTTTAGAACATGATTGAATAAAAAGGGATTTAACGTTTTACTTTTCATGGGGGTTGGGTAGCCGAATAGATAACGCGTGTGCATTGAATCAGAAGGTCTTTCATTGGGTCAAGTGCCAAAGTCTCGATTATCTTTTTTATCGTTAAATTTTTAAATGGCGGCGATGTTCTAGTCTACTCAAATCGGAGCCATCCGATGTTCCAGAGTGTTGAATGTGATCATGATTAATTGTAGCCCAAAATGGAAATTTCTTGGATTTTGATTGGTCGAAAAGTGGCGTCGAATGAGTATAGCAGTCCTCTAAATTTCCTGGGCGACTCACTGCGAATGAATATTTTCTGTGTGCTAGACTCTGTTTGCAGTGGCCAAAAATTCTACACCTCAAAACTTTATTCTAGGAAATCTTCATAAATTTTTTCTTGTATGTCATCAACAATGAAATTCAACCATTGGCTTATTGAAACACACACCTGAAATACAAAAAACAAAGATAGTGAGTGTATTTGAATCATAATGGGTAAATTTCATTTCAAGGCTGGTCTGACCATAATGGTTGCTATGGTCATTCTATCATAATCAGACTGGTCAAAATCGAAGATTTTCAACAAGTCAATAAAAATACTACAATTTATTGAACTCCGTATGGACCGGAAATAACTGATTGGGATATGTTTTAAAAAATATACAAGTCGGGCTGACACTGATATGAATAGGACAGAGACTAATTTTCATACACAACACAAGCCAGGGTTTTTTGCGAAGAAAAAAAAATCACAGCGTCGAAATGACAACGAAAACAAGCATAGCAACCACGCGCGTACGCTACACAGCATATAATCTACACGGTCACACGAGTGTATGGACATTTATCAAACATGATATGCAATTTATTTCGAACCTAGTCACTGCTGGAGTTCAAAATCATTTAAAAAGTACATAAAATACACTTACAATTTCTGTTTCGATCTTTAAAATTATCGCAGAGTGTTATTTTATTACGTCACGGATATTTTCATTACGTCAAAATTGTTTTCCTTGGTATTTACGTCATTAAAACCAAAAAACGACCGTCAACTATCGCGAAAGAAAGAATTCCAAGAAAAATGTTAAATATTTTGGGCTACAATATCGATAAACACCTCCTGTTTAGAATTTATCGGACTGTAATTATTGTCCATTTGATACCGCTTAAATTTTTCATTTATAATAATTTATATAACAATTTTATCGTTACGTATAGGCATATATTGAAATTGTTAAAAAAAGACATTTTGACAGAGTATTTAGTTAAAATTAATTTATTCCGACGATTGCCGAGAATTGTTGATCGTTGGCAGACGGACTCTCCGCCCACACTTCATATTTTCGATTAACAAGACAGTGTCGATTGTCAGTCCCTTCGATAGTTTAAAGCCGTATATAGGGCTTTGGACTCTCACCGTGGGTGACGTCAGGCACTGCCGGAAAATTTCGGTTCCCCGATTATATATTGCCTAATCCATTCAATATATAAGCCAGATGACGTTATAGAGAGCTTTTTGCGGTTTGTCATGTCAATAAATAATAATGTATATAACAATTGAAGCCAAAATATAATGACTCTTTAATCAACGAGGCTCCGTCTTTTATTAAACTAAACGAATATTTAATTTACGTACGTCTAAACGCAATATTACAAGTGAGAACTGGGTTTTAATAATCACACCGAATGCTCACATTGATTGCTGATTTTACTATTTGAATATTCTAAATAATATTTCGAATGTTATTCCAATATTCAATTCAGCTTTTGTCTAGTTTTGGTACATTTCAGATTTCTATATAAACTAGAAATCTTTTAATCGATATCTGTGTGTTTATTCTGACCCATTTGTGTAATGTATTCAACTCTTATTCCACAAAGCAGAAAATAATACATCAATTAATCACAATAAACTGCATCCATTGCATTACAAAGAAACGTGTAAAATTTCGTATAGTCGGGTTATATATATATATATTTTTTTTTTATTTTAGAAGTTTATCAAATCTCTAATCTATTATAATGAAATGTACCTGTATGCCTTTTAACTATTGTTCGTTTCCACACATGTATAAATAAACCATAATGCTTGCTCGCATATAGGGGTTTATAGTTTATTTTTATTGCATATTGTCTAGTTTTAAAGATGCATAATGCAAGAGCTAAATCTGCAAATATAATATAAATTATGATTTAGACATTAATTCACATTGAAAACCCATAACCAACTCTCCAGAAAATCGGATGGCCGAGATATTGAATGGATTAGGACACTGGATAATCTAGTCTATATGTTTATTATCGTAGTAATGGTACTTGACAATCAAAACAATCTTGTCAAGCCTCCAAGTAGAGACTAACATTCCAGGTCTTTATCCAAGTCTTACATAATGTATAAGTTATATATAATTCTAGAATAAATTACGAAGGGATTGCTGTTCTTTGACATGTAACACGCATGTTTATAATTGCAAAAGAGATATGTGTTCTGATATAGTAACTTGAAAAATTAGGTTAGATTCCACCATGAACTCATGTTCCTGGATGGAAATGAGTTATTCTTCAGAGGCTAACTGACGCTCTTAGACAAAAAACGATTATGTAATCAAATGTATATTAAAGTAATGAGAACTGATTGATTTTAATAAATTTTAGACCAATTAGCTTTTTGTCAAGACTAAATTTTAGACTGGAATTTTTGAATGCCTATGCTTGTAATAAAATATTAATTCTTATAATAGCGGGAACTTAGAAGTAACATAATAAAATAGCTAAAACCGTGTCACTTGCATGTATTTTTTTGCTTTTTGTGCGTGTATTTACAACACAACTAAAAAAAAAAAAAAAAAAATCAAAAATAGCTGAAGCATAACGGTTGACAACAATCTCGCGTACATGACGCATCCAGGTTAAAGATTAAATATATAAGATGTACCGTAGTTTGTAGACATGACTCGAAATAATAAGCTTATATAGAAGTTCATTATTTTCATCTTATCATAAACAAATCTAATCCCCTTTATTTGGAATAAATAGTGCCCTATGATAGCTGATTTGATGTCACCTTTCTCTAACTTTTCACGCGATATAAATATGTATAGACCATTGTTGTGGTGCGATACCATGGGGTATCATAAATTAACTCATATTACAATCATTACACTCTATAGAAAATATCATACCCCAAAAATAAGTAAGAGAATTGTTTTCCCAGGGCAATTCATCTTTGATTCACTGAACACAAAAACAACTCAAAATTGAACTATAAGACAACTCCCAACGGAAAGGTGGAACACGTTTAAGTCACGATATGATTTTTCAAAGTTGTTTCCAAGTCATAGAATTCGTCACAATTTAAATTTGAAAAAAGATAGAAACGCGTGATATAAATGAAAGAAGATACTAAAAAAACTGTAGAGTTCTAATTGACGAAATGGTTTTACAGAATAAACCAATAAGTCTCGCTTCTATATTATGAAAATAAAAAAATATTTAACTATTAATCAACACTGGGTTTAGATCTACATTGTGAGATAATATTGTGAACATCACATACATTTGGTAATATAAGATTTCCACAAGACTAAACAAATATCATTATTAGTGTCGAAATATTCCTACATGTATATATCAACAAATACTTAATAGCACTCCACTTCAAAGAAATACATTTTCAGTGTTCTCATCCCCGAACATTTATTATAAAAAAAATATATATTACACATTTAAGAACTCGTCACACCTTTAATAGTGGATGGTATTATGTAGAATCAGATTTAAAAGTACCTCTGTGTATAGAATATAATATGACTGCATAATAAAATTGATCTCTAATGGTCTTGTTTTTTTTTGGTTATTTTTACTAGCTATAACCCTTATTGGATAACATGATAGTCTTATCGATCACGTCACACCATTCTTTCATTTAAACATGCATTGTGCAAGAGCTAAATCTGCCTATTGCCTGAAATCTTATCTAAATTCATAATTAGACATTAATAAACTTTCCAGACCATAATCAACTCTCGATGCCATCGTTAGCCTGCTATATTTAGTGGATTTGAATACATTTTGTGGTGGATATTTTAACGTAAAAATGGATAATCGAGACTTTGCTTATTATTCGTACCAACGTTAGTAATGACGATCGAGGCTAGCCTCGGATCCGAGTGAAACAATTTGACTGAATTTATTTTCAGCATATTCTGTTTCCATTATCTAATTTTTAACTATTATAGCGAGAACTGTCAGCTCTTTATCTAAATCTTACCTAATTCCCCTTTAAAATAGGAATTTGCAATATGATGAATTTGCATCCCGATTAATTCTTTCTTTTCGCATTGATCGTAATATTAAATCAACTTTAAGATCACAGAACAACTTACGAAAGCAGAACTGCCCAGACAAGACATCAGGAGATGTTGCTATTTTTATATTGTAACAACAGATCAATAGCCGAGTCAACTCTTAAATAATATGTTGAAGGTGCCCTGAAATTAAGCGCAGTGCTTTACCAATACTGCCAGACATTTCAATAAATCTATAAGATGCACTGCATTTGTTCTTAGAACATACCGCATCTCGTTTAGTGTTCATATAATATGGTGGAGACCCAACACGGCCATTTATTTTTGCGATTTTTGTCCCCGGGTGGAAGCGATAAAGCTATGTCATAGTCATAACAATCAATCTTTATAGCTACATGTCCCTTTAATTTGTGGATTTTTATTATTATACAGGCCAAGCTGCCGTATCGTCCGACCCATCGGAAGATGCTATTAATCAATATGTCCTTTCTAGGAACAAAAGAAGCGTAAGTAACAATCATTATTCACTATATATTATAATGAAACTATTCAACTATTTGTAAATTATTTACATTCGCCTTGAGTGGTGGGGTGGTTTTATGTGATAATTATTGATGAATCCAGGGAAATATGCTTTGTAAACAAATTACAAATTGATTTTCTTCTTGTGTTTCTTAGCTTGTCGCTCCTACAATCAAAGTGGAAGCTTTGTTCTTTAGCTATAAACACGTTTAGATAAATTAGATGTGTTTGTTTTTAGGTACGATATGATCCTCTTAGTTTCACTTTGCATACAAGATAATGTTATACTATTATTACTAATTAAACATACCCAGCCCAGTGTAGTGACACCACTGCAGCATGGCTGCACTATTTAACAGTTATTTTGTTATCTGACTTTCGACATTTCATTCCCATTAGATACCATTTATTGCGCAGGCGCTTCGCTGTGAATCGCAGCGGCGAGTTGTCTGAATGAACTATATAGTACCCTTCCTCGACTGGAGACACCTTAATTATAGCATATTAGACCTCTTACATCGCCTCAATAGCTATATGCTTATCAAAATTATTCTAAATATCATGTACTGCATGACAGGTAGTTTATTGATTGAATATAGGCCCTGTCTGTTGTCCATAAACTTTTAAGGGGCTATATGTATGCCTATGAATAAATTACTTACGATTTCACATTTCATCGTAGAAATATTATTACCATCAATGCTTATAAAATTCATATGTATATAATATTGCATATAATGATCAATTATTTTTTAAGACAGTGAAAAGTACACAAATGTTTTCAACTGAATAGGTAAAGAAAAAACCTTTTTGGGCTATATTTACTTATGATCGGAGACATGATAACAATTCTTGTAAATAGAATCTGTTGATCGAACCATCTGAAATTTCAGATTGGAAATGAAGACGATTCGTGTCAACTTGAGAAAAAGAGATTATATTTTGATAAAAAGTGGTGAAACTTAGCAATAAGAGTGTAATTGTTTGGTCTACAAGTGAAATCTATTGTAATTTTTATCTGTATTATGTTTATTTAGACCTCCAATTATGACCTCGTGTCATCACACAGTGTCTGCCAGGACAAGTCAGATGAGGCAACCGAAACAGGTATATCAATATTTATTTTATGATCAGTAGTGGAATACCGCGTTTTATCAGTGAAATAAAAGTGTTATTCCCCTGGCTAATTGTTTTTACCTAAAATGATTGTAAAATCATAAAATAAATAGAACATTTGTCGTTTTGTCGTGAATAACATAGTTTATTTCATCTCTAAGCAAGAAAACGTTTACATTTTCTTGCTTCTCGATGAAATAAAATATGTTATTCACTCTAAAACGACAAATATCCTCTATTTACTATTCATTTCAACTTAAAGAATAAAATCAATTTTGGGTTTTAGCTTTGGTTTTCTGAAAATCATCACAATTAAGTACCATTTTTCAAGTGATACAGTCCTACATTTTATTTCAGAACTTGTATGTAACTGTCGTTAATAAACGTCCCGTTGATGTTATCTGAGTGTGACCGTCTATCAGGGGCGCTCGAACGTATGAAGGGCGGGGCAAAGGCAAAAGGATGACATCGATGCGACTTAATGAGCCAGAAATATTAACTTTTTTTTTTATGTATTGGAAAAATAAATAAAGGCGTTTGATTTTGACGTATTTGTAGGTAAAAATTATTTCCTATTTAGTGTAAATGGGTATTAAAATGACTAAAATGCAGCATTCCGCCCGAAGCAGTAACGTCTTATGTAAACAATGCACGTGCCATTCAGCCAATGATTGACGCCGCGTGCTGTGACGACACGTGTTAAGGCAGCCATCTTTGCCAGAGATATTACTAGACTTGTAATTCTCTATGAAACAGATTGGACTCTTCCGTCGTAGTTGATAATGTCCCGAGGTCCTTCATCGGGTAATGTTTTTAAATTCTGTTGCAGGAACGATAAAATCCGACATCTTTTGACCGGTTACCCTTTTAACCCCACCAGATCAAAAAATGCAACTGAGATCACTAGAAACAAGAACCAATCTTGTATCAAGGTTCAATCTGAAAGATGCATTGCCCAATTACATGTTAAAGGGCATCCGGCAAAACTGTCAGATTGGTCGCACACTTTCGTGCTTTCAAATTCTAATTCTAAATAGAACTGTCGGTTAACAATGAAATTACACTGACATGGTAGGGTTGTATTACATATCGTAGCGTATAGCAACGTAGTAATATTAACCGGTGTCACGAGAGGGTGAGCGGGGATTGGTGGGGTGGGGAGGGGAGGGGGTGCACAACCCGCCACCGATTGATCATGGGCACCTGCAATAAACCCCCTCTCCTCATAACATACAATTCGGATTGCTGTCAAATTGGGTTCTGACTCTTCACTTTATTGTTTCAATGCATGGTTGTCCGACTTCGAAATACTTAATACTTTGCTTATTATGCTTCAGGTGTGACAGAAGCAGATAAAACATTAATAGTAAATTTACACAATCTATACAGGTCTAACGCCAACCCACCCGCTTCTAATATGCTCAAGATGGTAAGCTTTTTTTATCTATTATATTTTTGTGAGCATAATAATTGACGATCAAAAATAAATTAAAAGAATCATATTCTAAATGATCCAAATTAATAACTAGAATTTTAAAATTTGTGAAATGCCAAAATCATTTTATTATGACAAAATATGATAGTTCTGGGGTGGGGGGGGGGGATACGTAACGGAAATATTGGATGAGCTAATAACCAGTATGACATTTAAGTCGATGTACAAGGTTCTGATTAAATTTATTGTTAAGCTAAATTTATAGAAATGGAATAGTAAAACAGATCTTTTAGTTATTTTTATTATGTTATTGCAGAGATGGAATGATGAAATAGCTGTCATAGCACAGAAATGGGCTGAACATTGTGATATGACGCATGATGGTAATAAACAGAGAAGTGTACCAGGTAGAAAATCGTCCAATCTGATTAAAATGTATTCGGGCCTACTGCTGCTACTGGGGGTTTAAATGTCAAGCTCACATCTTATATTTAGCCTAGCTGATAGAGCCATGGAATTCATTTTGACAGCGGGGAGCACTCGGACCTGAATTAAGTATATCTATTATACAACGTTAGAACACGAACAGAACACGATTTTGCCAGGGCATCGTTGATTGCCAATTATTATAAGATTTTTGTTTATATATCTGGAGATATTGGTAATGGTTTGAAGATTTACATGTAACCTTATACATTTATTTATAGCTCGTTACAGTGTTGGTCAAAATTTGGCCATGGGTGCGTCTGGGTTTCAACAAGCTGTAGACCTGTGGCAAGCAGAAAACTCCACTTTTGTTTATAATGGTAGTAATGCGCTTTTGGAAGTTGGTCACTATACACAAGTTAGTCCATAATTCTTATTAATACGGGTCAGAATATAAAATTGTCGATTTCTTTGGATTTTATCGACTAATATCGATAAACCAATTTTGTGTTCCTTTGTCGACGCCGCAGAAAGCTAAAATTTAAACTACAATTAGTAAACAAGTCGACCCAAATAAAAGAAATTTAGCTTTTGTAAATAAACATTATAACAATAACATGTTATGTTGAAATTATTAACATATTAGCGCAATTATAAGGATGGCTTCCCGTTACACGGGATATATATATATATATATATATATATATATATATATATATATATAGAAAGCGAGAAAATGAAATAACAGAATCATTCAAAATTGTATATAAAATTCCATTCGAATTATTCTGTTTTTACTCTTTTACGGTTATACTCCTAATTACGTAAAAGTCTGTAACTAGCATGAAATTTATGGAAAGGTCTTCATTTCCTACTTCCAATAAGTTAACCGCCGATTTTCAATTCATTTCAATATTTAAATTTGGTTACGTGTTGATAAGATCAGTCAGTGTACAACAATGAAAATAAAATCCACATTGAATATGACAAACGTATGCAAATGTTGAACACGCAAGGTCGCATTTTTTTATTTTATTTTTTTTAGATAATCATGAGGTCATATAAATAATTAGGCCCATCGAATAAAATAGGGGTGGTGGGGTGTTTTGGGTTCTTGATCCTGTTGGGTCTAACCCGCCACTCCACACCCCACCCCACACCCCTCCCCAACGGGAACAGAGCCGAACCTTGTACAGAATGATATCGCGATTCCGTCAAAGGGCTGTTTTCGAAAAGTTTTTAATTTTTCAGTTTTAATCAGGAATCTTTTTCTTTATAGATAAATTGGGCAGACACTAATTTAATTGGTTGTGGATATGCTAAATGTGGAACAAAGAATTATCATGTCTGTAATTATGCAACAGCGTAAGTATAGATACATATATATTATTTATTTGGCTGATTTCTAAACTATCATTATACCCCCCCCCCCCCAGTTTAGTAATGACCCCAAAGATTGTTGAAATACTTCTTATCTTCTTCATTAACTTGTTTATGGAATTGGAGGCACATGATTAGTGAATTAAACATACATTATGCAAGAGCTAAATCTGCCTATTGCAGGTCTTTCTGTAGGCCTGAAATGTTATCTAAATTATTAATTAGGCATTAATTAACTTATCCAGACCATAATCAATGTAATCGCTAGCCTACGATATTTACTGGATTAGGATCCGATCTGCTGCTCTATGCTCATTCATGATTAAATTAACAAATAGATAATCGAGACTATGTATTTTATCGTACCAACTTTAGTAATGATGATAGAGGCTAGACTCAAAATTCAATCGCTAAATTCTCGGTTCAGAGTGGATCAATTTGACTAGTGTATATTTAATACTTAATTAATTAGTGAATGTTTTAATTTTGTGTGTAGAAATAGTATAATATTTATGATTACATTGTCACTTTGTAAAGTGCCACTGAACATGTTATATGAAAGGGCGCACTATAAATATGCTGTAATAATAATAATGTTATAATTTTGTGTGTACAAAAATATAATAATGTTTTAATTTTGTGTGTAGAAATAGAATAATAATGTTCTGATTTTGTAGAAATAGCATAATAAGGTTATAATTTTGTGTTTGTAGAAATATTATAATAATGTTATAATGTTATAATTTTGTGTGTAGAAATATTATAACAATGTTATAATTTTGTGTGTAGAAATTTATTAATGTTACACTTTGTAGAGGTAATGTAAATGGTAGATTGGGTACACCGTATATAAGTGGAACACCATGTTCAGCATGTCCTGGTCGCTGTGTTGACGGTAAACTTTGTGGTAAGTATTAATTTCATATTAGCATTCGGACAACAAAGGAGATGACAGTTTTCAAGATGTAGTGTGTGTATGTCACCACATCCAGTTCCCACATACCGTTCCCGTGCCGTTGGTACTTTCGTCGTCTTGGTTCTCATGCATATAGGGCCAAACTGGACACAGAGTCAAATCGTAAGAGGGAAAAGAACACCAAGCTCCTAGCAATAATATTATATCGCAAGCTGAATAATGTAAAACCGTTGTTTATTTTTAAAGATGGATTATGTATGAGAAAAATCTGCCAATTACTGGTCTTTATTTTGGCTTCAAATGTTACGTAAACTGGTATTTAGACATTTATTAACATGACAGGTCTATAATCAACTCTCAAGACTATCGGATGCCGGAGATCTAAACGGATTGAAACACGGTTGCCATTTAATGAATCGAGGCTTATTCTCGATTAACAGGTGCCGTTTCTACGATAATAAACAATCTATGCCACATCTTGTCGAAACTTCAAACGATGGTGACTCCGTTCAGAATAAAGTAATTTGAATGGATTTTTCCATAAAATTATATTCATTTTGCATTATCTTTTTTTGAACTATTATAGCAAGAACGGCTAATCCTTTATATTAACTAATCGTTTGTTAGTGTTTTATTAGACTTCGGGCACATTATTTTGCAAACTAGAGTTTTGAAAAAAAAATCCCACTTCACCCGCCTGACCGAAAAGTCAGATTGCACAAAAGTTAGGTACTTGATTAGCTGGGCCTCCCCCCCCCCTTGTGTATAATATAACGTGGGCATTTTAAATGGGTTTAATATATTATGAATGTGGACGTTTTAAATGTGGATTTAATATATTACGAATGTGGACGTTTTATATTTGGATTTAATATAATATTATGAATGAGGATGTTTTAAATGTGGATTTAAAATATTATGAATGTGGACGTTTTAAATGGAGGTTTATTAGATTACAAATCTGGACGTTTAAATATGGGTTTAACAGATTACAAAAAAATACGTTTAGATGCGGGTTTAATAGATTACAAATATGGTAGTGATGAATGTGGCTTTATTAGATTACATATGTATTTTTGTAGATTGTGATGTTACCTGTTGGCATGGTGCAACATTAGATCGTACGACCTGTACATGTACTTGTTTAAATGATATGTATTTAGCACCAGCATGTAAACGTAAGTTGAGTTGGTTTGTTTTATCGCCAGGTGGACCCATTTCAGCATCTTAAAACCCGAAGATGCAAGAATGAAAAGTCCGATTGGGGTATAAAGTATAAACTTTAAGAAAACAAATTCTTGTTTAAACCGTTCAAGTATTCTATCTTACGTAATAGCCATTTAAAGTTTATACAACAATTAATGAATTGATTTCACAGTCACACCGCCATCTTGCTGTGTCTTAGATATAATTATTTTATAATCTTTTTCATGATGTCTTTTTTTTTTACACACACACACCTGAAGTTATCTACAATAAAAGTTACGGACCTGGTAAAGGGGAGCAGATATTATTGTTAGACAGTATCGGTTGGATTTTCACGAAATTCGAACTTAACCGTAATTAGGGTGTAACAGTGATATATTTTAACGGTTTTTAAAATCAAATAAAAGTTGACTACTAGAGGGCCAACAAACTAAAAACTTGATTTTCGCACAATCAGGGGCCATATTCCAGGAAGTTATGGTCCGATATGCGTCAATATCAAAAGGAACCGAGATCTTTGGGATATACATGTAAGCCTATATTTCAAGTGGCGTCAAAATCGGATAAAATTGTGACCTGTCGAGTGTCCACAAACAAGATGTAAATGGACGGACAGGGCGACGACAATATAAGTCTACATAAAATTGTGGGCGTATAAAAACGATCTGGTCTGTTGTGCCTTTTATTTGTGGTGAATGTCGTGTACGCAGCAACGAATTCAGATACCCTTCAGGACTGATATGTTATTCGTATTTTTCGATGGGAACATACCACTAATATAAAGTGGTTTTCTGGTTAATAAATAGTTGAAATATATCGTTTTCTTTTTCACCAATTTGTTGAATTGATTATATAGGTGGACAGTTGCATTATAAATAACAGAACACTACAAAATGTGCTTAAAATTATGCTTCATTGTTATATTTCAGTTGATTGTGAGAAACCGGATCCGTCTTCTGGTGGTTATAGTTGTAGTGGATCGTTTGGTCAGAGGGCATGTCCTAATAATCCGACATACTGTCCTAACAAATGTAATTATTGTCCTGGTAAGTTATCTTGAATCTTAAACATATATCTGGATCAAGTCTGCAAAATTAGAAAAAGCCACCAGTAGCAGCCTGTCATCAGTGGCGGACTGGCCAGGTTGTCAGCTTGCCCAGTGGCAAGTGGGCCCCTGAAGAAGTGGGCCCCCTTAGACATTAGACAATATATTTAAAATGATTACATCTTTTTGTTGCCACTTATATTTTTTGAAAATTTAATTTATTCATTTTAAAAATTAAATGATAGAATTGTATTGGTGGGTGGGCCCCCTTTGTGTCCTGGCAGCCAATATTTTCAGTCCCAGTGCGCCACTGTCTTTCACCCATCCGATCCTAACCCCAAACATTTTCTAGAAACTGGAATTTATTGTACAAGTGAAATGATTGATTTAGTTCATCTAAAATGGATTGACCTTAATGCAAAGCGAATTTAGGAATTTATTTTGTCTTATAAAATTGAATGTATTGGCTTGATTTATTTTTCAGTTGCTGACTATCGTAATGTTGAGAAAGAATTTATCTCTTGTCTTGGAGGTGGAGGAGATATTTTAACTGTTCACTACACAACTCTCCTCTTACTGTTAAGCACAGTATTCCTAACGGTTTTGAATTAACTCAGTAAAAGGAGGGGTTAGGGTCTATTATATTGGGTTTGATTGTCCTCGTTATACTCTTTAAAACATAACTTTTTTTTTTAGATAATGGATTTTGATAAAACTTGGAATATACTTTCATTACCACTCAACTAAATTTGAACATCAACACCTTAACTGTCTGATCCCTTGAAATATCAATGCCATATGCACATATTTAATTAACCTCCTTCAATATGATTAGAAAATAAGAATGTACATTGCATTTACTGTGATCTATACTTCCTGGGACCACAAGAGTAATTGCTTGTAATATTTAAGCATATATGACACCTTGTTGAAATAAATTTATCATTTAATAATTATTTAGCACAATGCAATAATAATCAAACGCACAATTTTGTGATTTATTAATTAATCAAAAATATTTAATTACTATGGGTTTTTTCTTAATATTGTTATGTGTGCATGCATTTGTTAATATAATTTATACATTATAAATATGTACTCTTAAAGATGTATTATGCAAGAGCTAAATCTGACTATTGCAGATCTTTTTTTCTGGCTTCAAATGTTGTATAAAGTACTATTTTATTGACATAGAGGGCCTCTCTAGACCAATGGATGGCTCCTATTTTAAGTAGATTATTCAAGTGTTTAATGAAAAAATAGATAATCAAGACTAAATCTAGATTGTCAAGTACCATGGCAATCTACAATACATTAAGTCAAAACTTCAAACACTCATAACTTCGCACAGAATATAATAATTTGACTGAAAATATATGTTTTGTATTCATTTTTCATTGTCTATTTTTGAACTATTATAACAAGATCAACGAGCTCTTTATCTAATTCTTACATAATGCATCTTTAATACTTTGCACTTATTTCTACCCCACTAAAATTATATGGGGTAATTTATGAATTTTTATAATATATTCCAGAGGGCTTTGTTACATAATGCAGCTTTTTTTCTTTACCTTTGCACATAAAACATAAGCAATAATCTCTAATACCAAATATTTATTTATTATTTTGTACAAAGGTACATTATTTTTTTAAATTACAAAATGATGATTTACATAAATTTAATGATATTCTTGTGTTTATATGTACATTTAACATTTATTTAGTGACAGAACAATGAAATAAAGAAATGTATAGCTAAAGGGTTTTGTACAATACTTTGTAGCTAAACGAAATAAAAAGCTAATGAAATCAATAGGCTGAGCCTTGAGGGGGTGATTAGTTCAAACCCCTATATTTCGAAACAAATATTTTACAAAGTAACAATAATGACGCAGGTCCACAGTCAGACAAAATATAATATAACCATACTGTATCAAAAGTCAGATGCAGTCCATAGGTGAGCTTCATACAAATGGCAATGAATAAGATACTACTCAACTGTGTATGACACATTCAATTACTGTAACACAAATGCTGTCCAAATTCCTTAAAGCATGTGAATCTCTAAAATAAAGTTGAGAGAGGGAGAGAAATGGGGTTTAACGTCCACTTGACACAAACTAGGTCATTTCAGGACTAACATATGGTTCAATTTTATTTCAATAATACCCTTGCACATAGGTGTCTTCAGCAGTGAGCTTCATACAAATGGCAATGAATAAGATACTACTCAACTGTGTATGACACATTCAATTACTGTAACACAAATGCTGTCCAAATTCCTTAAAGCATGTGAATCTCTAAAATAAAGTTGAGAGAGGGAGAGAAATGGGGTTTAACGTCCACTTGACACAAACTAGGTCATTTCAGGACTAACATATGGTTCAATTTTATTTCAATAATACCCTTGCACATAGGTGTCTTCACCAGTGGGAGAAAACCGGAGGACAGGAAAAAATCTACGAGGTTGGACAGGCGACCCTACTCCTTGTCACGTACCAGCGGGGAATCGAAAACCACACCACTTGACTCAAATACAGACCTTATGATCCAACGTGCACGTATTAACCCAACCCCTTAGTAAATTAAAGCTAGAAACAGATGTAAAAATTGCAAGTATAATAATGACATGTCTTCATGATGGAATGTTATATGTGGTAATATTTGAATAACAACACAGGCCAATGTACCAAACATATTAAAACTGTAATGCTTATATTAATTCATAGCTTATGTCCCCGTATGAAATAAAATTGACAGTACATAGACACAATTAGGATTTCACTTCTATAGATTACATGTTCTGATTGTGACCAAACCTAAAACCAACTCTGATCCAAAAAGATCCGATTTGGACATAGATTTTTATTAGTTTGTAACTGAGTCATCAGAATGTTTTTCATTTTGTATTCAAAGCCAATTGCTTTCAGAAAGCAGAAGATTTCAAAACTCTGATTTGAACTAGATCATGACAAACTATGTCTTTCCTTCGTGAGATCTGTCTATTGTTCATCCCCCTGCACTCTACATTGTAATTTTTATCTACATACTAAATCACTGGACTCGATTTGACTCAATGTAATTTAGTTTGAACACCCTGATCTAATAAACACTATTTTGCAGCAATAATTATGGGCGCCAATACCGGTAATTTCATTGTATTGCAGCAATAATTGCAGGAATATATATTAAAAGGGTAAAAATAGCTTGACAAGCAAGCAAGGTAAAATACACCCACCACCAGCTTTTTAAATGTACTGTCTTGAGGGTTTGGGTCAAGATCAAAATTTGGTGAAATTTGGTACAACAGGATACAGGTAATATATTTAATCAATAATCATGGGGCAATAACTCTTGAATGACTTTTTTTGCAAACACCCTTAATCTTTTTGGGTGCAATATTCCTTTTAAAGATTTGAACTGTGTAGGGTACGGTGATGCACATTTATCAGCAATTGAATCGAACAAAGGGCATTACGATTCTTTCCCATAATGCTCAAAATCAAATTGATAGATCATCCTTTACTCCAATATGATCAATTCCCGAAATTGGATCGAATCTGTGAAGAATTCAACTTTCTAGAGTGAGTACGAATACAGTATATATCTAATGAACAGTCAGGGGCTATAACCCTGGATCTACTTTACCCCAATACTAACTATTCTCGACGGACCGATGACAACATATGACCACAATAATAACAGGTGGGCATTTAAAAATTATTTTCTATTTATAATCAATAAATATAAACATCAGCGTGATATATGAATAATAAGATTGACCTGTGAATTAAATAAACGGATAAAAAACTTGTAGACAGAGTTTATAAATTGCTGTAAAGAGAGTGTTCATCCATGGAGCGTTGATCAATATAGTGAGCACAAATGATGCTTTCTGGGGTTTTTTGGTATCCAGCATCAAAGGTTATTGAAAACTATAACCCACAACTAAAATGATTACTTTTAGTCCATTTCATATCTACCTTTACGACATGTAAAGGCTATCTTGATATTTTGAAGTGAACCACCTGCAGTAATAAATGCCCAAAAGGCGGCAATAATCATAACTACATAAGCTGGAATAAGTGATGCTAAATACAAGGATTCATGGCGTTCTGCAGTTCTTTGATTCAATAGAGTCTGGAAAAAAAAGAAAACAATTATCTATTTTAAATATTTCAAATAAATTTACACATTGTATTGAATTTTCTGCTTTCAAACCAGATATCTTAACAATTAATTGTGACCAGCTCCCACGAAACCAGGCGCGCGCACAACTTCATTTTGTACTACGGCACAAAAGCATAAACTGTATGCCTTCTTGTTGCCATGAATGAGCCAAACTCCAGATGATATGACAAATTTGAAAATTGGAAAGCTTAGGCTGAGGACTGTTCAAATATGCTGCAGCCGTAATTTCATAAAAAATGACCAAGAGCCCGGTTTTGTGCGAGCAGCTCACATTTATTTAAGTGGTTTAAGACAAATCTCTATTTCAAAAATTTACTTGTGTGCAGGAGTCTTTAGCAGTAGGCCGAAATCAGAGAAAACCCAACAGGTTAGGCCTGCACTCAACAAAACACTGAAAGGTGACTAAATGACAGACCTTATGATATAAAGAGCACCACTGAACAACTCTCCAGGAGTTAAAGAATTCTCTATTACTATCAATGCTGAATGAAGTTTTATCATTATCAATGGGAAAATAGATTGTTCCAAATTTCTAGTGCCGTCTTCTTAATATTTGGGGAAAATTTAGGTATGATGTGTCAAGGGGAATAACTCTTCATCTATTAAAAACTTACCAGACATGAAACCAGTAAATGAGACAAAACAACTCCAGCAACAAGATAATATCTTTTGGTATCTAGAGCATTGAAAAATATCACTCCCCAAAATGTATGTAACAATATGAAGCACAGCGTTAGAAATGCTGAAATAGAAAAAAGTGTTAATAAAAGATGAAAAGCTGACAAAATGTACAAAATAACCTCCCTTAGAATCTCAGGTATTAGACAAATTTGCATACATTTAAAAAATTTAACATTAATTTCTATCATCAATTTGCTAACATGTCACAAAATCATAAGTCATATGGCATACTAACAAATCTTAAAGGTAATGTAGAAAGAGAAAAATGGGGTTTAACGTCCACTCGACACAGACTATGTCATTTCAGGACTAACATTTTATTTCAATAATTCTCTTGCGTATAGGGGACCTGAAGAAAACCCACAAGGTTAGACAGACGACCTTACTCTTTGTCACATACAAGACGGGAATAGAAACCATAACAAGAACTAATGTGCACATGTTAAGCCATTCGTCCACCCAACCCCCAAATGTTTTTAAAACAAAGATTTTATAAACAACATTTACAGCACCCACCTGTAGTAAGGAAGAAATATTGAGAATCTCCCAGAATTCCTATTGTTCCAGGCCCAGCCATATCAGCCAAAACATTCACAATGGAGAAGGCTCCACTTAAAACACCATAACCAAACCCAGAAACTAAAAGTTTGAACAGAAACATTATTGTACAATTATCTTGTAATATTATACAAAGCTAAATGTTTCATATCAAATGGGCAGATCTCTTAAGTTTTATATTATTTTATCTGCTAAGGGATCATTAAACAAATATGAATTTCAGACAGATGAGTTAATAATTAAAGCAAAAAGAGTTCATAAATCAATGAAAATAAATAGGATAGATAACCAATTTCAATTTCATAAAGATAGGATCATAATTGAGACATCTAACAAACGGGAATAACCCTGGAAGTTATTATCGTAAATCGCTGTAACTCATTGTCCTTTGAATATGATAGACAACAGAACAATATGCATCAATTTCAATCAGATTACTAATCTAGTATATATGACTCCCCGCCCGGGATATAATCCACAGACCGCCATTTCAGGTTGACCCACGCACCCCCTCAACCCCAGTGGGAGAGAACCCCCTAGGCTGTCATCTTATCACTGAGGTCCGGCTGTCTACCTGCCTCAGGGACGGTGACCTCATGATTTGTCACCATATACATGCTATAGTACCCCTTTAGGACGATAATCTTCAGCTTTAATCCTAATCCTTTCCTTACATTAATAGCAACATTTTAGTTTGAGATGACCCCTTCTGGTATGTTGAGATGACCCCTTCTGATGTCAGGACATGGACCATAATGTATAATAAGGTCCATTGTCAGACTAAGCATGCAAGTAGGACCATGTAGTAGTCGTAAAAATAGCCTGTCTCCTATTCTTACAAGATCGGCGAAGCAATAGGAGAGACGCTATTTTTACAACGATCTCATCATAAAAATAAATCATTGCCTATTCTTACGGCATCCCCCTTTGCAAACTGCAAAATAGTACAAGTCCAACATTGTTTAACTTGTGCATGCGCTGCCGGAACTTCCACCATGTCGTAAGAATAGTCCATCAATAATTCTTACGCCTTGTTGTACGAATAGCCACGGCGTAGATGATTACAATTCCAACAATTATCACACACGTGTATTTAAATTCCAGACATGATGAAGAATAGATTTAAAGAAATCTGGAGAATCTTACCATAAGCCATGATGTGTTTATTATTGATATCTTTAGGTGTAATATTCTCATCTCCTGATACTTGACTCACTTTCTTTAATCCTTCATCAGCTCTTCTGTAATAACAAATAAATAATTTTAGAGAGAATACTCCAATGGTTTATTGACATTTTAGAAAAATCAATCAACACTATCATTTTTATTGTGTCAAGGCATTTAAAACTTTAGAAATAAAAGATTTACAATAAAGAAAGATTTGGTAAACACTAATTCCAATGCTATGTGTTGTAATGAATTTTCATTTATACCATAAATGAAGGAGATTGTATTATACAAATTCTTATACAATTTTAGAAATAAATCTATTCAAATCTATTTAAGATTAAGACTGGGTCATGTTCTTTTAACATTGGTTATAACTTATATTATGTGTAATCCTAAATTGTCGAACTTTACAGCAGACCCTTCAAAGGATCTCTGACTTTACACTATGGACTCCAGATCAACCTACCAATCAAAACTTGTAGTACAGAAATTTCTGTCAAATCTTACGATTATCAATTAATTTATTTGGCTGTCCAACAAGAATCAAAGGTAGGTTACTATTGTGCTGTCATCACATGCACAGGTACGTGCTTTCCTTTTCCAAATCTTAAGATGTTAATGGAGTGAACAATGAAACAAAAAGACTCGAGTGACCAACTAAATACAACAGAAGGAAAATAACATCAAGTTTTTAATAGATTATGGCATTCTATTCATGATTTACAATTACTCACAACGTACTACATTGTACATGTAAGTCATTTTGGGACAGGAATATCTTCATTGGTTCTTCATTTGCCTACTTGCATGATGCTGTGTCTACAAACAACTGATGTCAAAAAAACATAGCATATTACCTGAGTAGTTTATAAAACAGGAATCTAAACAATTCTTGGAAAAAGACGGAAAACACCAGTCCAAACGCCAGTTGATTTCGCAGTGGCACCACAGCATACCATAATATTGATGATAACAGCAGTGATAATAGCCAGAAAAATCCACTAGAAAAAAAGAACATACAATTATTTGCTTACATGTTAGTAGAAATACTTTTTTATTTTTATCCATAAATTCTAATTCATCATTACAATGTACATGTACCTTACATGGTGATATATTTAAACATTTTTTAAAATCCGATAAAAATTGGGACCTCTAGAGAGGAACCACAAGCTAAAAACACGATTTTTCGTACAATCAGGGGTCATAATTCAGGAAGTTACGATCCGATATGTGCAAATATCAAAAGGAACCAAGGTCTTTGGGTTATAAACATGTGTATCAAGTTTCATCCAAATTGGATGAAAATTGTGACCCATAAAGTTTCCACAAGCTAAAAAACGTGATTTTTCGTACATGTCCACAATCTAAAAACGTGACTTTTCGTACATGTCCACAAGATAAAAACTTGATTTTTAGTACAATCAGGGGCCATAATCCATGAATTTGTGGTCAGATACACGGCAATGTCGAAAGCAACTGAGATATTTGGGAGACTGACATATATTTCAAGTTTCGTCAAAATCAGATAAAAATTGTGACCTGTAGAGTGTCCACAAACAAATTGTGAACGGACGGACAGACAGACAGGGGCGATGTCATAATACATCCAGATGAAAATACGGGCGTTTAAAAATATCTTTACCTTGCTATTAGAACAATAATTCTAAGTGGATCTTGTGCTATGGTAAATATAAACATGGCCAGGGGAGGACCAAATGATATAAAGGCACACCCAAAAAATTCCATCAACGTCATCTTGATGTTTTAATCTGCAAAATACTGCAAAATGACTTTTTACAAACCAATGAAAAATAACAGAGCTGTCAATTGAAATTAGATCATTATGTTCATCATGCTAACAGCATTATCTTTGATTCCTTTTTCTTTGAAATGTCTAAACATTTGGACTGAACAAATACTGTGACAACCAATTCATCACCATGATTCATGAACATAATAGAAGTTCTTTCAAATCTTGTATCCAACAAAAAATGTTACTACTTTTTGACTGAGTGTCTATATATTCCAGGCCAGGGGCCTGTTTCACCAAATTTTAACTAAGATAAATCCAAATTTTAGTAATTTGATTGGATAATATTAGATTGATTTTAGTGCTTAGCCAATCAAAATTGAAGTATCTACTAAAATATGGATTTTATCTTAAAGGACAATATTGGTGCCAGTCATTATCACATATGTGATAGAGCTGGTTAAACACATTCCAAATATAATTTTAACACACAGATCATTGCTACGATAGCTGAGTAATACAGGTTTCCTGAATCGGAAGTGACGAACGCCAAAGGAAAACACGAGTCATCTCTCTATATAACTGACTGATGTGACGAGTGATAACAGATACACGGCCGAATTTCTGCTCACTAATAATTCCTTCGAAGACCAAAAGTTGTTATATGGGACTGGAAGAGGATACCTGACAATTCAATAAAGTAATTGAATGTCATTAGATAAGAGAACACGAGAAAAATAGAAATAGTCCGTACATTCCCTTGTTTATATTCATTCTATATCTTATAAAAACATGGTAATGCACGGACTTTTTCTGTTTTTCTTTTGTGTTCACTTATCTAGTGGCAGTCAATTCTTTTTATGAATTGTCAGATATCGTCTCACAATCTCACACAACAACTTTTAGTCCTCGAAGGAATTATTAGTGAGCAGAAATTCGTCCATATATCCGTTATCACTCGTCACATCAGTCAGTTATACAGAGAGATGACTCGTGTTTTTCCTTTGGCGTTCGTCACTTCCGATTCAGGAAACCTGTATTACTCAGCTATCATAGCAATTATCTTTGTGTTAAAATTATATTTTAAATGTGTTTAACCAGCTCTATCACATATGTGACAATGACTGGCACCAATATTGTCCTTTAAACATACATTATGCAAGAGCTAAATCTGATTATTGCAAGTCTTAATTTAGGCTTCAGATGTTATAGAAATTATAAATTAGATCTTTATTTAAACAACAAGCCCAAAATCAACTCTGATAAACATCCCAGCTAACATCATCCCAGTTGTATTGCAGCCCCATTGGATCACTGTAGTGTTTCCTATTTATCTGCTTCGGGAGTCAGGTAGTCACCTTACAGTACAAGAGTACACGCAGGCTAACAAGAAGTCGGATATAATTATGGCATGCCTCATTCCTTTCAAACTTTCGCTTCTTATCTATATAATAAAAGTCTTATTTTTAATTTGTAGTAAAAATAAATGTGATACGAATTGAACTGCAACAACGTCTCAAGCCATTGAAAACGTTACTTGATAATCAAGATTATGTAGGTGGAGTTAACGCCTGTCAATCAAACGGTCGGCCAAGGTGAAGATATATTTGACTACCATTTCTAGTCAAATATTACAACGATGATAACTTTGTTTAGAATAAAGTAATTTGACTGAAATTTTCAATATATTCTTCTTCCATCGTCTACTTTTGAACTGTTATAGCAAGAATGACCAACTCTTTATAAAAATCTCCCATAATGTATCTTTAAGTTAAAATTTCATGAAACAGGCCCCTGATATGTATGATTTGTTTGTCAGAGGTAATGATAGACAGAAGACCTTTTACATGTACATAATATAGTCAATGGCCAAGGAACAAACATAACAAAATTCACATAGATCTTACATGAATTGGAGGATCTGTAAGCATAGGCACAGGGGCCAATTTCAATTGGAGGGGCTGAGGATACATGTATTTGCCAAAAATTTGCTTTGTCACCCGAAATTTCAGAATGAATAAATCATTAACTAAAAAACGAATTTTCCATAAAAGCTTTGATGGTTGTTTATTTTTAATTAATTACACAACAATATAAATTTACAATATGTTAAGCAAAAAACAACTTAATGTTTCCATTCTCTAATGTTTGTGCCCGAAAAACAGAAATATGTTGCCTGAAAAATGGACAGTTCACCAATTCGGTGGAGGGGGGGGGAGCTGCACAGCCTCCCTGGTCTATGTCTTTAAGCATTTTTCGGTGAGAGTCGCATCCCAAAACAACAAGATGAGTGGTGTTTTGAGACCAAAAAGATAAGAAATTACTTAGTAGAAGTGATGATATCGGGGAAAAAAAGTCTAGGCTATGTAGGCCCTACTATAGTACAACTACTAGTCCTAATAATCAATAATGTCGGCCTACACATAGGCTCAGTGAGTTAGAAGATTACTTATACTCATGAACTGAATACTGAAAAAAAAAAAAATATGCATTAAACATAATTTACTGCGAATTGTTTACCTATTAAATTATGAAACTGTTCAATCAATCTAATTCGTGAATCACAATACGGAAATGGGTTGGCCTGACAAAAATTGCTCACTCAAGCACTCAACACAGCTGAGCACTTCCTCTTTCTTTCGATTGCGCCGCAGAAAATTGGATAATTGGAAATAAAACTAAAATATTGTTGATTTTTTTAGATCATGAAATAAAATAATCCAAACCACCCATCAAATGATATATTTCGATCAAGTGAATGTGAATTAAGACATTTTATATATTAATTAAATAATGGAGCAAGAAATAAAATTCAACACTTTGTTTATATTTGACGTGATGCGCCGCATATTTTTAATGATAGCTTTTGTATTACGCTATATGAGATCAATTATTATTGTTTTGTAATAAAATCGGCCTTTGTATCTTTTTACTTTATTTGTGATATCTTCAGCTATTATCGATATTCATTTACGTGACAATTTGAATTGTTTACAAAATATGACTGTGGTGCATCAGTTCACTATTCCCGTTTAGAAATAGAAGGTTGGATCTATTTGATAAGGCCAACTTCAAGTTTGGTCAAAAGTCACGAGATGTAAACATGGCTATCGTTAATCCCAACCCTAACCCTAATCCTGGACCTAGCCCTAATGCTTACCCTAACCTACAATCTCCGCCAACAATCACGTGCCCTAACTTTAATTTTATTTACATCTCAGCGACCTTGACGAAAATTGAGCTGGCCTTAACAAATAGATTTAGTCTGGTTAGAATTACACAACTTTGTTACTTTTACTTTGACGTCACATTGGAGCTGGTTCCTGCAACGTAAAATGATTGAAATTTGGTAGACCTACCTGTGATGAGATTCAGCGCGAATTTGTATTAAGACAAAGGTATAATGTTATAACTAATATACTACTTTTCTTTGTTCGTAAGTCTATATTATATTTATAACAATGTAATACTAAATAGGGGAGTAACTTATATGACGAGCTACATATGATTAAGGCTATATTAATTAATACAATGTACGCAGCCCAATTTATTTATAGCCATTATTATAGGTTATTATAGACGGTATCACCATCAATATTTAGAGATCTACATTTAGTCTTCTTTATAGGCTGTAGGCTTCAACTAACCGCACCGAGGGTCTCTAAAGAGGTAGCATGACGTTTCAGTCACCGAGACCTTTGGGACTCCACATAATTATAAAGTTAACGCTGGTTCGGTCATAGTCTGACGACTTTTCAGACTTACTTAACGACTGTTTGGACTTTATAATAACAAGGTTTCGGACTCAGTTTCGACAATAATAAATGATGAATAAATAAAACATTGTTGAAAATTTGTGTATATTTAGTAATACTTTGTTGTTTTGCTTTAATCATATATTTAACGAGCATGATTGACCAATCAAAGCCAATGTTTTTATAATTGTGAAAGCCTGAATGTCTTTTACGTGGAACTGAATAATTGCAATCATTTACGATGATCGACAACTCACATTTTTCTACATCTGCCAAAGGACTGTAACATTTCTTGGCACATACTACAATAACATTGGGATTATCGGTTAAAGCAAGAGCTAAATCTGCCTATTGCAGGTCTTTCTTTAGGTCTGAAATGTTATCTAAATTATTAATTAGGCATTAATTAATTTATCCAGACCATAATCAACTCTCGATGCCATCACTAGCCTGCGATATTTATCAGATTGGAATACATTTTGTGAAGGATGATCAAACGTAAAACTGGATAATCGAGACTTTGTTTCTTATCCTACCGACTTTAGTAATGATGATCGAGGCTAGCCTAAAATTCGAACGCCAATATCTTGGTTCAGAGTTGAGCAATTTGACTGAAGTTTCCATCATATTCTATTTATCTGCTTTTTAACTATTATAGCGAGAACTGTCAATTCTTTATCTAATCTCCCGTAATGCCCCATTAATCAGCTTTAATAAACCTGCTTTGATCGTTGCCATTTCTAATATTTTACGAAAAGACTTTTCTCTGAGTCCGAAACGTCAACTACCCAAGTCCGAAATGTCACCTGTTTAAGTCTGCAATGTCACCTGTCTGAGTCCGAAACATCATCAGTCTACAATGTCATGTAATCTCTAAAGACTAATAAATATTTGGTTTTAAAATCGGACAGGACAGTAACAGAAATTTGGACAATCATTGCACTTTTAAAAGATAAGGTCAAATTCAAACAGAAATCTACAAGAGTAATATTCTAGTCTATATTCTCAAGAATCTCACTAATTATCAATTTTCATAGTTTTTGAAAGAACTGAAAGTCACCTATTTAGTGGATTTGGCTAGATCAGTGGATATTCAGTCACCTGAACCTGGGCCCCCAAAAATGAAATCCATGTAGTCCATTACGCCTACATGTATACTAGGCCTATAATATTAATTTAACCACTAATTCTAACCTTTTAATATTATGTTTTCAGAATGGATGTTAGTGAACATGAACATTGTCGTAACTGTTTAAGATTATACTGTACATGGACACCAAATGGCTTTGATAGTTGTCAAATGGTGGACTGTAATAATGGATGTGGTGCACGCTATCATCAATGTAAACAGAATGAACATAATTTATTGTGTTTGGAAGAACGAGTAGCTTGCATTAATAAGGAGTATGGCTGTAGAACAACTATGGCAAGATCCAAACTTGGCACCCATCTTGAAGTCTGTCCCGCCAGTGTTTTATGCTGCCCTCTAGAATGGAACAGATGGCCGCTGCACTCTCAAGAGAAAGGTTTCAAAATGGCAATACCCAGCAACACATACCCAGTACAATGCGGCCAGTTAGATGTCGCACTTGCCCTTCGAGATCAAAGAATGTTAATAGAATCCTTTAAGGCTCCGTCTAGAACCCAGAATATATTAAGAAATAATTTAACTCGCAAATACCCGGCTGCACCAATTCATAGATGCTGTTCAATAGAATCAGATGATTTCCCATCTGAAGATACTTCATATGGTGTTTCTGATGATGATGACGCTCCATGGAAACTGGGACGGATGCCCCCAGGTCTACAACGAAGTATCTGTAACAAATTATATCAAGTCGCAAAACAGACCACTAATCCGTTAACTGTTACTTTAGATCTTGTGACCAATAATCCTAATGCAGCAGATGCAGATGTGAGAAAGCATGTTGACATTCATATATCAGAGAGCGATTCATCAGATCGAAGTCGATCAGCATCGGTAGAATTTCATCCCAGTGATTCCGGTGTCAAGGAGGATAACTCTATAATAAATAACATTGAACATCGTAACGTTGAACTCCATGACATTCTTGGTGTTGATTTAACTATTGAATGCATCAGTAAATATAAATCAAAACCTAGTTCGATGTACACGTTTTTATGTGCTCAATACTTCCGTCGAGATGAATTTTCCTCTCATACAAAAAATGTCCACAATGACATACAATCAGGTTTAAATGGCATGTTAGAACATAGATGCCCATTGGCTTATTTGGGATGCACATATACCTTTCGCAAGCTTCGACCTAAATCTGATAACGCTTACATTGTCCATAGTGCTTTGTTGGAAAGTTTTGGGTTACGTTACAAAGATCCTGGTAGTGTTGATCCCTATCTGTGCAATGCACGTAATCAAGATCAAAGGTCACAAACTGGTGCATGTAGTAGATCAAGGTCAAGATCCGGGGATAAAGGGGATGATTTGAAGAAATCAGTGAATTCTATGTCAACGTTCAGACATACACCAAGAATTAACACTGGTCTTAGTTGGAATTCAGCTGTGGAAATTCACTTTGATCCAGAGTTATGTCCTGAAGATCATGAATATTCAACGTTGTTAAACCTGCCATTTGAGATACTACAACATATAGCTCGTGGATTAGATAGTTTTAGTATATGTAATTTATCATTAACGTGTTGTTTATTACGAGATGTGTGCTGTAGTTTACTTGATGAACGAGGTATTGTTGTTCAACTTTGGGAGAAAAAAAGAAAGCAAAATGGAGAAGATGAAAAAGTGACATGGAAAGTGAAAAATAATGTAAGTTACTGTAATGATTTGTGTGTATACATGTACATGTAACATGTATTGTACATGCGCGTTAGAGTTAGTAAAGTATTGTGTTCTAGTTGCATTCTGTGTACGCATATTTCATAAAATATTCTAATACACTGCTTAAAGATGGGTTCCCAGAAAAGTATTTATCGGGTGGTTATTTCCAATAAAAGTATGGCAATTTTGGTATATATGGAAAATAGAGATATCCAATCTTACTAGAAAAATACTGGATTCCCCAAAAAACACTCATGGAGTGTATACATGACAAAAATGTAAGGGTTCCCCTAATCAACAGCCCGACGATTTAGAATTTCTGCACGCGTGACGTCAAAGGTCACACGCGAACATTGAGCGCTTGATGTACAAGTTGATAAACACTATGAAGAGTTAGACGTACAACACTTTCTGAGATAAAAATGACGGAAAAAGACGCGGGTAGTGGATAATCCGAGAATTCAATTAGGATTCAATATTTGTAATAAATAGTAAGCGATTAAAGACAACATCGTCTAATGTATGCAATGAATTCTCCTCTGACATCCAAGACGTGACGTAAACATGACCTGGTTTGATCGAATTTTAATAGCAGGGCATTCCTTCGCAATTACAATGTTTGAGAAGGATTTGAAGCATAATTATGACAAATTAATTAGTTTGAATATGTTTTTAGTCCATATATACCATTAAATCACCCAGTTTGTACACGGGAACCCATCTTTAACTACTTAAAGTCCCTGGGCAGAGAGGTTAAAAAATGAAATTATTTCCAAAATTGGTGTCAAATGTTATTGTTAGTTTTATATCTAATTTTAGTTTTATTTTATATCTAATCTTTATAAAACAATCAACTGGGAATTATTTTGAATACACGGGGAGTAAATGGAATTGATTATTGAGCACACATTTTTCAGAAATGACATCATCAAATTGTGGTACATGTACATGTATGATACACCTTACAAATTATTTCACTGTTATACATTGTCACATATTCTGCTTTACATGGCTAATATACATGTACATGTATGCAACAAAAGCTAACATCTTCCCTTCTTTCTGCTTTCTTTAGAATCTATATAAATAAAATCAAAGATGTCTGTGTGCTATCTACTTAAAGGACAATATTGGTGCCAGTCATTATCACATATGTGATAGAGCTGGTTAAACACATTCCAAATATAATTTTAACACAGAGATCATTGCTACGATAGCTGAGTACCGGTAATACAGGTTTCCTGAATCAGAAGTGACGAACGCCAAAGGAAAACACGAGTCATGCCTCTATATAAGTGACTGATGTGACGAGTGATAACAGATACACAGCCGGATTTCTGCTCACTAATAATTCCTTCGAAGACCAAAAGTTGTTATATGGGACTGTAAGAGGATACCTCACAATTCAATAAAGTAATTGAATGTCATTAGATAAGAGAACACGAGAAAAATAGAAATTCCCTTGTTTATATTCATTCTATACCTTATAAAAACATGGTAATGCATGGACTTTTTCTGTTTTTCTTTCGTGTTCTCTTTTATCTAGTGGCAGTCAATTCTTTTTATGAATTGTCAGATATCCTCTCACAGTCTCACACAACAACTTTTGGTCTTGGTCTTGGAAGGAATTATTAGTGAGCAGAAATTCACCCATGTATCTCTGGGGCCTATTTCACGAAATTTTAACTAAGATAAAATCCAAATTTTAGTAATTTGATTGGATAATATTAGATTGATGTTAGTGCTTAGCCAATCAAAATTGAAGTATCTACTAAAATTTGGATTTTATCTTTAGTTAAGATTTTGAGAAACAGGGCCCTGTTATCACTCGTCACTTCAGTCAGTTATATAGAGGGATGCCTCGTGTTTTCCTTTGGCGTTCCGTCACTTCCGATTCAGGAAACCTGTATTAATCAGCTATCGTAGCAATGATCTCTGTGTTACAATTATATTTGGAACGTGTTTAATTAGTTCTATCACATATGTGATAATGACTGACACCAATATTGTCCTTTAACAAGCATGACCCATGAATATTTTTGGGCCATCGAATTTGGGACCTGGGTGAATCACACTTCGTCGCGGCACTCCACCACTACATACGTGGTATCAAATTAACCGGCATGACTGTTTTAGGCCATCAAATTTGTGCCCTGAGTGAATTTGGCCCAAGGGCAAATTGGATCCCTGTTGAATTTGGGCCACAGACAAATATGGGTCCCTGGCGAATTTGGGCCCATTCTTTGTGAGTGTTTCAAGTGGATTCAATGTTTTACACATCATTTTTTAATAATTATTTGTTCAAGTAGTGGGTTAATTATTTGTAATTTTATTTAAAACTTCAGAAAAAATAAACTGGATCCTCTATCATACATGTATTTATGGGCATAAAATATATAGCCATTTTGTACACTTGTATTATTACAGAGCTGGAGTTTTTCTACTGCATTTACACCAATCGATTCCTGGGAATTCACAGATCATCCAACTGTTAGTGACCATCTGAAAACCTGTCAGTACAACAAAGATAAATTAAAATGGAATGAGAAATTCTCTATTCTTCCTCATAACTATGTACCAATGGATAAAAAACTGGAGCAGCTTTTATTCACCAGATTAAGAGAGTCAGTTTCAGTTCAACTTCAAGCCCTAACTAACCTTCAATATCAACAACAACTTTCCTAATGCATGTAACTTATTACTTTGTGATAGATTACTGCAGCAATAATATAGTCATTTAATTTATACCTATTTATTCTTCTTTAACCTTTACAAATATTAATAATTTTGGTCCTGTAGTCATGACAAAGATCTCCCAACAAATTGTCCACAGGCTGACCGATCATTAGTATATGGGCCATGAAAATATACATACATGTAGTGGAATTGGCTAGAATATTTTAAAACAATTTGTCAGCATGCCTTCCTTTTATTACATAATGACCACAAAGCTGATCAGGCCATACACAGTACACAGTTCTATGGAATTCAATTATTGTTTACTAGCAGAATGCCCGGCTTCGCTCGGGGGTCATAACTCCGAAACCGGAGGTGGTAGACTAACGCCACCTGGTCTATGTTACTCCCCGGTCCGAGCTACCCCTATACCCCAAATTTCAGACTCGGGGCAGACCTAGTGTGGGCCAACCCCGAACAGACAGACAAACAAACAGACAGACAGACAAACGACAGTCACAAATATTAGTATAGATTGCTGAGTGATGTTTCAACTAGGCATTGTATCAAGTAAATGATAAAAGTATTGTTTTTGCATGTATATACACGTAATGTCACATCATGATTTATGTTTATCATTGCTTGATAAAGACTAGAAAAGCTGAATCAAAACCTCATTCAGTAATAACAAGTAATTGTATTCCATAGCACTGTGTCATGTGTATTTCCAGTTCAGTTACTGGTACTAAATTTGATTAGATCATGTTTCTGATATTCTTTTTGATCTTCTTTGAGCAGTATATAGCAATTGACATAGTAATAAACACAAAAACATAATATGGAACACAGTTACTATTTTAATCAAAGCGACATTGTGTTGGGGGGGTGGGGGTTCTGTATATTAAAAAGAAAATGATGATGGATATAAAATACAGAGGGTTTATATGTGGAGAAATTTATGCGTAGCCATGCATAGAGTCTTATCCTTAAAATCCCCGTAATACACATTTATTTTTTAAAAACCATATTTAGCTTGCATTTCTTTATCGTTGCCAGTTCTCAAAAGTTTCTGGCTTCAAGCCTCAATTCATGTACCAAAAAAATGTTTCTACCACCACATTTAATGTTTACATTATGTTATCATCCGTGTCTGTCATTTTGTTGATTCAGCATTGCTGTAAACACTCTACAGGTCAGCTCATCAGAGTTTTTGAGATTGAAACACGAAAAAAAAAAAAAAAAAGACTGTTACACCAAAATTATGTCAACATTGTAAAAATCAGTGTTGTGCATTGAAATTATTGTTTCTTTGTGACACTGGAATAGACATCTACAGTGATGTTTTGTTTCTCTTAATAAAACTGCTAGTTGGAGTTTATTCATTTCCAGCATTGCAATGTTTTGGGTTTCTTAAAGATGCATTATGTAGGACCTAAATCTGCCTATTGCAGTGGTCTTTACTCTATTTTCAAATTTAAATGTTATATAATTAAAATTTAGACATTTATTCTCATGACAAGTCCATAATCAGCTCTCTAGGTCATCGGTTGGCTTAGATATTGAATTGATTAGAACACCTTTGTCATTTAATAATTTAATGATAAAATGGATAATCAAGACTTTGGTTACTGTCATACTTTCTTTTCAAAACTTCAAACACTTATAACAGGGCTGTCAATTGAAATTAGGTCATTATGTTCATAATTTGAATGAAATTTTCAATTTATTCATTTCTCAGTATCTAATAATAAACTATTATAGCAAAAACTACCAGCTCTTTATTAAAATCTTACATAATGCATCTTTAAATACTGCAAATTAATGTACATGTGTTACTTTTGACATATCAATTATTTTTTCATTGCAGCTGATTGGTGTGGCTTGCTGCTTGTTAGAATGATAGCTACACATGTAGTAGTATTGTTAGAATGAATCATCCCCCTACTACCAACAGTTAACCTGAATTGTGGATTGTTTGAAATTAATGAATGCTATAAGATAAGATCTCCATCAATACATACATGTATCTATTATTTATATCTGGTATACAATCATAGAGGACTAATATAGATCATGTACATGTAATATTTATTGTATTCATCATGAACATAGTGTCAAGATTTAACTTATAGACCGGAGGCTCAGCGCTGGGGGGGGGTCCCTCAAATGGGCACAACACCAGACCCAACTTTTCTAGAGTAAAATTTTGCGTAGGATACGATGCCGAGTGGTAATCAGTCCGCCGTTGGGGCGTTTTTGAGATATTCGGGGTCAAATGAGTTCATTTGCTCTGAAAGTGAATGCGCAGTCATGATCGAAAGTAATCACACTTTCAATAAAAATGTAAACTTGCTAAATTCACCTTTAGTCTTAGTGACCCTGAAGGTCAAAAGGTGAAATTTACTGTTTTTGTACTAGGAAGATTTAAAGCAATAAAATGTCAACGTAAAATATAAAAATTAAAGCGAAACCTGTTCTAATTAATAATAGGAACATTTCAAATTGATCTTTAGGTGGTCTTAGCACCGAACTTTTACTTTGGAACGTCGAAAATGATCTTGCATAACAGAATCGAAATCTCACCGATTTAATTTTACATCGATTGTTATACATAATGATACTAGTTATCTGAAAAAACAATTGAATAGTTTCAGTGTTTGACTGCGGCGTGCAGGCCGTGTGGATTTCCGAGAATCCCAGTCTTGGAAAACCAACGTTAATCTGTGACGGGAAAACACGCATCTGGCGACGAGATTAAAAGTTTGCAAACTTTTTATGAGTTTTTATGAATTTCGCCGGAACATGGACGCAGGTAAAACCGCCGATTGCATTGTACATAGTAGTTCACAGGATATATATGTCGTATTGGTAAATGTTAGCGGGGATAATTTTGACAGGCTTTGTGACGCGGCCTGCAGGCTGGAGTCCAGCCATGGAACTATTTTATTGTTTTTTTTCAGACAACTAGTATCATTATGTATAGCATTCGTTGTAAAACTAATTCGGAGAGATTTTGATTTAACAGTTTTTACGTATTTTTTGAACAGGCTCCGAAGCGTTTTGGTTCTGTTATGCAAGATCATTTTCGACGTTCCAAAGTAAAAGTTTGGTGCTAAGACGACCTAAAGATAAATTTTAAATGTTCCTATTATTAATTACAACAGGTTTCGCTTTTGTTTTTATATTTATTACTTTAAATCTCTCTAGTGCTGAAACGGAAAATGTGACCTTTTGACCTCTGGGGTCACAAAGATCAAAGGTTAATTTAGCAAGTTTACATTTTTATTGAAAGTGTGATTACTTTCGATCATTTTCAGCTTATTTTCATGATACAAATGAACCCATTTAACCTTTGCCCCCGAATATCTCGAAAACGCCCCAACGGCGGACTGATTACCACTCGGCATCGTATTCTACGCCAAATTTTACTCTAGAAAAGTTGGGTCTGGTTTTGTGCCCATTTGATGGACCCCCCCCCCCCCCCCCCCCCCCCCCCCCCCCCCCCCCGCGCTGAGCCTCCAGACTATTAAAGATACTTTCCCACAAAAGTATTTATCGGGTGGTTATTTCCAATAGAAGTATGGCAATTTTGGTATATATGGAATGTAGAGACACCCAATCTTACTAGAAAAAATACCAGATTCCCTGAAAAACATCCATGGAGCATGCACTGCACAAAATGAGAGAGTGTCACTAATTGGCAGCCTGATGATTAAGGGCTGTCTGCTCAAGTGCCGTCAAAGGTTGCACATGTAGATGGAAACAGTGAGAGACTGAAACCTACAACAGTTTCTGAGATAAAAGCCATGGAAAAAGACGTGGGCAGGGGATAATTTACTTGGGCTTCGATATTTATAATACATACATGTAAATGGACAGCAATGAAAGACAACATCTTCTTTTATATGCAATGATTCTCCTCTGGCTTCGCACCCGTTGCTAGGTACCACAACAGCCAAGTCACACACCTGACTGCTTTTAATAGATTTTTTATAGCTTGGGGTTTTTCCTTGCGAATACAATGTTTTGAGAGGGATCTGAAGCAAATTTTAGATAGATTAATTAGTTTGAATATGCGTTTAGTCCAAATATATCATCAAATCACCTGGTTTGTACGTGGGAAGGTATCTTTATCAATCTGATTGAAACACAGATCCTGTTTTGTTTTTTATAGTTTACAATTTCGATTTTCTTGTCTTTACTACACTAGGATCTGGTTGATATGACAGATCAGCCAATGAAACAGTATGTTACGACGAGTTCTTAGCGTACTGTGCACGGAACTGTGGGTATTCCACTAGAAACATCCACATTGATTGCTTAAAAAAACACTCATATTACTCCTGACACGATCTTCTACTACAACCAGTCAGATCTTCATGTAGTAGAGGCCATCGAAAGTATAAAAAAACAAAACGAAATATAAATCTGTATTTTAATCAGATTGTTATCTTTAATAATAATCAAAAATTATTTATTGGAAAGAGCTTCAAAAACAGTATGTGGTCTATCATAAAGGGACATTTCCAGGTTTAAAGATTTAGAAATTTTACACTATTGTGTTCAGGATTAATAATACATTTCCAGTAATATTTACAGTCTATGGACCTAACTATACATGTATATAGTACAATACACTGTGAACACTTTCAAACATTATGAAAAAAAAAATTATTTACAGGGTGACACAAAAAAAAACGTTCATCAATAAAAATCGAATAACTTCCAAAATTTTATTTAGATTAACACAAAAATTCAGCTACATTAGGTTAAGTCTATGTAGCAGACATCTCCAAAGTTTCAAGTCTGTACCACAAAAACTCTTTGTTTAACTGGTGCTCAAAAAATGTGCTCTCAATGAGCTCCCCGGTGCTGCAAGCACATTTGGATCCGGCGGGCAAAGTTCTCGATGACCGTCCCACATTCTTCCCTTGGGATCGCTTTTATTGCTGCTGTGATTGCTGCCTTCAGATCAGGGATAGTCTGGGGGCTGTTGCCATACACCCTGTCCTGGGGCGTTCAAGTCCGGTGAATGCGGCGACCACTCCGGGTCACACCTGCAGCTGATCAGTCGGTCAGGGAAACGCTGCTGTAGCCATGCCAATGATTCGTTTGAGGTGTGGGGGGTGGCACCATCCTGCTGGAACCACTGGAGGTCCCTGACGACCCGTCTTCGTTGACCAAGTTTAGGTGATGAATGCTTTTTTTGTGTCACCCGGTATTTTCAAATAAATGTTCAAAAGTTCAAATGTCTGGATAATAGAGCTTATGTTACCCATACAAAGAGAAATTTATTATCAAAAAAATGATTCAAACATATGAAAATGGATAATACCCACACAAGTCCTGTTTATTTGGACTTAATTTAATACATTTGAGTATCAAGTAAGATATGTTGATTATTAATGTGCTATGGCTACTAGTACTTCGGTTTATTTTGAATTGGTGCTAAACTCCTTTAAATTGGTTGTGACATGTAACATGTACATAACATGTAAGTACAAACTTAAACATAATATGTTTTGGGCATAAGTCCTTTTAAAAAAACCCCAAGAACTTTGCACTAAATACAGAGTACAAAAAGTAGTGACTGTTTCTTGATTTCTCTTTTACAGATACATGTAAAAGGTTTTGTGCCCAAAACAACATTATTTCAATCCTATGTTTGTTAAGTTGTCTTATTACAAGGATAAATCTGTTTTATTGAGTGAATGGAGGGATGCTTGTAACACCTGGTGCTCACATCTTTTCTGTTGGTCACCAAAATCTCTGCTAGTTCTGTTTCATGTCACTAAACCATGTTTGTGATGATCTAAAGTTGACTACTGTGATGATTTTTTTGTGTTATTTTTACATTTAGAATGGATCAGTTTTTCTTATATTGAATTTTAAGGCCACACCAATTTGATTTTAAACTTTGGGAATAACTTTAAAAGTTTTATTTCTTGAATTTGGCGAATTTTTTTTTTGCAAAGCATGGAAATACCCCACACAGCAGCTTATTTGAAAGGATAACTTTGATGTTGACCAAATTTGATATTTTAGCAAAGGTGTTGACTCTGATACTGACAGTCGCAGAGAGTTTAATATCAATAGGCTTTGTCCTCTCATGACCCCTATGCTTCCAACCCAATTTGAAAAGAATCTGTCAAAAACTGCAGTCTCTATCACGTTCGCAAGCCCCAATTGTGGATGGACAGGGTGACGAAATAATACTCCCACACTGAAATGTGGGCATTAAAGAATGTGCTTAGTTAGTTGCAATTTTCAAACACTCTCAGCTCCAAATATTTATATTACAAATGTATTGCAAAATACACATAGACATAATCATCAGATTCCTGTAGAGTTGAAAATCAAATTGCTTTGGTCTAAAAATAAAAAAAAAAAAGGTTTGCATGGTATGACATTACATGATATAGTAGCTTCAATTATAGCATGTAATTCTGTGTGAAGTGTGATATTTGTTATGCAAAATTGTCTTTTTTTTTTCCAGTTTCTCATGACATTTTATTTATTAATAAAGATCCATCTTTGATATGTTCTCTTATATACAGGGGGTATATATTATTCCATTTGTGCCAATAAAAAAAGGTACAGAGGGATAAAGAAAAGGTACATAACATTTTGTGGGTATTGTGGAATAATATATTTTCCCCTGAGATTATAGTACTATACAATTATCATTTCCTTGCCTTTATCATGAAAAATATTAACTAAGTAGTGTAATTCAAAATCCCAGAAAAAAGAAAATTTCAAATATTCATCCAAATGAGATACCATACTTGAAATATCAAGCTGTACTCTTCACATAGTTTGCATATTCTAACTTTCAGAGAAGTAAGTGGTAAAAATAAGTTAAAGCGGCATTATGGAATATTACATAAAGAGCTGACAGTTCTCACTATAATAGTTAAAAAAATAGATAATGTAACGGGAATATGCTGAAAATTTCAGTCAAATTACTTCACTCTGAACCGAGAAATACTCATTTTAATAACACTGTAGCCTCGATTGTCATTGTTAGGATAATAAACAAAGTCTTGATTATCCATTTTATGGTTAATCATCAACATCCTTCGAATGGCAGATCAGATTCAAATCTAATGAAATTTGGACCCCTCTGATGGCATCGAGATTTGGTTATGGTCTTGTCATGTTAATAAATCTGAAATCTAAACAAAATGACTAGACATCACCATCCCGCACCCTTGCACTTGTTTGGAAGGCATAAGGGAAAACAACTTCTTGGAATATCAATGGGACTAGTCAGAAGATCCATACTCTGATCACAGTAGCTCGGCAAGGCACAGTCGCTACTTGCCTACCTGAATCAGCTGCCATATGTTAAACAATAAGCTTATACATCAGAAAATAAAATACTAAAATAGTTTGATGTTTGTACAAAGTTTCAAAAAGACTTCTTGAAAGGATAAAAACTCCGGAAATAAAATCGGGACGGAAGGACGGTCATCAGAAAATAAAATAATAGCTTGATGAATGTAAAAGTGTTTTAAAGGTATCTTGAATAGTTTCTGAGGTATGCTCTAGAATAATAATTATATACCAAAAACAAATTCAAATGTGTAGAAAAATTAAAAAATCATTCAACAGAGAATTTTGTTTCCATGGAAACACAAAAATGATTTAATTCGAGAAATTCCAAATTAGCAAAAGGCACAACTACTTAATAGGTTGATGTTCGTACAAAGTTTCATGAATGGTTTATGAGATATGTTCCAGAAACAAAATTGAACACTAAAAACTAAGTCCAATTTGTTTCCATGGAAACACAAAAACTATTAAATCCCAGAAATTCTAAATTACCAAAAGGCACTACTACTATAATAGGTTATGTTTGTACAAAGTTTCATGAAGATATCTTGAATGGTTTATGAGATATGCTCCGGAAACAAAATGTACACCAAAAACTAAGTCAAATTTGTTTCCATGGAAACACAAAAAATATAAATCCCAGAATTCCTAAATAGCAAAAGGCACAACTACTATAATAGGTTGATGTGTGTACAAAGTTTCAGAAAGATATCTTGAACGGTTTATAATATGCTTCGGTTTATAATATGCTTCGGAAATGGGAAATGAAATCGTGAGGGACCACTTGGCACAGGATAAAAAATAGACTTGTGGATATTATGTTAAATTTTCGTTATTCTGGAATGTGTGAACTAGACTGCATAACTAATACTATATACTGCTTCTAACATTAAGTCTCATAACAAAATGTCAATATTTATTTGTACTTAGTTAATAAATTACACAGTCACCTCTCTGAAGGTGTGCAATATTACCGGTAGACAGATGGATATTTTTATTATTAAATACATTTAGTTATATTTTTTACCATGTGAACAAACAATAATTGTCATATCAATTATACATAATTTATAAATTAAAATGAGTGTTTTTTCTCCAATATTTTATTTTTGCTTTTTATTTTCCTTATCGTAATTAGAAATGTGTCGAGGAGTCTAGTCGAGAAATGGGTTTTAATGTCAAAACTGTTCTGCACCAACCAGGCTAATGAAGATGGTCATACGTAATGATCCAGTGTACTACGAGAAAAATTTTGCTTAGATAGTTGCGTTCCAATCGTCCCTATTGAATTCCAACTGTCATGGGTTGTTTTTCAGACTCACAACCTTTATACTGCATCACTAACAAGGGGAAAACATGCTGAAAAATACCAAGGTACTTTCTCGGCCAACACTGGGACTGAAACCTGGAATATCTCCTCAGTATGTTTCCAATTCTTGCAAGCACTTTATATGTCAAGAGTTTTGGATATTTTGTTTGGCTTTTCCTAAAGAAGAACCATATGCAGTATTGAATTAATTTCCTACATAATTTTGTTCCAAGTACTAACCAGAAAATGCCCCTTAAAGGTACCTTAACTCTAACATCCATCTTCTGGGCAAATTCCTTAATTAAACAAAATAAATCTGCAAATCACTACCCATATCTGTCAAATATAGTAGGAATTTGTTGAGATGTTACGAAAAAATGATTTTATTTTTAATTGTCCCTATGGGGTACTTCTGCTTTATTTCTATTGGGTTAGATAATTTGATTTAAACAACAATCACAGCCCAAACATATCTACCAAATATGGATTAAATCCATCATACAGATACCCAGTACTTGCACTTGTCATACATCTAAAAATCAGTGTTTTGGGAATGGACTATTTACTCCATTGATTGCTTCCCTTCCCAAAGCTACTAGTCAGAGGATTGGCAGATTGACATGATTGATACAGTTTCCAATTTTCCCAAAGTAATGTAGGTTTTGATGTATCAAAACATCAGACAAATGAATACAAAGACAATGAAAATGCCTATCTGCAGTTAACCATAGCACTGCCAGGCAACATATTTATTATATAGTTACCCCTTCAGCAGAATTTTGAAGGGGGACTTTCTCATTTTCAAGGGCAATCAATTTGATTGAATAAAACTGCTGCGTATGTCTGAATTTCAAAAGGGTTCCTCTTACAAGTTGCACAATATCAACAAATTTGAAAAAAAAACCTTAACAACAAATGTTTTGTTCAGAGGTGCAATAACCTGGACAAAAATTGTTGAATATCTATATGCCTTCCTTTTTGCAAATTTCTACCAATAATTAGAGCTTAGGTGAGCACAAGATACCCCTTGCACCCACCCCCTTCCTCTCATCTTAGATACTCTCCTAAATAAAAAATACTGATGTCTATTTAAAAGAAATATAAAACAACAAAATATCTAAATAAAAACAACAATATTTATTCCTAATAACAACCTAAAGGAATATTGTTAAAACACATTAGTGATAATTCAAGACCTTATTTTGGCATGAAGTTTGTCATCATTTAATGTTTTATACATATGCGATGAATGAATACTTGTCTATAAAAGATTTGATCTTTAAACTATAATGAAATCGTTGACAACAGCCATCTAAAATAACTACACCTCTGTCTTCAATAAATACATCAAATTTAATCAATTAAATATCTGTTCCTTTCTCCTATAGACAAGCTAGGAAATAAAATCCACTTTTCTCTTATTGTTTTCTGTTGCTCTGGTATCCCAAAATAACGTGCCTGAATTATGACAAAAATTTATGCTCTGTCAGACACAGTTCCCCCTGCCCTGTCAGTGTTTTTGTCACAGACTTGTCATATCTCTGTAGTTTTATTGACAGAAATATTGTAGTACAACTTCCATAGAGCCTGACATTTTGTCAGTTACATTTAAAATATGTATTTTCAGGTCTTGTAATACTACATTTAACAACTAACAGAGGAGAAAATAGAGTATCAACGCCTAATCACTCAGATCTTGAGAAATATTATAGATTTACATATTTTTAATAACACATTTCACTGATTATGCCTGCAGATTCAATATAGTCTAATTTGCATTACAATGAATATACAGTTATTGAAATTACAGGTATAACAGAACATGCTCAAATATTCTTCTTAGTAACTACAATATATATATATATATATATAAATAGAACAGTTTGACTTCTCATGATGTGTTAACCTACTGCCTTTGGTAACAATGCTTAGGAATGATTCATATTTTTTAAGTCTTCAATCAGCTTTCAAAGCACCACTTTCCAGTTAGCCATATTTAATTCTACACCTACTTAATTGCACATTCTCTGAGAAATGTATGAATGAATACCTAAAAACTAAAAAGTCAAGTTTTAAGACCATTGTCCACTTGTTGAATATAATAGGAGGAGAAAATTTGTTTTGATATTCTCTAAATTTAACCAAAATCAATGTTGCAGGATAATGATCATAGATCAGATTGAATATTTGCTTCTTTCTTACTGTTTTCTGTTGCTATGGTATCCCAAAATAATATGCCTGAATTATGACAAAAATTTGTTCAGCATGAAATAATCTGGACAAGATCTTAAAAATTTTCTAAGATGGCACTAAGATAAGATAAAAGCACTGCATATTATAACTTTCAGTATCACAAGTTGCTACTACATATGTATATTACAAATCAGTTTCTCTAAGACACTATCTTACTAAGTAATAACTTTAACAATAATTGCTTTCATTTAACTGCACATGAGAGGTAATAAAATACACACCTGGATTCAATAATAATTTAATAAACAAAATTTAACGCTCTTTGAACTTACGCAACAACACATGTCGCTCATAGTAACTTTGTAATAATAAAATCTGCTTGGTTAGTGATTACATGAAGGTCTTCATTATCTGTAATTTTTGGGAGTACTGGACACGCTTCTACTAGAGTGTTCTCGTCTGTCTGAACTAAGTGATCGAGATCTCCGAGATCTGCTGCCGTTCGGTGAATGTGTTCGTTGATTTGAATGAGTTGTCTTTCGTCTGAAAATTTAATAATGTAAGACATAAGTTTTCATCTCTATTCCTAATTCTTGATAAGTAAAATACTTCCAATACATTGATCAATATTTAAAAGATGCTTAAATTACTTGCATAGTATAATAATGTTTTTTTATGAATAAAAATCTATCTAACACTAGAAACATCTAAAAATGCTCAAAGTGAAACTATTAGTCTCCAAAATATTTATTTTGTCCCATGTTCAGTGAAGTCATAATAAAAGTCTTAAAGGAGAAGAGTCCTGTGGGTTCTTATGCATGGTATCTGCCCAGGTTGAGGTGAGAAGAAATGTTGGTCAGTTCATACACAGGACAAATCCTGGGATTGTTCCATACTTTAGGATTACCTGTCGGGTAAAAATCGGTAACTTGTACGACAAATTTGACCGTTCACAAATTCAAGATAATTCAACTAGTGTGACTCGGCCCTAAAAGGTATACCACTGATTGATAGTGTGACATAAAATAATACATGGAAGATTATTTACCGTTTAACAGCAGCTTCAGAGTCATCACTATCAGAACTATCATCACTACTAGAACTAGAGGAATTAGAACTACTACTATCAGAATTAAAACCAGTTGGTTCCGATACTTTCACTTTATCAGCTGCTGCAGCAATTTCAGGTCTCACTTTCTGTAAATAATTCAAATCAATCTATTTATACTATTAGGACAAGGTGGGGAATGTCTCTGCAGAAAGCACAATGATCTAGATGTTGCAGGATCAATCCCCAATCTGATTGGGTGTCTAATTCCTGTCTCCTTTATTTGATGGTACTTTTATTATTTACTACTTACAATATCTGTAAATGCTATATTGTTCCCTCAAAGTTAGGGAAGTGATAGTCCCCACAGCTGGTTTACTATTCATGATTACAAACTGATTGACAGCTGTCAGCTAGGGCTAGGATTCGGGTTAGGGTGTGGTATGCTTCTTTCTGCCTAACTAATACATTAGTATTCATATTCTGATGGCTAATGATAAACTCCTCCCCTTTTCCGTATAGCATCCATCTGCAATGTCCATGTTTTATATGTCTTTGTCTTTACCCGTATGGATTTCAATTCTGTTATGTGTGCTGCAGTTCGCCTTTGCTTACCAGTAGAATAAGGCAAGATGTTAGTTGAAGAAAGCTCGCCCGGGTTTCATGCTAAATTTTGCCGAGGGAAACCCCCATTTACTAAAACAGTATCCTCCAACAGTGGGCGGCACCTGTCAAGTACAGTGACTTCTTTTTATCTCTCCATTTTGCTTAAATCTAAACTATAGCTCCATTAGTTAGTGCAGGGTGACCACACTACACACAAACAAAACCAAAATGATAAACCTGCGGACAAGACACACAGACATTGAAAGCAAAAAACATCAAATCAAGTGAATGGATCCAAAGGCTGATGGACATATACATCATTTAGACATACATAATTAAGAGATATCTCAATAGACAAAAAAAACGTGATTTTACCTTTAAGATTTTGTACCATTTTTTGGATAATTTGGGTCTACCTCTAACTGTTTTATGCCAGACTATAGGAAAGTTTGTTACACTAGAGAAGTTTTGTGTAACAGCTATAGTATCATCTAAATTAATAACAACATGCCACCAACCACCAGGCACAAATACTGTTTCACCAGGTTTCTGTAAGATCTCCAACTAAAAACACAATGATAAACATGTTTACAAACCATTTCAAGTTGTGTTTGTTTCTGAAGATAAGATACGGAAGATATAATTTTAGATGAAAAAGATGTTCCTGATTCTTGCTTTTAAAAAGATTTTTCAGAATATTCTGTGGTAGAGCTAATTAAAAACATGGCTTGAATGTCATGGTGTAACATGAACAAGAAAGAAACAAGATTTGCTAGATTGGGTCTAGGTGTTCAATTGCATTCAAGAAAGGAATCTTAAAATTGACTGTTTTTATCTTTGTCATCACACAATAATTTAACCGTAAAATGGATAATCAAGACTTTGTTTATTATCGTAGCAATGGTAGTTGACAAGAACGACTATTTACGCTGTATCTTGTCAAAACTTTAAACACTCAATTTTCAATATATTAACTTTTCATTATCTATTTTGAACGGCACTTTATCTAAATCATACATAATGTATCTTTAAAGATGTTTTATGTAAGATTTAGATCTAGCAGTTCAAAATAGATAACGAAAAGTTCATTAATGTCTAATTAATAATTTAGAAAACATTTTAGGCCTAAAGAAAGACCTGCAATAGGCAGATTTAGCTCTTGCATAATGCATGTTTAAGTAAATGCTATTAAACTTACAGGTTTATATTCTTGTGGCCAGCTAGGTAATTGTGTTTTAGGATAAACTAGATTAAACCATGTTACAGCTTCATCTTTCTGTTTACCACCCTCCTCACTCTTTAATTTAATTAATTCACGTGGTGTTGTAGTTGGTAATAAACACCACCTGTAAACAAAAATATAAACAAAACATTCAGATTATCTGATCAATTCATGTGTTGTTGTAGTTGGTAATAAAAACCACCTGTGAACAACAATATAAACAAAACATTCAGATTATTTTATTGAAATATATTCAACCTGGGGCTTAGAAATGTCTATATTTTACCAAGTATGAATGCATGTGTCTAATGGGTGGCTTCTTTTGAAGTCAGACAAAGGATATTCTGGTTCTCAATCCTTGTAAAAAAAACCCAGATGTGATGGTGGGGAGATGTTTGTTTTAATTTTTCAAAGAATCACTAGACTTCTTACACATTTCACGACTCTACATGTGTCTAATCATTGTTTATACACCCCAGAATTATCTTACATGATCACTGGATGTACTAGTTGTTTTACCATCATTAAAATTTATCTTATATGCTACTGTACACTAAGCGAAATCCATTTTTTATTTATAACATGAATACTGGGTCCTTATTGTAACAAGAACAGGTCTTGAGGCAATTTTTAAGTGATGTGGCCCATACCATCTAATTAAATCACTGTTGATTAATTTGTTGAGTGGTATTTAATTTGTTACAGGGTAGTACTAGAAGCAGCTCTGTAGTTTATTTTGTGTAAGTAAAAGAGCCTTAATGAAAATAATGTGACATTATTTATAACATTAATTACCTTTTATAGCCACTAACTAAAGCATTCCATGCACTAGTACCTAGAGGATCAATATGTATTCCTGTACCTGATCTAGCTGGTCCCATTACAAACCATCTATAACATAAATATATCAAAGGTTTAAACATATTTCAATCAATAAATATTAGATGGGATTAAGACGGTAATAAAAAAACTCAACAACTCAAAAATAGCTAATCTTTATACACAAACATGTCTGTTCCAAAAATCTGTTACTGACAAAAATTTGACAGTTCATTCCTAAGGCTGCTAGTCATCATTTTCATTTTTCAGACAGAATATGATTTTTCATGGTTTAAGCCACAAATGTATTCAAATTGATTATTTAATGTTCATTTCAGATAATATCCTGGTTTTGATTCAATCAGATTAAAGATGAAATAAAATGGGGTATAACATTCTACTGTTCTTCTCCGAACTGGGCTAATGAAGACAGACACATGCCATACAGTGTGCACTACAGCCTACTCTTATATTGAATTCCAGTTGCCGAATTATTTTACGCGCAACTGTCAAGGGATCTTTTATATGCACGCCAATGGGTACACGAAACCTCAGGTTTTTTTTTGTCCCATTCAAATGACTAGACAGCTGTCCTTGTCAGGCCCTCCGTCCTGCATCACTGACAAGGTGGCACCATGCCGGAAAATCTGGATGAACTTTCTTGGACAACGCAGGGATCGAACACCTGACCTCCAGGCTAGCAAGCCAGCGCCTTACCCATTTAGCCACTGAGACCCCCCAAATCAGATTAAAAAGGGACTGTGAAAAGATTTTACCCTATGCTTATTGGTGGGGCCGACTTATACTGTCTGCAGAGGATTCCCAACGGAACTGAATATCTATATATAATATATATATTCCTTTTAAACTCTAAAAAATTTGAGGCCTCCCTACCGGTAAGGTGGACGTTTTTCTTCTCCAGCATATCGAAACAAATCATCTTGAAAATATGGTGGCATTTCATAATCTTCTAATAGTTTCTTCTTTTTGGCATGCTGACAAAATTTTAGATAAAACACAGAGTTATCATTAGAGAAGTCAAAAAGAAGTTATTTCCCTTTAAATACGTTTTACGTCTTATTGTTTGTTATATAAAATAAAGGAATTCTTAAAATTCTTAAAGTTTTAACATTCTACTATTCTGCTACAACTGGGCTAATCATGCCAGGCATACGCCATACAGTGTGCTATGAGGGAAATTTTGCTCAGACAGGGGCACTACTTTTAAATCGAATTCAAACTGCCAAGTGTTCTTTTACGAGCAGGCCAATGTGTACACAGAGAGATTTTGCTTAGAGAGCTGCACTGTGGCCTACACTTAAATTCAAACTGCCAAGTTTTTTTTTCACGTTCACGCCAATGTGTACACAGGACCTCAGTTTTTGTCCCATCCGAACAACTATACACTGTCCCTTGCCAGGCCCTTTGACCTGCACCACTGACAAGGAGGAACCACACTGAGAAATCCCGATGAACTTTCCCAGCCAACACTAGGATCGAACACAGGACCTCCAGGTTTAGAGAGCCATCGTCGTACTCTAACCGTGGTTCCCTATCACAAAACAAGGCTGTGTCACTACAAGCACATTAAAGTGCTGAGAACTTGGGTTTTTTCTTTTTACTTTTACTTTATCTTGTACCGGAAATACAGACTACTTACCTCACCATAACTACTGTCGAATATGTACAATGGACTGTCATCATTATTATTTTTCATATATTCTACAAAATACTTCATCTTAATCTTTACAGAATACCCTTCATCATCTTCTCCACACTTAAATCTTTGATTTCTATATTTCTTGGCAAGTCTCTGAAATAAATTAAATAACAAACATGTACCTTGCAAAGCAATTTATTCTGATTAAAGATTCATTGAATCAAGTACTAGTATGTATTTAGATTTTGCCTACTCATTAATTATCTTCTTCTTCTAATAGAAAGTACAGGAGGACTGCACTACATGCAAAACAAAATCTACAAGATAAACCTGCGGACAAGACAGAATATAGACATTGCAAAAAATAAACAAATATCAAATTAAGTGAATGGATCCGAGGGCCAGCCGTAAGCGTCTACTGCGCTGTACAGTCCAAAACTAGATTGGCTCAATATTGCATGGATTATTAAAGCAATTGGTCACTGACACTATCTAGTTTTGTAAATTAGAGCGGATTAAGAGTTAACAAGGCTGTGAGCGACCTAGCAGTTGAATAAACCATAGTAATGTGTATGACCTTGACATCACTTGATAAGAGGATACAACTCTGAATAATCAAAACACGGAACTTGTACTTGTAGGCCCATATTGGTTGACTTATTGAACTGACTGAGCCTGTGTGAAAAGGAAATCATTGTGCCATGTACTCTTACATTTTCATCAAATGATAATCATGATCAATGTTAGTATGTATTCTTACATCTAAAGTCCATTTTTTCTTTGCCATCCAGTTATTTTGATCATTAACTAATACAGCTGGGGTGTATGTCTTCTCATATTTTTCAATAAATTCTTCATATGATATATTTGTAGTATCTACTCTGTCAACAGTATCTTTTTTTCTCACTTTTTCTTTGTCTAAATCAAAGCTTTCACAGTAGTTGTATTTTGACCATCCATTTTTTTCTGAGCGCAGCTCTGAAAGAAAACCAAAATAAAAAGTGATAAACAGAGACATACAGCTAAAACAAAATTGACATGACAATGGAAAAGATCTTTTTCAGACTTTAAACCACCACATGATCGCAAATTTGGCTCCACCACTACATGTAATATGAATAAGAGTAAGAATGGTTGCTATAGTAGTATGGGAGGAGGGGGGCTGTCCACTTCATATTAGAATACCTCAGGTACAGCTCCGAGAATGTCTCTAAAAATGTTGAGATAAATCTGATGTGTTGGTTTTTACACATAGCTGCGATTGGTTGAATTCAGTAGCTCATTAGCGCCTGTGTCCAGTAGGAATTTCTTAACTGTAAAGTTGTGTTTCAGGAAATTTAATAAAATAACAATGATTATGAATTGTTGTTTTGAATAAAATATGTGATTCACGGTAGTTACTGAAAGAACTTAGCTTAAGATTTGACACTGGTTGGAAACGGTACCTACCTTATATCATATATATAATAATAATCCCTCCCCCACCTCCCCTCCCCCCCCCCATCTTGATTTATTTCCTTGAATTCCTATCATTAAATTCATGATTGTTTTATTTGTCTGACATTCACGTGTATCTATTTTAATACAAACCTGTCATAACGATTTGACAGAAGGAAAAACCCAACATCTAAAAATTTTAATGAGTAAATGACTGATGTCCCTTTAAAAAATGAGACGGCAGTGTGAGTGAGCAGCTAACAGTTTTAACAAACAAGTGAAAGATTCAAATTACGAACAAAAATAACGAAAGACACACCAGGTCGAGCTTTATCTTTGACATCTCTGACTCTTTTCCTTGTTCTGTGATCCATAGACAGAAATTCTCAAACAAACCCCTAAAAGTTAGAGAGATTCTCTTGCAGATTTATTTTGTTGAAGAAAAAAACAAAATTTCTAGAATCTGTTTTCTTGCAATTTTTCGTTATACTGCGCATGTGTGTTGAGCACGCGGTTATTTCGTCCAGCTAAGCTTTACTCTGAGATGATTCGCTTCCCAAAGAGGCATCGTTAGTGGATATTTCCAATCCATTGTTACCTTAATATGGTAATATTGAGCGTAGAGCATACAAAATCAAAAATTTATGTTTTGCAAGTCAATGCTGTTATTTTTGTTTTGACCATTTCATTTGTTTTCTGTGATCTTTGAAAGATTGGGCATGCGCGAACGGAACTACTACTTTTACTTTAGGATTATCAAGAACCCATGTGGAATTAAAGTTTTGACTCTTGAGTTCATATAATTGTTTTAACCCTTTAATTAAAGTTTTGTCGATGAATCGCCAAACAGAAGGTCTCGTGTTATTGGTTGGGGAAGGCGATTTCTCATTATCGCTGTCTTTATCACAACATGGGAAATTTGGAAGTGAACAAATGATTTCTACATCTAAAGAAAGTCGAGATTCAATATGCAAACACCAAGCTGCACAAAGTAACATCCAGTTCCTACAAGACAAAGGTAATTTTAGGTTGTTTTCATCAATATAATGTTCTGGAGATTTTTTCACAAGAAAATCTGATACGTTTGATGACACCAGATATGCCTATAGTACCGGTATATTACTTATAAGTTACCGGTACATGTATAAGTTGTATCAAGGCCTACCAGTGGCGAGTAGTGCACAATATATTGTAGGCCTATTAATTACCATAATTTAAAAAATTATATACCCAAAGACAGGTCCTTGTGGTACCTAATTTATTTATCATCTTATCACTTTTTTTTTTATCGTTTTGCAGGAGTTAAAATCTATTTTGAAGTTGATGCAAGACAATTACATTCAGATCAGTGTATGCTAAGGAATAAACAGTTTTCAAGAATTGTTTTTAATTTCCCACATTCTGGTGGAAAATCAAATCACAAAAAGAACAGAACTCTGCTAAATGACTTTTTCCTCAGGTAAAAATTTGTATTTTTAATTAGGAAATGTATGTACTCAAGTCATTCTAAGTAACCTAAGCTAGCACCACCCTTATACTTGTTGAGCCAACTGTTTGTTTACTCCCATCGTCAGATTTACCCACTTGTGAGCCCTATAGGGCAAAACTCATCAATGGGCCCCCAAATTTCTAGAAATGTTGACATAGCCCACCAGCTGAAGACTAGTAGTGGGTCTATATTTAATGTACAGGCACCCTACATTCCAGACACTGTACTTATTGTACAGGAGCCTTTATGGTTTTAAATATATTGACCTAGGCCAATGACCTATTATGGCTATTAATAATTCCAAACAGAAAACAAACAGAAGAGATGTAAACTTTGAAAGAAATAGTTCACTCCCTGAGAGATGAGAGAATCAGATAAATATATAGAAAATAATTAATGGTTTGATTTCTTTCCAGTGCATCTAAGGTTCTTGATGATAGAGGTCAAATTATGGTAACCTTATGTAAAGGTCAAGGTGGGACACCTGCTGATAAACCAATGAGAGCCTGGCATGACAGTTGGCAAGTTGTTTCTATGGCAGCCAACTCTAGTTTAATTTTGAGAGAAATCATTCCTTTTTATGCCTTGGAATATTCAGTTTACAACAGTGTTGGATACAGGTTTGTTTAAATATGAAAGAATAAAAAAATTGTTATGCTTGTAAAGGTCAGACTAGTGGTTAGAAGCATCTTGATTTTTTTCTTATAATAATTAAATTTGGTGATTGGATTTCAGTGTACAGAGCAATTTAGTGACCATCAGGTTCAATTTTATATTAATTTTTGGGAATTCAGATTTCCAGCACCAAACAGGTACCGGAGTCTAGTCCAACTGAAAGTTTTTCTGCAAGTAGGTTAAATGGTGCAGTTTGGTGCACATTAGAATGATATAAGAATAAAATTGTCTCCTTATTTTCATGAACCTCTACCTTTTGAAAATGATCCACCAAACAATGGAATACACAACAATTTATTATTTTTCAAGCTGTTAATGAAGCCCATGGTTTTGACAGTGTATACTAAATCTGTTTGTCATTAATTCAGAAGGAAAAAAAACTTTTCTGTTATTAATTTGTTTCTGCTTAAATTTGTGACATTTCATGCCAAGGTTCATCTATTATTTCTTGACTTATATTAGTTATACTGCTATGTTTTAATATCTGTTGTATTTTATAGAAGTCAAGATAAAGGTTTTAATACAGATGGTGCTTTAATACATGTATTTGAACTATCTGATAGTGTTACCGTACCATCAGTATTTAATACATCACTTGTATATAACGATCAACATTACTCTTGCTCTCAATACCTACATGATAAACTTAACAGGTAAATAATATAATTCTATGTGAAACAAAACGATATAAGTACTTGTCTCACCTTTTTATCATCTTAATCCTGTGACATTACCAAAAGATATTAATAAATGAAATTAATGTGTACATAATTGTTTGCTCTCTCTTGAATGGTTGTGGACATTAAGCTTAATTAGGTCATCCTTTTTACCCTCAAAACTCATTTTCCTTTGAAAGTATGAAATTTGTAATAAACAGGAATAATTAAATCCTAATCTCAAATTGCCTAATACATACATATATTTCTAGGCGTAATTCTTATCTGGTTTTATTTTCAGAAACATTGTGGAAGACTGTGGTCATCCTCTATCACATATAAAGACAAAATTATTAGATCATCTTGCTCAAGATTTACATATCAGTTTCTCATCTTATTCTCTGCCTTGTTTTATTCCACACACATATACTGATGGCTATGATTATAAATATTTTATATTAAAACAAATTCCAAGCAAAATTCCTGCAGACACTAATAGCTCTAGTACTGTTGCTAATGGAGATGCCAATCATTCACATTCAACACGTATTCGAATAAGAACATCACTCTTTGAGCAGACAACAGCTATGTTAGAAGGATTGGATAAATGTATTGTTACGTCTGGTCTTGTGACAAAACCATGTGTTATCTCCCCTAATAAGCTTCCTGTCCATCATGAACTTTTGATAGTTTGTCCATTTAATTCTTTACCATCTTTAGACTTTGACTCATTCTCTCAAAAAGTGTGTCATTCTCTTGGAACTCTATTTCACAATCCAGAAGATCTTCAGATTACCAAATCTGCAGAGATTTGTGTTACAGATGCTGAGATGGATATAGAAGACAAAAGAGATATCACTTTCAGGCAGACAGAAAGGGCCGAAATATTACAAGTAGCATCAGTGGTATTGTTAAATAATTGTTTTATTGTGATATTTAATTTGGATAAACTGACGTGTCTTGTTCATGGAATCGATCAACAACGATTACTCTGGTCCAAAGATTACAGATTCTATGAACAATTTAACGACAAATTAAAACCACTGACAAAATTTCAATCTTTTTACATTTATCCCATGACCTTTCACCATGACATCAGCTTTTGGGAAAAGGATGGAGAGGAAATTGAGGAAATGAAAATGTATGAAATAATATGTGATGTTGCAGGAGATGTTGTCAATAAGGTAGAATTATTAGACAGGTACAAAGACAATAATACTCAACAACAAGGCCGATGTTATCGCTTTACTTACGTTTCATATGATAAAGCTTTATCTTATATTACCTCATGGAAACTCCAAAGTGTTTTAAGGCTGGAAATCAATAAAAGAATGGGAATCATACTCAGATGATTTCAAGCATTGTAAGCTTCTCTAATACAAAGGGGTGGTATCAGGTGTTCTAGAAAGTAAGTATATTCTTCCTTGTGGGGGCCAAACTGATGTGATACTTTGGACTTTGATTTCAGAAGTCAAAGTGACACGGTAGAACTTAACCTTGAGACAATGGCTTATGTTTTTTGTTGAATTATGTATATATGTGTTTACTCCCATCTACTTTTTGTTTAAATATCCAAAATAAATGAAAATTATTTTTTATTTTTTTTTAAAGTTAATTTGATCACCAGTGTGTTTTGGTGCTTTATTCTGCTGTTATTAAATGCGTACAAATCAAATTCTATTATTTGTAACTGTCTATGTATAAAAGAGTACCCGTCTTTACAGGCTGGTTATGGCAATACGTACGGTGAATAGTTACATGTTTTTAGTTTGCTTCTTCAAGTTTGTGTATCTCAAAAATTTGGTGGTCAACCTCATACAACTTTTGGTGCAAAGACATGGCCATTTGTTTTTCTGTCTGTATTGAAAAGCATTCAGCCAAACGAAAATTTGGTCAAAAGTTGGAGCCGGACAAAGAGGCCAGAATTGACATTGAAGTCAATGGGGAAATTAATGGTGGTCTGCATCCTTTTATCGAAAGAGTTATCTCCCTTGACACATTATTTAGATCTTTTATGGGTTTATTAATAATAATAATAATCGATTTGATCAAAATTAATGTCAATGATTCTCATTCATCTGATAAATTATTTCTTTTCTTTCTAAAATAGTTATCAATAAATACGATAGCTAAATGTTTCATCGCAATGGGGGCCAGTGTTATTTAGACTTATAGTTATCTCCCTTGACACACTATCTTTACACAGATCACCATTTTTATTTTTTCCCCCCTTTTTCCCTTTTCCGCCCTTTGTTCGATCTTTTGGTGTGAATCGAAGAAAGGGGTTTGGATATACATTTTCTGCCAGGTTTTGGTGAATACGAGAGTTAAGAGGTTGGTTAGGTTGAAATGCAGGGCGGACAGTTGCATGTTATTTTTATGCCACTTCCAGCTTGTGTATGTCAAGTTTTCCATGGCGAATCTCATACCTGCTTTTGTGCAAGAGGTTGCCACATGTTGCTCCATCTGTGGTAGAAAGCGTTTTATCCAACGATAATTTGGAGTCGGCCTTAGAGATGAGAATTAACATTAAGTCATATGTAAGAGTTTGAGGCGAAATTGGATAGTTACCAGTTTACTAGTATGCTACTTCCAGTTTGTGTATCTCAAGATTTCCATAGCTAACTTCATAATTGCTTAGTGTTTTTGGTGCGAGGTACTGCGAGGAAAGATAGCATATTTAGGGAGGCATCATGCTAAAAAGTAGTTCAGCTCTGAACTTAGGTCCCATTACACTCGCCCTGTACGTTCAGGAATCGCCCTATTGAATCCTTGTCGAAAAAATATTGGCCCCCAGTCAATTTTACTGGGGATTTTTTTACTGCTGTGAACGCCTGAACAATGTAAAGGAACATTTTAGTAAGAAAATAAGACCTTGCTTACCTAGCTAGGGTCAGTATGTGCAACACAACACGCTGTTAAAAATATTACATTATTATATCCGTTGCAACCCATTTGTGTCCATTTTAGTTGCCAAAGAATAGAGATTTAGCTCCTTTTACTAAACTGACGATGATTGATATGAAAACAAGACAGAAGTGTTGTATTGACAACAACACTAACAGGAAGGTATCCCACCCCCCTGCACCAGTGAAAGACTTTTTACGTGGAAATAATGAAGACAAAACTTCTTTAAGTATACGTGAGGTAGACAAATTTTATTGAATAGAATTACTTTTCATAGTAATTCCGGACTATAGTTGAAATAAATCTGTTGGATACATTTACTAAAGAAACTATCTGGAAACTATTTTCAGGCAGTGCAGAATCCATTAATAATTATCATGTTCGTAAAATCATTACACAAAAGTAAATTATAAATAAAATGCTATGATACACTATTTTAAGTCACTCGGTCACTTCTAGGTTGAAAAATGAGTTATAATCAATTTTGTTTTGCTTATTTTATGATTTTCTACAATAAATAGATATTATATAATTGAGTTATGTAATTGGTGATACATAGTTCGCTACATCAGCAATCATGTTGTTTATTTTACCGCGTATTAATGTCGGGGGGCAGGATAAATACCTTAGAATAATTATAGACCCAGATAACTGTCGTACACGCCTACTGCATCTTCGGTCTGGTATATCCTTATTCCGTATATGACCCATGTCCTTGGTGGGGGAGAGGGTATTATTTTTGCCTGAAAAATACGGCGGCAGCGCCCGATGACCCTACATAACTTTACCACAAAATAACCGTAGTAAAGTCTTTTTGCGAGATGGAATAATCTTCACATTTGTCCTTTTAAATACGCTAAAATTTGTTTTGCCGACTCTGGGGGTGAGGGGCAGCCCCCCCCCCCCACTGTCTCGTACGCCTGTGCCCATACCCAATGATTGCGAAAGGGCGACAGTAATTAAGCGGCTATGACACCTGACCAAACTGCCTAGGTTTCGAAATAAAATCAGAAATGGTGCATCTGCACCAACCGGGCTAATGATGATGGGTGTAACACCCAAATAACCCAGAAATATTCCCATAAGTTCTTGACCACAATTATTTCACCACAAAACGCAGCCCTGTACACCAATACACACCATTTGATAAAGGCATAAAGTCCACGTGATTTGTATGGTTACTTTAAACAAAAAATATGGCTAATGTTAATGTAGCACAACATAACAATAAAACCAAACGGAATTAACATCTGGTTTTAATCAGATTGAAAAATATTATTTACCAGACCTTAAATCCAATTCCTTTCCTCAAATCGCGAGTCAAGTTAGAGATGTAATTGGGTAAATATTATCCAACCACCCTACCTCGATCTGGACATTGGACCTCTGATACATGATAATGTACAGTACATTCTTATACAAAACTGACTTACAATCTTTTAACAAGCTTCTTTTTTTTCTTTTTTTTAAATACATATTTAATGACGTGTCCAAAATATCTGACTCTATCCTTAGTCTTTTTATAATGAGTAACCAATTTTGTCCGCCCCTATACATCATCATACTATGAAATGGGTGTCAAAAGAACTGTGGTTTTAGACGTTTTGTCAAGGTCAACGTCAAAAGGCCAAGAGACGGTTGTACCACCACAACAACCCTAACCATAACCCGTGGATTAGTGAACATTACCCACCTGACGACCGGTGGGGGTTGGGGTGCGTTCTTTGACAAAGAGATCAAACGTTCTTAGGTTTGGGGAATTTTCACTTTGATTCCTTCACTGAAACACCTTACTTATATTAGACATCGACCGGTGGCTTTATTATCTACCTTCTCAAGCGTAACACATGTCTAGGAAAATGGGTACATGACTTGGAATAAATATGCTGTACAAAGCGGTCAAAGATGCATGTATAATACTAAGGTATGTCCAAGTATAATGAAATGCATGTCAGGAACGAACTCTATGTGGATGTTCTTAAAAAAAACCTGAACATTTTGTTTTTGACTTTCACGATACCATTGGCCACAAAACAAGCTAAGAAAAAGAGACAGACACCTCGGACTATAGCTAATGACATGCTTTATACATTATATAAATATTGTCTGATGTTAGTGTACAATAAAATATATTATGATAATATAAAACACGTGTCTGTGTTTGTGGCGATGCTTGATGAACATCAAAGAGTAAAAAGGTAATTTAAATCAGAGGTAGGCATATTATTTTAAAACTAGATTAATTCACAAAGAAACAAAATGTGTTTGATATACATGTATATTACAGTGTAAGTATATTGATCTGCCTTATTACATTCGATATATTTACATAAAAACATTTTAAAAAAAAGAATTTATTTTTATTTTTATAAACAAAACATGCCACTGGAGTATAAATCCCAACTGCGATACCATGTACTCGCCATCTTATGTTTTCCATCAGTTAACTGGCCTAGTTCTCAACAATCAACATGTATTAACAACCTGGAAATAAAGCAATTGAAAAGATATAGTATATATCATACATCATTTAAACATACATTATGCAAGAGCTAAATCTGCCTATTGTAGATCTTTCTTTATGCTTAGAATGTTATCTAAATTATTAATTAGACATTAATTAACTTATCTAGACTATAATCAACTCTCGATGTCATCGCTAGCCTGTGATATTTAACGGATTGGAATACATGTTGTGAAGGATGATTAAACATAAAATTGGATAATCGAGACTTTGTTTTGTTTTTTATCGTACCGACTTTAGTTATGATGATCGAGGTTAGCCTAAAATTCAAAAGCTAATATCTCGGTTCAGATTGGAGCAAATTGGCTGAAATTTTAAGCATATTCTAATTACGTTATCTTTTTTTTAACTATTATAGCGAAAACTGTCAACTCTTTATCTAATCCCCCATAAAGCCCCTTTAAACTGTAAGTCTTATCAAGTGTGTCCTAAAGCTTATGACAGGACAATATCTGGTGTTGGGGTTTGATTGGGTACTCGGTTTCATTAGCTTAGTCAGGAATATTGGCAAATATGGGACTGGGGCTTGAATGGCAAGAACATTTTGAAATTTTAGCTTTCAACGTAAGGGACTTCGACATTACTTTGCGACCGGGGGCTGCCAAAACTTTTTTTCTCTTTATTGTGTGCATTTTGGAATAGGGGGAAAGAGGGTAACGCTACTGACCAGGTTGGATCGGTACCTTATAGTTTTTTTTGTTGCTACAAAATTTCCCACACTGTATGCCATATGCCTGTGTTATGATTACCGCAGAAATATAAGACGATAAACCCCATTTCATTTCATTTAACTTTTGAATCATTTATCGTCGACATGTTGAAAAAAGAAATTAATCTCAAGGCCAACAAAATATTCCCTTTCAATTCATTGGGAAAATCTTTTGGTGCCTTTTAATACAAACGCTTAAGACCCCGGGGTTTTCAATTTCAGATTTTAAATGTGTTGACGATCTACGAGATTGTTTGCATTTGAACTAGAGTAAAGCAATAAGTAATTCCTTTTAGTGTATTTTAAAGCTGCCAGATAAAGCAAGGAAGTGCAAATTCCCCAAACCTTTGTTTAACAAAGACAAAAAATGGCGACATTTGATCTTGTCTCAAAAGAGAATACGACATTAATTTGGTTTAATGTGTAACATGTTGGGAAATACAGTGTGTACTTGTTACTTTACATGTAATAATCACAGCGGTGTAGAACATGTATTTACAATCACAGTAAAAGATAAAAAAAATAAAATAAAATAAACATTCCCTCATATTAAAGAAATGAAATTGGGTTTAATGTATTAGTTTTCTGCACGAATCGGGATAATGAATACGGACATACGCCTTGCAATTTGCTATGAGGAAAATTTTGCCAATGGTTCTTTTACGTGCTGCCAAAGTGTATATATATAGGACGTCGGTTTATCGTCCCATCCGAACGTCTAGACATTGTTCATTGTCGGGTCACTGTCCTGCAACACTGACAAGAGGACACCACGCACAGAAAAATCAACGAGACAGTTTCTCGGCAAACATAGTGATCCAACTCTTTACTCACTGAGCCACTGTACCCACCACACCCCTATTGGTTAAAGACGTAACGCAGCAGAAGGCCAATAAACATTTAAATTTTTTAGATAGTAATTTAGACGATAAAAATAGAAATCGCAAGTTAGATATCATTTTGGCCCCGATGTTCGTGGAGTTACCGTTCAGACATCGACAGGCGATTGCAAAGAAACAAAGATGGTGGCATGAAATCAATGTGAATTTTAGATGAACAAAAGTTCCTTTAGGATTGATCGATTTTAATTTTTGTATAACTCTACTAAAAGGTCACTGTTGTTTTCGAAAATATATGTATCTATTCTGTCTAGACTGGCAAGATAAAAAAAATCTTTTGGTATTCATCGATTTGTGTCCACTTAATTTCCGATTCTGGTGAAATTTGTCTGGGAGGATGCTATTGATCTCCGCCAATATCCAATTACTGCAAGTACGACGAAACTTTCAGTTTAAACGTATTGTACTCTTTAAAAAATAAATGCGACAATTACAGCAAGAAAACCAGGGCTGTTCGTGAGCGATGTTTCGTGGCATAAATTTGCCAAGAACCCGTGAAAAATCATGTGACCATTACGCACTCTGTGTTTTCCGTAATGATCAGAATATAAAAGAGTTGAAATGAAATGGGGTTTAACGTTTTACTTTACTGCGCCGATTGGGCTAATGATGACGGGATATTATAAAAGAAGGTGAATTCCGCGAGGTATGCTTGAATGGAATTGGGTTTGACGTCCTACTTTTCTGTACCAAATGGACTGATGAATTCGTGCAACAATTGAATTCCAATTGTCAAGGGTTCTTTACACGGAACCTCGATTTTCGTTCCATCTTAAGAACTATAGAAGGTGTTCCTTGCCCGGTCATCCATCCTATATGAATGACAAAGCGATACCACGCTGGAAAATCACTGGAAAGTTTCTCTGCCAACACCAGGATCCCGAGACGTAATACTTGTTACTCTAAATGAAACGAAATGACGTTTTAAAGCACATCAACCTAATCTGATTAAAACACAGATCCTATTTCGTTTCGTGTTTTATAGTTAAAAATTTCGTTTTGCTTGTCTTTACTCCACTAGGATCTGGAAGAATTGTTATATAACCCGAGTTCTGGGTGATGTGAGGGATTAGCCAATGAAACGGTCTGTTACGGATTTTTGCCGTGAGGTGCACGGAACTGTTGGTAACCCACTAGAAACATCAACGCTGATTGGTTAATCAAATGTCTGACATCATAGGGTCAAGGGTCGCTCGTATGACCCCTGACGCGACCTTCCACTACAACCGGCCAGATCTTCATGTAGTAGAGGCCATCGAAAGTATAAAAAAAACGAAATATAAATCTGTATTTTAATCAGATTGACATCAACCAACCACCAAATGGCCTACCTAAAGTTTTAAACATAACTAGACAGACAGGGAAATGATTCCGGAAATTATATATGTAGATTAGAAAACCTTAACACTAAGGGGCTGAATAAATAAATTGGCTATATTACTAATTCAGACAAATATACATACCACCCGCCACCATCAATAAGGTTCATTTGATTGGAATTTCGAAAAGGGTTTCTCCAGTCGGAACACACGGAAGACCCATCAGTACCGATACAGTGCGCCAACGTCTCACCAGAGAGAACATCCATTGTCGTAGACCTTACCGTGGACCGATCCCCATCCCTCGCCATCGACGTGAACGTCTACAGTTTGCCCAACAACACCAGAACTGGCGACACAGGCAATGGAGAACTGTTCTGTTCACAGATGAGAGTCGGTATGGCGTATCAACTGCAGATGGCAGGACCAGAATATGGCGTTGACTTGGCCAGCGTTATTCTGACCAATGTGTCTTGGAATGAGACTGATGGGGAGGTCCAAGCATAATGGTTTGGGGTGGAATCGACCTGAACCAAAGAGTGGGTCCTGTGGTGTTCCAAATCTTGGTCCAGGGAGAGGAGGCAGGATCACAACAGTGCGCTTCATCGATCATACCACATTTCGCACGTCATCGAAACAACGTTTTCCAGCATGACAATGCCCGTACCCACACCACCAGAGTTGCTCTGGATTTTCTACAGCAGAACAGTGTCAACGTTATGCACTGGTCAGCCCTTAGTCTGGACTTAAACCCGATTGAACATCTTTGGGATGAAATCCAGGGGAGACTTAAAAACGTCGTACCGAAACCAAACACAGCCGATGGATTGCGCCAGGCTTTTCTGAGAGTGTGGTTCCAAATGCCAATGGCGTTCATCAATCGTCTGGTACACTCCATGTACAGACGCTGCGCTGCTGTGATTGGCACTCGCGGTGGTCACACCAGATACTGATGTATAGACTGTGTACAGACTCTAAACCTTCTCGTAATGTCTTGGAATTGTAATGAATCAATCACTATTGTGTCAACATACTGTTAACAAAAATGATTTGATTAAAGTGCCTCTCTGATTTTGAAATCGTACTGACGTTTTTTTTTGTTGCTGTTTAGTATACCTTCGATGGCCTACTATACATGAAGATCGGACCGGTTGTAGCGATGGATCGCGTCAGAGGTCACACGAGCGGCTCTTGGCCATATGACTTCAGACATTTGATTAACCAATCAGCATTGATGTTACTAGTGGATTACCCACAGTTCCATGCAAAAGACAACTAAAGCTCGCCGTAACAGGCCGTTTCATTGGCTAATCCCTCACATCATTCACAACACGTCAATGGTAACAACTCTTCCAGATCCTAGTGTAGTAAAGACAAGTAAAACGAAATTTTGAACTATAAAAACGAAACGAAATAGGATCTGTGTTTTAATCAGATTGAGAGTAAATTGAGTAATTGGCACGCAACTAAATAAGTCTAACAATCATAGAAAGTTCGGAAAAACTACCATAGTCAGCACAAGGTTTGGATGACACTGTCCATATTTCCACATCCCATTGTCTGTTTATGGTAAGGTCTTCAACATACCGACAATATATCAAACAAACCATGCGAGAAGAGCATTTTACAGATACAAATGACAAGGGCAATAACCCAATGAATAATCCTACTCTAATTTCTAGTAAACTAATATCAAATTTGTAAAAACAACAAATCGATGAGCGACTCTTAATTTCGATACGACTCATACTGCTGACTATAGACAATCAGTAAGTTCTAAAAACATTTAAAAATTTCTCACACATAGATCGTGTACAGGATTTCGCTCATAAGGACGATAACTAGAGAAAACGCGATGTTCTACTAATAGGGTTCAAACTGATTTGAATAACAGAAGACGATGGACAGAGGGTCCCATTTCTTAACATTCCCCCGACTGGGAGAATATATTATGATGTAAAATGTGACTTAATATCCTTGGAACGTCCCACCAATTTCACCCTGTCTATATTTAAGAACTAATTTAGGAAGCCGCGGTGGTTTAGGCGCTTGCTCGCTAATCAAGGGGGCTCGGGTTGACCGCGAAAGTTCAACAGGATTTTCCGGCGTGGTTCCTCATCTCAGTGACGCGGGGCGATTGACAAGGAACAGCGTCTAGTCGTTAGAATTATTATAAAATAATAGCAGAACAGAGGACCCGTGTACACACGTCGGCGTGCACAAAAAAAAGCCTTGACAGTTAATGGAACTCGAAATAAGATTACATTTGTAGATCTATGCTGTACCGCCACTGTCCGGGAAAATGTTCCCTCATAGAACATTACATGTATGCGGTCTTCATAAACTCGATTGTTGCAGACAAGTAGGACATTAAACCCGTTTCATTTCATATAATTTCATGCATAATTGATTTATATTTACACTTACGCGATACAAGAACTGCCTATGGATGGTCTGATTTTTGTGTTATCATGTTTGTTGACGATTAATAAATCTGGATAAATTAATAGTTTCTGTCTTAAATTAAACTAATCGCCCTGTGCTATTATGCAGATCGTTTTCACTTGTAGTATGGGGTTCATTTACGATCTGACCTTTCTCTTATGTTCATTGTAAAGAAATTGGATGAATATCACAACATGGGACCTTAATAGTTCTTCTTGATACGTCTTGATTCATTTGAAATTGATTCCGGGTTACGGATGATTGACATATCAGATCATTTTATTGAAGAGCGAACATGAAGATTGAATTTGATATAATGAGCAGCACAATGGATTCCAGTCATGTAATTCGCTGTAAGCATGTTTTTGTATAGTATGATCATTAAGAACGGATGCTGGCCATGCCGTACCTATTCACGTGGATGTAACCCACATTAATGTCGTCTGCTGCTATAGACATAATAAACCTTTCACCAGCAGACGGAACACACGTGACCGCAATAAAAAAAATCGACGGAACCTCGCCCACTATTCCAAATATTTTACAGATGTTGCATTCACTGGAGCTAACTAGGCCGCGGCCATTAGCAAAAACAAAGAATGCATATTATATATGAAAACATCACACCACATCCTAGGTATTCCTATTTCGTCACTTTTTGTACATTTGGCTGACATTAGAGGATATCGTCTTTCATCAGTTAATGACATCAGCAGGTGTCGCTACGGAACTAAAAATAAGTAGTTGGTTGTTTATTGTTTACACCTTGATTCATATCCATTTTAGATTCGTTTTTTACCAAAAAAAATTACCACTATTTAATAACGTGTTGTGCGTTTCGCCAACTTGACAAATACCACAGTCTAATGCCCTGGATTACCAAAACTGCCAATTTTCAGAATCTTTCTGATTACTGGTGCCAACGATATGTCCAACGCATTCATACTTTCTAGCCTATAACAATAATAACAAGATTTTACTATTTACAGATTTCGTATGTTTCTATAACAACGTCATTGTCTAAATCTCACAACTATTCTCAAAATGGTTTCTGGTCGAAGGGAAATGCAAATTGTTCTCCTTTGTATTTTTTACACGTTCCCCACCAGTTTCGTTTCTTGCATGTCTTTTTCCTCTTTATTTTAAAACATTGTGGACTAATGATATTGAAGTAGATTTTTCCTACAAGTTTAGCTGTCGGTGATTCTGATCTTCTCAAACATCGTCTGAATCTGAAACGAGAAAAATCAGCCTTAAAAGGGAAGATTTCTCTTTTATTTATGATGCACACCATAATAACCATCGTATAATATCTGAAACAAATCGATAAATCATAATACCACAAACAAATGTTACATAGTTCTAATAAAACAGCGTTAGAATTCAGGTTTGATCACAAAACACCAACGAACCACTTGTTTTTATAAGCAATATTCGATGCTGTCAGCGTTCCTCCCATTCTAAATGAAAATCCAATTAGAGGAACCATTGGCTACACGTATAAAAAAGTCCCAAGCCCATCTTATGTGCACTTTAAGGTTTGAATTACATGTACACTAATCAATAAACGGATCTTTTGCATTGTTATTACAAAGGGTTCTAACCGAACAAAAATGCTCCTTTTCTCTTGGATATTTAACTTAATGCAGTAGGTAACATTAACATTGACATTTCTGTAAAGGGAAAAAAGTCTTATGATAAAAAGGTCGCCGTTTGTACTCGACGCGGCAGTATGGCATTTCTTTTAAGTGAACAAAGAAATGAGATATTTAATTAACATGAAATACGTTTAATGTGGCCATAGGGTAAAGAGCGTTTATTAACATGAACGTGCTCGACGTCATAATGCTTCAAATGTTACATTTAAATACAGGAAGAAGAACTGCTCTGAACACAACTAAATCAATTACTACTACTTGGTTGAGAGAATTTCAGTTTTCGTCTCACAAACGGACTGAGCTTTTTACTGATGTTCAATGTCATAAACTCTAGCTCAAGCCGTTTTGAGGACCTTTAAATGACTATGAACATATTTGATTATACTGAAATGTCGGGCTCATTGGCTAATCAAATAATCAATAAAGCAACCAAAGAGGTCAACAACAAACTACGTAATTTATCGACTAACATATAATTTTATTTCAAAAATTCATTTGTGTGCAGGGGTCTTTAGTAGAGCAGTGACCTTACTCATTGTTACATACATGCGTGGGATATAAACCCATTATTGATGCCACACCTTATGACCTAAAGCTGTCGAGGACGAATCAGCCGTTTTGATATTCAGTATATAAGTTTTTATGAAGAATGATCCAGATTTTTAAACAGAACACAATAAGCGTTCGGGAGCCGCGGTGGTTCAGTGAGTAAGACGCTAGTTTTTCTACTCTGGAGGGGTCTCGGATTCGCTCTCGGTGTTGGCCGATAAAGTTCCTCCGGATTTTTCCGGCGAGGTTTCCCCTTGTCAGTGGTGCAGGATTGAGGGTCTGGCAAGAACAGCTGTCTAGTCATTCAAATGGGTCGAAAAAACCGAGGTCCCGTATACACATTGGCGTGCGCGTAAAATAATTCGGCAACTGGAATTCAATATAGTAGTCCGTAGCGCCGCTCTCTGGGCTAAATTTCCCTCATAACACACTACATGGCGTATGCCCGTCTTCATTAGACAAGTCGGTGCAGAAACGTAGGACCTTAAACCCCATTTCATTTCATTCCATTTCAGTAAGAGTGCTGTAAGTGCAGGGTATTGGACTAGGAGACAGAAAAGCAATCAAAATAAAATAAAAAGTAGAACTACAGATGATAATAGATATAGATGTACATAAATCATCATCTAATAATGATAAAAGAGTGGGTGTAGCTATTGTTATTAAAACCAGTACGAGAATACACTAATGCGTAAAACATAAGATATTCCTGATAATGCAAAACAATCCAAGATTAGATGTCTAAACATTTTACCAAAAGCTACTCCATTTACTTGGATTAAACACAGTGGTACTTTGATCAAAAGAGCGAAATGACAATGTGTTGAAAGATTACTGACCATGAAATGATAGGTGAATAATATACATTGAAGTATATTATGGATATGGTTTATGGTGTCTATATGGGTGTATGATTGACGTTACTTCGTGGTTTTTCAATTAGTATAATACAGAACTCGTATAGACTATTCTTGGTACTAATGACTATCGACTAGTAGTACTCTTAAGCAGTATACTCTAACCACGGGATCCTCGGTATTTGGCAAACAGAACTGTTGTTGGTGTGATTAAGACTAATTCGTAATAATTACATTCCGCAAAAATGAAATTTATTGAGCAAGTGAAAATGTTATCCACGTGTTTATAACACCACCTTTTTGATAAACACATTCTTGGTCTATTAATTCGATTTGACTCTACCATGTGTAGTCATTTCTACTGATCAGATAACCCCTTGAATCTGCAAAGCCAATAATTTCAGAGATAAGGCATGTGTCGCCAGTGACCCCGATGATAAGAGAAATGCAGGATCATGACCATCTTGCACAAATACCAATCAAGCCACGGTTTATATGTTAACTTTTTCCTAAATAGGATTAGGTTCACAATATCATCTGATCAATTGTTCACAAACATATATCTAAATCTTTCTCTGGATATCTTCACACAATAACTGTTTAATTGAACCTCAGTAAATCTCATTTAATGTCTGTCCACTCGGCAGACCTTTATATATGATCCTTTAGTAACCTTTTTTAAAAGCTAATCTTTCTGTTAGATCGCCGTGGTTTGATCTCAGTTAATGCCCTTGATATCACTCTTGGTATGTTAAGATACTCGATAGAGGTCATACAATACAAACGTTAACCTTGATATCTAATCTGTAGAAACATATTGTATTTCGAAAACAGCTCAATGAAAATAATATAATTAACAGATAACAAAAAAAATCCCCTTCTATTCTTTTAGGTGATTCTCTATATCCAATAATGATCTATACATATATAATTTGACCAACATGTGAGAACAACTAGCTTGATGTTGTTTTGATCGAACCGAATAAGTACCATAAACAATCTAATCTTAATTCAAGTTCAAGTTTGCGTGAAATATCTGCTTTGAGTAAGAAATAATAATCCAACAGATTCTATTTTACAAACATTATATATTACATTTGTATATTAAACCAAGACAAATTCGTTCCGAACACACACAAAAACCACTCTATACAAACAGTCGACGCATGTCATATACAAAAGTACAACATTAATTTGTTAAGTACATATATGTGAACTTTTTAAAGGAGAAGTGGTATAGGGTGTTATAGCTAAGACAACGCCTCCTACACGACATTAGTATAAGTACGTAGACTATATCAGGATTGAAATTTGTTACGGGGTGATGCAAGGATCATTGCTTTCCCCTATTCTTTTAACGTTATGAAATTACTTAAAGCACAAAACACTGACCGCTTTGTTGTCGACACAAACTATAGAGAAAATGAATATGTCTGCTACCTTTATTTACTACAAATATTTTATCATCTACAATGCTCGTTGTCATTATTTTGGTTTTACAAAAGTACAACAAAAGTGAGTTAGATATGTGCTTTAAATTCAACGCTGTTAACGTTTTAATAATATGGAATCACTCAAATAAGTTTTATGAAAAAACGCCAAATATGAACCCGGACCACCTTGTAATGATTGTGATTGATACCTTTATCAGGTTCTAACATACAAGCTCTGTTGGTAACTATACGCTTTATGATCACATGGGACGCAACCGAATGCTTCGCAGTAGGTTGTATTGTTTCCAAGTTATGTTTTGGGGGGTTTTCCCTGTTGCGTGTCGCTAAAATATAAACGAGGGTTACTTACATTAACACAGGTGGTCTATGTTTGTGTGAGAGTTTATCTTTGGACTGGAGGACCCACACTTTTGTAACGAAAATAATGTTGAAACTTAACAAACTGCCTCTATGAATTGTATCACTCGACTTAATATGTATTATATGAAATCAGCAGCCAAGCAAAACACCCAAGCAAAACACCCGTATGGTAATTATACACACCTAGTTTAATCCCAATAGTGATATTAAAACTTTCATTAAATGCTGATGTTTGGTATTGTAAATATTTGTTGTTGATAATATCAGACAGACACCTGTTTCCACCAAAAAGGTAGTGAAACGGAGAATATATACATGTACGTGCTTTGTTCCCATGAGATAAGTACATTACTATTCAAATAAAACCATCCGATATAGTTCATTAAATTCCCACGAATATAACCTGTCTGGGAATTAGTTTATTCAATTTTGTGAATTCTTAAAACCGTTCTTAAGTAATCAACAAATTCACCGGGTAATAAAGCAAATAACATGCAGGATTTCAATTTCGTTTAACATTTGCTTGCGAAGTAAAACTAATAGACAACGAAATTAACAAAACATAGAACCAACAGGACATGAACACCAATACAGTAGGTCACAGAAAACCTTTTAAAATGTCAAAGTGACTCAAGTTGTTAGCTACACATGGAGCCACCACAAGACAACATTCCTGACACGGTTGTTCTGGAAAGAATAAGCATACACTGTCTTGTGCAAGATAACTTCCACACCTAATAGCCCTGAGAGCCGGGACAGCACAAAGCTAATGAAGAAACAGTGTCAATAAGAAATCTCTAAGATAGGTATAGAAACCATTCTTGATTATTTAATAGCAAAAGATAATGGTGGGGTGGGGGGGGGGGGGTCAACACAAATTTAGACATTGCGGGACAAAAGTCTGAACAGTAAACCAGAGGTCCCGGAGAAAACCAAATAAGCTAGATAGGTGACCTTGCTCCTTGCTTCGTACAAACCGTGGTCGAAACTGCATACGCTTCATTGTATGCAAGACCTTATGTTCTAAAACGCACGCATTAGATCACTCGGCCACCCAAAATAAATGGCGACGCAGTTATTGAAATTATCACCATTATGTATCTAAGCCGATATAAAATGGAAACGAGTACTTATCCAAAGACTGGTTTCTTATCCGCAAAGTCTTTGCTAACAGTAATCAGTCACATAAAATAAAATAACCCCATCTTCTATTTCACACTTTTATAATGATACGCCCGCCTTTCTACCTAATCCGACTTAAACATACACATCGCTACCGATTTTATTTGATCAGTGTAAAGGTTGAATGGAAGATCGTGTCAGCATAGATCTGTTAATGATTGCTACCCATAAT